GTACAGGGTGCAGGACGGAGGGGACGTCGCGGGTGTAAATGGAAAATAGAACAGGACCTAGCACAGATCCTTGTGGTACACCACACGTGCAGGGAGTGGCCTGGTTCGTGGTTGGCCCAATGGCAATGCAGACTGACCATCTGCTCTCGCGCAGTTAGGTAGCTGGCAAACCAGGTGAGGGCCGATCCGCACACACCGACGTCAAACAGATCGACAATGAGCTGTGTGTGGCGGACTTTGTCGAATGCTTTGGACATGTGCAATGTGCATAGTCCGGTCACATTTCCCCTGTCCTTGGCAGCGAAGAGACTGTCAGTGAGAAGGCAGAGGGCATCCTCAGTGGAGTGGTGCTGACGGTAGGCAAATTGGGTAGTAGGGAGGCACTGATTGGTTCGAAGGTGGCGGACAAGTTGGCGTTGGACGATCTTCTCAAGTAGTTTAGAGATAATGGGGAGTAAAGAAACAGGTCGATAATTATTGGGGAGGGAGGGGTCGCCGGATTTATACAGAGGCACGACTGAAGCCAGTTTGAACGCTGAGGGCACTCCACCAGTGGGTCAGTTACAATGCCGCGCTGACCGTGTTCACATCACATGCAGGGTTTTGCTTTATTCCCCCTCTGCCAGTGAGGGAGTTTATAATATGAGGGACCACATCTTCTTTGGATTGCGATTGTTGACAGCACATTCATCACTGAAGTACATGGCGATTGTACTGGTTTTTTCCTCCGTCTAACAAGGCTTACTGCCGCCGTTCAACCACGCTTGTACTGGTGATAGAATACGTCTTACTGTATTAGTACGGTCTCGCAGCCATCTTCGGTGTAGCCTGTTCTTCGCCATTGGTATTGTTAGCGGGTATATTCTACGTGTCTCTATTGAGCCATGGCCTTCTCCTGAAATGCTTCCGTGCCAAGTGGACCACATGTCGCTACGGTGTTGTTGGTGGCTGCCTGTAAGACAGTCTCTAGTCTGGGCCAGAATGCAACTGTTCCGAGGATCGACCTAAAGTACAATGTCATGTAGATACGGTCGTGTTCCACCTCCTCTTCCACCGAGCAGGCACCGACACGATCCTGGCGGGCAATAATGTAGTTTGGGATCCGGATTTCTCCGACAGACACTGTGCCATCAAGCCATGATTGTTTCAGCAACACCGACTATATCCCAGCACTGGTCGGCGATCAGCTGCTCCAGGGCGTCGACTTTGTGCTGGAGGCTGAACATGTTGATGAAGCCGAAGCGTAGATCTACCCAAGAATTTGCTGGGGCGCCTCGGTGGGACCGTGGTGTAAATGGTATGGCATTAGGGTTGAGAGGTCTTTATTGTTATTACCTGACGATGGCCAAGTGCCGAAACATTGTAAAAATAACGGAACTGGTTCGGATGTGCAGCGGTATGGGAAGGGGTGTGTCCACCCGAATTCCTTTCAGGTCTTGAAGGGTATCAGTATCACTATGAACAAGAGTAGATGAACTCTTGCTATCAACGGTTCGCTGATGCAGGATGGATTTGGCTAAAAACAATCTTTTTTACTAAGTGCACAACCTACTCGTCAGAAGGGGAGAAGACAACAGAATATACAATAACAAAACAGGAGGGAGAGTAGGGGCTGCAAAGCAAGCCTGTGCTGGTGAGGCAAGCCCACAACACCGACCTGTCGTGAGCTTGCGCACCATAGCCCAAAAGAAGGGGATGATTTAGACAAGAGAAGGTGAGGTAGAATGGTTGAGGAGAGAGAAAGAGAGAGAGAGAGAGAGAGAGAGAGAGAGAGAGAGAGAGAAAGAGAGAGAGAGAGAGAGAGAGAGAGAGAGAGAGAGAGAGGGAGGGAGGGAGGGAGAGAGAGAGAGAGAGAGAGAGAGAGAGACAGAGAGAGAGAGAGAGAGACAGAGAGAGACAGAGATGACACAAGCACTCTATATCACCATGACACAAGCACTCCATCTCACCACGACTGAATGTTGACAACAAAAGGGATAACAATGCAGAAGGACACTAGCATGACAAAACCCTCGTCTAAACTTTCTTTACAAGGTGGGCAGGAACTCCCACAGCGCCTACCCCAAACTTATTATCAGTGCGAAACATTTTTTAAAGATCAGATTCCAAATTCCAATAACAATAAAGAAAAATGAGACAACTCAGCCAGGCGTAGTTCAACAGCCTGCTCAGCTGGGATGCTATACACAGCCTGGGATGCTATGCAACCAGACTACTTATACAACAGCCTGGGATGCTATGCAACCAGACTGCTTATTCGCTAGAGTTGAAAGTCAAAGTCAGATAGCAATACGGTATGCCGGGCAATCACTAATCAAATGCCCTGTAGAACAGACGGTCATGTGGCTGTGTTATCAGAACAAAACTCATACTAACACGGACACACACCGGGGGACGTTCAGCGTGCGCACCGCATGCCGCCCTGGTCCGTACCGCATGCAGTGCACATGCACTTGCCCGGGAGCGTGTGGCATATATACCATGACTGCAGAGTTGTTGTACGGTGCAATGACAAGCTAGCCCAGTGCACCCACGTCCACAGTGACCCGTGCTGTGCCGACACTGCAAACAGTCACCAGGTACTGCATGTCGTGAACTTCGTAGCCAGCTTCCCGATACGCCGCACTGGCTCTTCAGAAGACAAGGAGTGTGCCAGGAGCTGTCAGAGGCAGAGTTTGCCACAACTTACACTGAAGTGAAGTTGCACGGAATTATCTTTACACGGCAATTTGCGATATCAAGTCGAGAAAGCTGCAATGCACCCAGATCACTCAGTCAGTAGCCGCTACTGAACAATCCTAGATTGAGACGTCTTGAGGTTGAAGCCGCCACCAGTAAAGCGGTTTGTCTTCGCGTGTGACTGGATCGGTGGCAGTCCAGCTTGGCCGAGGCTGCTGTCGCGTTCCCTGCAAGGCCAACCGGGGGAAATAAACAATATCACCATATCAGCGTGTGCTGTACTGTGTCTCGGGTCAGTCTTCTTTTTTCCTGACACTGACGGCAACAATTGCAGACATAGTAGCAGCAACAGTCACGGAGACTGAGACCGCAGCTACCGTCTTTGCAGCAGAGACGGCAGAAACAGCAGTAACTGCAACAAAAGGCCAATAGCACTAGCCGTGAAGATTGACAAAAGGCACACACGCACACCACATCAATGAAGCTGTAACATGCACCAATGCCACCACCAGATGCATGCAGTCCGTTTTGCATCCGCTCACGTACCTCTTCTGTTGCTCCTTCTTCTTCATCATGAAGTACTTCTTTTTGACTTCCTGCAGCTCCCTGCCGAGACGTTCACTTTCCATTTTGGCTTCACTGATTTGCGCCTCGAACATGTTCAACTCGGCCGCCATAGCCTTAACACATTCAACACATGACAGGGTACATCTGCTTGTACATGACAACAGTTGACAATGTGTCTAGGGTCCTTGCTGCAAGTAGTTCTCACTATGCCCCATAGCCAGGGCTGTACCACACGATGGCAAAACAACAGAGACCAACCTCCAAACCCAAAACCTTTTTTTCTGCAACTCAGAGTTTCTTGTTCAGAAAAACTCATCAGACAGCCACACTCTAGTTATCGCCGAGCCTGCAGTGAAGTACATCACACTCTAGTTATCGCCGAGCCTGCAGTGAAGTACATGATTGTGCGTGTACACGTACGTTAGAATGCAAGGTTTAGTAAGATGTGCTGTGATATGTTCTCACTGTAGTGCTCTGCTGCTTACTCTGCTGACGAGTCTACTAACCGTCACACAACATGAACTGCATATTGCTTGCATGCCGATGAAAAAGCATCCCCCCCCCTCCCCCTCCCCTCCACAGAAAGGATCAGTAACTGTTGTTCCCGTACCTTGAGCTGTTTGGTTTTGGCCTTCAGCGTTTGCTGGTACATGACCACCTGCTGTTCAACCTCTGGGCCGGGTTGGCGTGCAAGGATCTGCTTGAGTTCCACGTAAAGCTTCTCTTTGTCCTTGATTGCCAGCTCCTTTTCTACCACCTGAGCAACGCAAGGCAAAACAAGTCACCAACCCACGTACATGTACATAGTCACAGTAGAGTTCTGCAGTCACCATGGTTACAACAGGTTTTATAAAATGGCGGTCAACGCACATCGAACAGAGAGACTGAGAGTGAGAGAGAGAGAAAGAGAGAGAGAGAGAGAGAGAGAGAGAGAGAGAGAGAGAGAGAGAGAGAGAGAGAGAGAGAGAGAGAGAGAGAGAGAGAGAGAGAGAGGGAGGGAGGGAGGTAGGGAGGGTGGGAAGGAGAAAGAGAGAGAGAGATAGATAGATAGATAGAGAGAGAGAGAGAGAGAGAGAGAGAGAGAGAGAGAGAGAGAGAGAGAGAGAGAGAGAGAGAGAGAGAGAGAGAGAGAGAGGTAGGGAGGGTGGGAAGGAGGGAGAGAGGGAGAGAGAGAGAGAGAGAGAGAGAGAGAGAGAGAGAGAGAGAGAGAGAGAGAGAGAGAGAGAGAGAGAGAGAGAGAGAGGGAGGGAGGGAGGTAGGGAGGGTGGGAAGGAGGGAGAGAGGGAGAGAGAGAGCTGCCTGTCGAGTCTTCATACTGTTATTATACTGCACAGTTCCTCAATACAAAATATGCACTAGAAGTAGTATGGCATGGCACTAAATAGTTGGCGGTGAACACTGGAACCGGTATCCCCCAACACACAAGGTGCACATACAAAGGTGTGGTCACAGAGTGTTCAGGAGTGTGAGGTACCGTATTTTCTCTAATAAGAGCCCGGGGTTCTTATTTTTTCCGTGACAGCTCTACCCTCGCTACTATTATTAGAGACTGGGCTATTATTGGAGACTGGGTTCTTATTTCTTCAATTGTCAACTATCAAGCCAAATCCAGTCTATACAGGCATAAACTGACCATATCAAGACTGATTTTTCAACCCTAAACTTAGGAATATTGTCAAAACAGATGTTTCACAATACAGTGTAGCATTGGCGCCAGGGAGGAAGCAGTTGACCGAAAACCTCCTTACAAAGTATGTTCTTGGCATGTTGTACTGCTGTTTTATATGCAGTCAATATACTTGTTGCATACTCCAATTGTGACCCGCGCTACTATTAGAGACTGTGCTCTTATTATTTCAAACCACCCTCACCCCGGGTCATTATTGGAGACTGGGCTATTATTGCAGACCTAGGCTTTTATTGGAGAAAACACGGTATATGCCAACAGATGTTGAGCATATACGTGAATGTATGAATTCGTAGCTACCCACTCACCTCCTCTGTTTTGCCAATCAGCTTCTTCTGCAGAGTCTGCACCTTGTTGATGAGCTCAAACTTGCTGGGATCAGTTCCCTGGTAAGCACGACAACACCGACACGCACCACAGGTTGAATAAGCTAATTCCACACGCTGAAAATCGCAATACATTGATTGCATGCACGTGGCTTTGCAATCATTTTAGAAATATGCCACATGCTTTCGCAAAGCCCCACAGCCCGCTCAACCCCTGAGAGGAACACAGAGCTGCTGCAAACCATAGCATTGCGTAACATTCTACTCCGCAACACCTAAGCTGCTTGATTCAATTGCAAAGAAAATGAAAATGCATGTGTAATCCTGTTCTTTCGGCGTGTCTTTCACACGCATGCCCTTTTGAAGATCTGTAGCTGTGCATCACGCGGCAGTGTATAGATGCACATAGACACACACACAGATGCACATAGACACACACACAGATGCACATAGACACACACACACAGATGCACATAGACGCACATGATAGAGACCGTGCAAGGTGCTCACCTTCAATGTCCTCCACCGGTGCACATTCAGTGGACTTTGCAGCTCAAGCTCCAGTGCCTTGCAGCGAGCCTGCTCGCGCACCAACTCTCGTTGCGTACGGAACACCTCCTGTCTACAGTGGTTCACATGCAGAATTCAAGATGCCGCTAACCATTAGAATGCTGTGGGTGGGTGTGACTGTGAACACTCACCTCACACCCGTTAGACTTCAATGCTCACACTCTCCGCTTGAAGATATCTAGAGATGGGGAGGGGAGGGGGGGGGGGGCGTGTCTGGAGAAACTCTGAGAAGGGGAGCATGTGTGTTGTACTGGAGTGCCCTTGAACTGCGCTATGAAGTGACAGACTGTATGCAGCACTATGTACTTACAATCATGTAGTAATGTACCGCCGGGAACGTAAAAAAATGCATCACACAACAAAACGCTGCAGCTCTTACTTGAGTTCTGCAAAGTTGGCAACGTTGCGACCCATAGCAGCTCTATCGTTGCGTGCTTGCTTGATAGCCAATCTCAGGATGCGAATGTCGGATAACCGCTGGACGTATTGCATTTCACCTGGACCAGAGAAAGAGCCGTGAGCGCACGGGCAACAAACTCAACTTTGATCACGTCTACATAGGTTCACCGTACATGCAACTCGCCACTCTGCACTGTCGCGGAACACCGCTATGTGCGTACAGAGTGAGTTGAAGCAAGGCATAGTCCGTGTAGTGTCCAGTACTGGCCTCCAATGACTTTCTATTGGGCAATGCTGTACTTGAAATAATGCGGCAAACGTATTCGACGCGCAAGACCTGACTCTAGACTCCACGATACCAACCTGTCACCGAAAGCAAAACAGGGCACTATGTGACCTACACATTGCAATCATGCATGCAATCCTGTCACATTAAACATTAATCAGCGAATGCAAAGAAACTGTGCTCTCTGACAGTGATAGATACCGGGTACACATATCCGGGTCACGGTCCAAGCCCTGTTCCAATGCAAAATCTCACCTTTGTCAAGAACGGCTTGCTGGACGCGAAGTTTCTCATGCAGTAGTGACAGTTCGTCGTTTCTGCGAATCAGCTGGGTTCCGAGGACATCACGCTCGTTCAACACCTACACAGCAAGAGCAACAGATAAGGGCGGGGTTGGACACATCATGTGGTCAACTTGTGATTGATGTGGCATATAGCTACTCCATGCACACTCACGACCAATGAAGTCTTACCCCCCCCCCCCCCCCCCCAGCCCTTCACACACTCCCAATTGCCAGCGTGCCATACGAGTTAGGCGATGCCATCGCTTTGCAGTTCAGCGTGTCAACTACGTGCCAGTGTGGAACGCTTGTTCCCGTGGCTGCTTATCGCTGGATTCTGTACCCCTGCTGTACCCCGTGCTGGGGATGGGAGTGGATTACACTGGCCCTGGCCGCTATGACACGTGTATGCATGCAACCACACAGGGGCCATGTGAGGGCGAGTACAGCCAATAAATAGGGTGTCGCCATGCCAACACAAGAGCACAAGGTCTTTTTTAAAGTTATTTAATACAGTCGTGCACAATCATGTGCATATACTGTACGTAGTCAATGAACAGTATGAATGACTCAATTAAGCAAGTTACTGCAACAGAAGCAACAGCAGCTACATCTACTGTTACAGACATAGCAGCATGTAATGGCTATACACTCATAGCAAATGCACATGCAGCACTGGATACCATTTGGACATGCAGCACTGGATACCGATTGGCCATGCAGCACTGGATACCATTTGGCCATTCGGCACTGGATACCATTTGGCCATTCGGCACTGGATACCATTTGGCCATGCAGCACTGGATACCATTTGGCCATGCAGCACTGGATTCTCATTGGCCAGTTTGAACACATCTGCTTACCTGATCAAGTTCCTTCCGTTGACGTGTTCTCTCCGCGTCCGACTCTGTTATGAGCCTCTGCAGCTTCTGGTGCTCCTTCATCTGGTCGTCAGCGTATCGGTTGGCCTCCCGAAGCTCCTCCTTCAGCCGGAGGAGCTCAGCGCGAAGGGCTTCCTTTTCCTTCTCCAGTCGTTGATGTTCCGAATGCTCCTTGACGAGGGCAGTGTCCTTGCTGGCGAGGTCATCCTTCAACTGTTCGATCAGCCGCTGGTCGCTGACAAGTCGCTGCTTGAGCTCCTTGAGCTCGTCCTGCTTCTCCTGTAGCGACTTACTGAACATGTTGCGGTCAGAGCGCACCGCTTCATAGAGATTCTGTATGACAACGGCACAAAATATGAAGTCCACAGCATACAGACCTGTACTGGCATTGCATGGTAAGTCGACCAAGGGCATATAACTATTGCTCTGGGAGTTTTTGCAGCATCGCTGTATTGCACATATGTGTAGTGCTTACTAAAGTCATCGAAATCACCCGGAAACTACACCAAACGGGGGGGGGGGGGGGGACGAGGAGGAGGAGGAAGAGGGGGAGGAGGATGGGGATGAGGAGGAAATAACTCCCCGTAAACCCAGTAGATCAATAGTTTGCTTGGCAGTGCCTACTAGCTCTCGCTCCCTAGTAATTACAATAACTCTCACTCCTCATTTATTTGCCTAGTGTCAGTGAGTCAAAGCCTGGAAGGAAAACCAGCCACCCTACAACGACCAAAGCCTGTCAAGTACACACTCGTTGCTTCCAGTGCCCTCACCTGCTGCTGCTGCCGTTTGACGTCGGAGTCAGCGATCCGCTTCTTGTGGTCGATGATCTGGATCTCCTTCACCTTGAGCAGCTCGTTCAGCTTTGTGCAATCCTGCACCTTATCGGTAAACTCGTGGTAGTAGGTGTCACGCTCTCGCTCCAGACCAGCAATGGTCTTGCGCTGCTTAATTGCTTCATCTTGGTAGCTCTACGAGCAGGGAGAATAAACATTGTGTTGTCAATAAGTGAAGCATACTGACGGCATGCACACGGGGTGTGAACGATGGACATATGAAGACACAAATACAGTCACGTGCCATGTGTATGCGTGCCGGCTCACCCGAACTTCCGACTCCAGAGTTCGCACGCCCTGTGCATGCACTTTCACCATGTCGGCCTGCTTGTCGGTGGCAGTTGTCTGAATGCGCACTTGCCGGTCGAGCTTGTCTCGCTCGCGAGTCAGCTCCTCGCACTTGCGCCGCTTGGCTTCGGAGTCCTTTCGTAACTGCTCGAGTTCTAGGGGTGTGAAACATATGGAAGGAATAATGGAGAAAACTAGTAAACCCACTATCAATATAAAGCAAGGAAGAATCACCATAGGTTAAACACGTTAGGATCATTTCGTATCAGCTGAACATGAAATACAAAATTGTCCCGTACTGTAGAAGTTGGTTGCGCTCATGTTGGGAGCACTCAACGTCAACTACGTTGCCGCCAAAGTAGATACTCCTACAAGTATTAGAGCTTCTGAGTTCGTAATTGTATATTGATAGAGGCCTCCTTAGAATACAATCCTTGTTTTCAAGAGGAACCATTGACAACTAAGCCTGGGTGACGTGTTCACATGCATTGAACTACGTGATCTAAATATGACCCTGATTTGTAGAAACAAAAACAAAACAAAAAAAAACAGTACAGGCCTCACATCATCACACTGGCTTGTGCAAAGTAAGCCCGGCTGTAATGCATGGGTGACTTTAACTTCAGTATTGCATCACTGTACTGCGCAGTGCTCATTGGAATAGGATGCAGCCAAACAGGCTTCTCTAAGCTCTACACTGTACAATGCTGGCATGCATCAACAAACATTCAGCACAGGACGTCGGCTGCACGGCCTGACCTCTTTCCAGTCCGGCCACCTGGGCCTTGACGTCGTCCCTCTCACGCTCCACCTCCGCTTTCTCCTTGTCGACCAGCTGCAGCTTGTTGTTCAGGTTGTCGCGCAGCTGACGCACACGACTCTGGTCCTGCTTACAGGATTTCAGCTCATCTTCGCGCGTCTGCAGCAGGTACACGAAAGAACAGTTGAACTGTAAAATAACCGCCACGGCAACTATGGTATACAGATGAGCATGTGTGTATCAGTGTGGTGTGTGTGTGTGTGTGGGGGGGGGGGGTGCTACTTTCTCTAACTGGGAATGTACCAATGCATGTTGTCGTGACTACTTATTATGCTGATAGCCATGATACATGTATGCATCCTGTAGTGTAGGCATGATACATGATGCAGCCTGTAGTGTAGGCATAATGCATGTGTGTGCACTTGTATATAAAGTAGTTATTAAAGCAGTTAGCACAGACATCTATACATGAACTGTGGCTGGAATCTCTCCACCCTTAGAATATGTCCATCCCCTGCACAGCACTGTTAGTTATAGTCTACAGCTAAACACGGCCAGCATTAGCTTACACCTACAACAGGGCCTACTGAGGCAGAGCGACTTACCTTTATGAGCTGCTGCTGGTCGTTGATCTCTCGGCGCAGCGTCTCTGCCACATCGTACTGTTCCTCGAGTTTCTGCTGAATGCCATTGGAGTGTGTCCTCTGGCTCTCAAGTTTTCCCTGTGACCGATCATTTTGACCCTGCAGCGGCACCACAAACCAGTCAGTAGTTAAGCAACGGGAAAAAGCAACGCAATGGAATACTCATGACAGCTACGGTAAAAGGAACAAACCAACCCTGGTTAATTTCCCAGATTTTTGCAAAAACAAACAGATTATTGCATACAGGCACAAGCAAGAACTAAGAAATACCAGCTTTGCCATGAATGTATGCCATTAATAATTAGTGATCACCACCAGTACAGAAAGCCCAGTCTTTATTAGTCATGTAGATGGTGTATCTGCAAAGCTTTCGTGTATGTCACAAGTTGATGTCTGCCGGACTTCGTGCCAGCACTGACCGGTGTGTTCTCATGTTGCAGCGGTCATCTAGGACAGATTTTCATGCACGTGCACAATGAAACACAGACCTCCAGCTCCCGGATCTTCTCCTCCAGTGATCTACACCGCTCTTGCATTCGCGTCGTGCTCTCTTCTGCGTTGACCAGCTCCGCCTGCCGCTCCTCCAACGTCTTGCGAAACTTCATCACTTCCTTCTCTAGATTGTTCTTGCGGAAGAGCTCGCGCTGCGCGTCGTGTTCACTCTGCTGGATTTCATTTTGCAGCTGTAACACAATCCCCAAAATGCAGATTGAGAAGCAATATATAAAGCCAGCTCGATACCAGAGACCCAATCATGAATGTACAAATGCTGCATGTGCCCGATATACACTTGCTACCTTATATAGAGTGTTTTGAAGCAATGAAACCACTAGGTGAACACACGCACACACACACACACACACACGCTTGTACAGGTACTTGTCTTGCTCACTGCCAAAACTGGTCATGTGAGTCACCCCGGGAGAGGGGAGAGAGATTCAAAAGGAATCTTGGAAAGATGACTCAATTGGCTATTGAACCGCCCGACACTCCCTGAAATCCCATACACGCATGCACACGCGAACACACACACACACACACACACACACACACACACAGATAGATAGAATTATACAGCAAAGTGGTGCTGACTTTTGGCTTACCTCGGATATTTTTTGCTCAGCGTCTGTACGATAGCTTTCTTCCTCCTTCTGCTTTGTAATGGCGTCCGTCAAATTTTGTCGAAGCTGGAGATTAGTCGACAAGGGGCAAATAATAGAAAAGCTGACAGGATCGCTTTTCTAAATGCAATAAGAGCACTTGGTACAAACAAACCAACAAACTAGGGAGATAACTTGAGTTTTGGCAAAGTACGGACAGACGTGACCTCAATAGACAGTCACCATTTCGAGCAAAAACAAAAGGTGCAGCCGGTGAAAATACTGGTGATAATGCATTTGCCCAGTAAAATAACAATAAACCTGTATCCAGCAATTGTGGCCCCTAAAGATGTCGCCATCTACATTTATGCTTAGAAATGGGGTCCAAGTGTTACTTGATGTACAAGATGGCATACTAGCACAAAGCGATCAATCGCTTGCTTACCATAGCTACGTCCGCCATTGCTAATTTGAGGTCCGAGGTGAGCTTTTCCTTCAGGTCAACAAGCTCTTGAACGCTGCAGAAAATGTACCCGAATGACGTACACGTACGTCGGGTTATTATGGATACCACCCGTAGGCGTACAATGTATTAGTGTGATTATTATTAAGTAGTGTTTAGTGCCATCGCCGATTGAAATGAAATCATGGCAGTGCGCATAACCGTGGTAGCACAGTCCTCACACCCAGGCGTTCCCAACACCAGCTGCACACTGGCAAAGATAAGCGAGATACAGTAAAACCTGTCAAGGCGGTCGACCACCTGTCCCTGCGGACCACCTGTCCCTGCGGACCTAAGCGGGATGTCAATTTCCAGTCAAATGACTAGACCCTGGATGGTCTCCTGACACGTAGACGGAACCATACTTGGAAGCTCACGGTAGTGGTCGGCTAAGATAGATTTCACAGTAGGACCAGGGGCTGGTATGTGACTACTAGTCAGATGACCCTGGATACGTAGAGCAGCTGTGCACAGAGACAACACGTGTAAGGTCCATTGAGAGCGGTTGCCGCTTAGACAGAATTCACTGTGCTAGTGACTATTGTAGCGGACATTGAAATCCGGTGAGAAGTCAAGCGGCCGTGGGCGCGCCGGCCTTGCAGCCGCGAGCACTGCCGGCCCAGTTTTTACAATGTGTACGTGAACTACAGGGCGTGTACGTGCCAAACGCAGTCCCCTGGTCGTCCCATCGGATTTCAATGTCCACGGCAGTAGTTGCAAGTGTTTGTGACGTACCTGTACTCGGTGATGCCGATACCACTCTTTTCCTTTACCATAGCCTGTAGCTGATCCATCTCATACTGCAGCTGATCAATCACCTCCTTGGATCGGCTCTCCTTCTCCTGGCTAACATCCACCAGCTTCCAGGCCTTCTCGATTTCCTTCACATAGGCAACAACACAGATTTAAACGCATGAAATTACAGAGCTTGTCTCCTCCTCGGCATAGTTCATGAATGCTCGCCACCAGCAAAAGAACCAGCACCAGCACCAACTAGCACCGACACTGCCCGCCGGAGCCCGTAATAGTGCTCTCCGATCATTCCCCCATGCCACGATCCAAGACTGGAATCGTCTCCCATCTGCCCTGCTACGCAACCTTCCCACGCAGAAGGGAATGCAGGCATTCAAGGAAGGCGCCTACAAGTCGCTCCGCAGCCGAGACTGGCGTTCAGCCACAGATGCCCTCTGAACACTCCCTGAACACCCTCTCTGCTTGCACCCTGGCTCCCCCCTTTTTATTTTTTTATTTATTTATTTATTTATTATTTTATTTATTTTTTATTTTTATTTTTTATTTTTCTTCCTCTTTCACATGTATCATCTTTCCGTTTTTCCTTCCTCTATATAAATGTACCCCCCCCTCCCCTCCCCCTGTGCCTACTCCTCCCCAGTTTTTGGTGCTCTGAAGTGTCGCTGAAGCCGAGACCTCAGGTCGGCGGAGATGCTCCAGTTTTCACCACCACAGTTGCGTCTGCAACCACCTCTACCATGCAGTATTCTGTTCTCGAGGTTCGTGGTTTCTCGTAAAAAAAAAAAAAAAAAAAAAATGAATATATGAGGTCCTGCAGGAACAATATCAAGTGTATTTGCATGCAACTCAGCATGGAATGACCAACTCCCTTTCAAACAGCCTCTTATTCCACTTCTTGACAGAGAGAGAGAGACAGAGAGACAGAAAGACAGAAAGAGAGAGAGGGAGAAAGAGAGCGGGATGGAGAGAGGACCTTACACACCTTCTTGAGGGCCACAATGCTCGACTTCTCCTCCTTGGACGTTCTCATCACCTCGGCCAGCTTGGATCCGTTAGCCACAATCTCAGACTTCAAGTCCCTGCAGCGCATCATCAGTCGACGCTCGTTCTCCCGCGACTTGGCATAACCAGCGTACACTTTCTTGTAGTCATCGCGGAACTTGTCCAGGGTGTCATTGTTTTCGATTTCTGCCAGCACCTGTGGACAAAGTGTGCAGTGAGGTGAAAGCAGAAAGTAGCACAGATCAGACTGGGGGTCACCACACTGTTGTCCGATCACACTGAATGCCAGTACGTTATTTATAAATCATACACCTTGCATGTACAAGACGGTGTGCATAGCAATACAAGTGTGAAGTAGTAATATTGCCACACACTGGCCAGGTGACTCCTGGCCAGTAACAGGCATTATTCCTTTCCAAACTGTAGCAGAAATTGGATACTCAGGCACTTCGAACGTGTTAGTACTAGTAGTAACAGAAGCCACACACACACACACGCGCGCACACCCCTCCCCCCTCGCTCTCCCTCCCCCTCTCTCTCTCTCTCTCTCTCTCTCTCTCTCTCTCTCTCACACACACACACACACACACACACACACACACACACACACACACACACACACACACACACACACACACACACACACACAGAACTCGAAGCATCAGGTGCTTACTTGCTTGAAGTCTTTCTCCAGTGTCTCATAGGCCCCCTCATCGCCATCCTACAATACAGCCATCAATACAAAGTGCAAAACAATTGCTACTTGAAGTACAGCTACGGTGATCACCTTTGCAGTCCACAAAGCAGAAACGCACAACCAGTACACTGTGCATGCACTCATGCACGTAGCCAGTCTCAGCACCAGCCTGCACAGGCCGTGGCACTGATACAATGTCATGCTGACTGTACCGTGACTATAGTGTTGCTTGGGGTAGATTGCCATGCCGGTTGGTTAGAATTTAGAAACCAAAGTATCTTATCAGTCATGGCCCTGCCTTGGTGGAACACTACCTTTCTTAGTTTTTGATAAAAATGGGCCGGGTAAAATCCCTGTTGCCACCGGGATCGTATCGCTGGCTGGTGCGCTCAGCTATTTAAATCTTGATCCTTGGCCCCAAGCGTGTTGCCTACGCCACTCATCGGGTGTGACTATGAATCTGACGAGGTTGCAGCTTGACTTTGCCTTCACAATTCGTGACCGGCTCGTGTTCCTAGGTACCCCTCAGCTGGGGGTATGTCTACCATCCAGTCCGCCTTTCTTTCCACCAGCACACACTATTCAAAACAATGACGTGACTGTGGTCGCGATGCTACTGCTCATCCCATGCAGAGGCTAGTAGCCGGCCAAGGCTCCGGCAATATAAACTGCTAGCTAGACTAAAATCAACTACTGTATACGCAGAAATATTCGTCTGGAATTTAATTTCGTCTTTTTCGTCCAAGGAGCTTTTGGACTAAATTAAATGTAGGACGAATATCGATTTGTCCAGCTTTTCTATACACTCTTATGACCCATGGACGAAATTTTCAACCGGACAAACTCCTTTTCTTTGGAGTTGGACGAAATTATTGACCGACGAAATTTTCTGCCTCTACAGTACTACTTCGAAGTAGTATACTTCCATGTGCATGTAGATCTAAAAGTGTACGGTTGAATGCAATTAGTGAAGGCCCCAATACAGCTTCCTAAATAGTAGACAAAATTAATGGTGATAAAACACACACCTGTCGAAATGGTAGGTAATACACGCCTGCCCACACAACGCTCTCTAAACTGCAAAATTCTTTCAAAGATGAACTAATGTACCAGCCAGCCATGCGAATATCACCAGTCATGCACTCGATAGGCTCCATGCGCAAACTAATGATCGTGAGAGAAGGAATGCTCTTTGCTAGGACTTTGCAGCTTAGAGAGCGCTGTGTGGGCAAGCGTGTATTTACCGCCATTTTGCCAGGTGCCTTTTCAGTGTAAGTTTTCACCACTTTTTTCTCTATGATCTACAATGTAGTTGAAGAGCCCACTGAATGGGATGGCTAGTTTTGCACGCCAACCAATTTTAGATTGTCCCTGTGTCAAGAAGTCTTACTACTACTAGAGTACTGGAGTGCTTATCTAGCCGTACTCTTGCTAGCTGTAGGTTGGTACTTTCTCTGTGAACAGTTTGAGGTGTCAATATCGAGTGTCAATCTAAGTCGCTATATCAAATCTTACTGCTACTTTATGGCTCGGCTATCTATTGTGGTGTAAGCGTGCTGAACAGCTTCAAGTTTGAATCAGGGAGTACTGGTACCCCTGATTCGGGCCGGGTACCCTCAGGTTTGAGTCACGGAATGCTGGTACCCTCTCAGGTTTGAGTCAGGGAATGCTGGTACCCTATGGTGTGACTCTGAACCATGCATGTGCGCTGTGACTCACCTCGACGGCACCTGAATCCGCCATTCTGCCCGCGTGTTGACGCTCACAGCACAGCTACTTCCCGAACTGCCTACGATCACAGCTACTGCGCTCCTGGATCGAGGTGCTGGCAGCAAGACTAGAAGAGTGATACCTCGTCTTCGAGCACAGGATTCTACTTGCCTTCCAGCCTTACCGACCACGCAAACAACGTGTCAGCTAGCGTATGTTACAGCATGCTAGCATACAGCGGCGGCCATGCAGCATATCCAACGGAGCAACAGATGCTGGAGCTGCTAGAGCCACTATACTGCTGGTCTACTCCACTGATCACGTTGGCCAGTAGTTCCAGCCACGTATTCTATTCGGAAATACGGTTACACGCAGCACTCACCCATCCACCCAGTACTGATGTTAGCAACACCGAGCAGTGGAAGAACAGTCTCTCAATGCACTTTCCAGCAATGCCAACTCGATGAAGAGCACTCAGCGACAACAATTTCTTCGCTGTGGAACGACGGTCGTGTGTGTAGGGAACGATTAGCTGGCAAGAAGATTTTTGTGACTCCTTTCTTCTTCGAGCCAGCTGAGTTCGAGTGTCAACGTCGCTTTGGCAGGCGCTAGGCAGCCTTTCTGCTGTTTCCCTGGTTTCTGAGTTGCCACGCAACACCAACGGCTCACGCACTTGCAGGTCCAGCACGCTGTAAGTGTGCAGTATGTGCGCCGCCGCGCCGCGGCTACGACCCGCGGGAAGCACACATTTTTCGAAAATGATGACGTTGCTATTTTTGAGTTTCTAGAGTTTGATTTTTGTTCCTCTTCGTGAATTATGTTCCTAGTTTTCTCTCCGAGAAAGTGTTCATGAATGTAGTCTTGCTTCCTAATTCCCCGTTTGTCTACTTCAAACGCGAGTATTGTCTTGGTTGTAACCAAGGGAGAAGTATTGTGGAGGAGAGTGTGGCTGGTGGTTAGACAGCACCATGGGTCTGCTAACTATTCTGAAGAAAATGCGTCAGAAGGAGAAAGAAGTTCGTATTCTCATGCTGTAAGCAGAATATTTCCAGCAGTTTCTTTGAACCTGATAGTTCCAATGTTCACTCTAAATTGTTCTACAGTATCAAGTGTAGTAAAAATACTCTTGGTAGTATGTATACAGTTGAATTACTATTGCATTGTTTGCTCACAGTGGACATAGTGTGTGTACAGTACTAGTTTATCAGCTGCTTGAAATAGTGACTTTTGCCAGTACATGTATACAGGAATGTTTTAGAGGGGACACTGCAGTGCGGAAGGTAGCAGCTGTGTTTCATTCAACTCTCCTACTGCGTATACCACTATATTCACTATCACTAGTAGTTTAGGTTGAGTGGTCCTGAATAAGATTACACAATGTACACTGTAGTATGCTGCTACTCTGGTTCACATTCAAAAGTGTTTTCCGGTATTTCAAAACCATCGGCATGTGAACCTGCACGATAACTCCGTGCGGACTTCTAGCATACTCCAAAACCAGCACAGTAAACCCGGAATCGTTTGCGCCCGTTTTAGTCCGCGACTTGCGATGACAGACTACTTTGCGCCTGCAACCGTTTGCGATTGGAGTCAATTTGATGATTGACTCGAGTCTACCATTTCGCGTTTTGCGCCCACTTACTTTCGCGATTTCACACCCTTCGCAAAAATCGCGAACGTTTTAGGATCGCAAAGGTTTCTGGGTTTACAGTATGTGAATGTGCAAACTCCCCCAAACTTCGGAAGAACTTCAGCAGTGTAGCATATGTACCGTAAAGTCTTGTATAAAAGCCGCGGCTTCTTTGACTTTCTTGGTGAAATTTTGCAGGCTTCTACAGTCAAATCTGCCGTTAGCGACCTCTGCTGTAGGCGACCATCTACCGTTAGCGACCGATTTTCCGTGCACCGACGGTTTCACATACAAACTGATCCGTCCAGAGCGACCATCTGCTGTGCGCGACCAGCGACCGCGATTTCATGCACGGTGGCTGCATTCAAATCTGCTGTAAGCGACCGCGACCCAGGTTCAGTAAGGTGCGAAACTGTACTTGCCAGTGCGCTGTCAACTGCAAAGTGTGAAAATGCAATCAGTCAAATCTGCCGTTAGCGACCTCTGCTGTAGGCGACCATCTACCGTTAGCGACCGATTTTCCGTGCACCGACGGTTTCACATACAAACTGATCGATCCGTCCAGAGCGACCATCTGCTGTGCGCGACCAGCGACCGCGATTTCATGCACGGTGGCTGCATTCAAATCTGCTGTAAGCGACCGCGACCCAGGTTCAGTAAGGTGCGAAACTGTACTTGCCAGTGCGCTGTCAACTGCAAAGTGTGAAAATGCGCTGTCTTGCAAGCGCGATCGACTGGCGCCTGGCCTGTACTGAGGCTGTGCTGTAGCTCTCAAGTCCAGGCAGTGTCGATCTACTGCCGTGTCGCATACGCATACTATACGGGTATGGTCGTCGTTGAATATCCAATAAAATGATATTAAAAATCACATTATTCTCGTCGATTTGAGTACATGGAAGCATATACCTGGTGTGCCGGATTTACCATACATCTGCCGTAAGAGACCATCTGCCGTAAGCGACCGCTTTTTCTTGCACCAAGGGGCGGTCGCTTACGACAGATTTGACTGTATATGAGACAGGCTTCTATACAAGACAGGTATTTCTATGTATGTCAACACTAAAACCAGGCTTATGTGTGATTTGATGGGCCCAAAATTGCGGCTTCTATTCGAGGGCGGCTTCTATTCAAGTGCGGCTTTTATACAAGACTTTACGGTATACGCTCGGCACGATACTGGCATCCCAACTCCCCCAGCATCTCATTTTATCAGCTCAAAACACAGGAATCTGTCAGGAGGCTGAAGCCTGCTGGAAACGTAAACTTCGTTCCGTTTCTAGCCTATCTAAATATATATGAGCAATTGTGAAGCAAAGACGAGCTTAGCAAATCCCCAACGACAAGAAGACCTTGCTATAAGTGTGCATACATGTATCTGCAAGTTTGTTGCTGTCATGCACTAGAATACTACCGTGCCGCTCAATGAAATCCAGTTGCGTCACTCAAGTTTGTGCCTTGCATCATTTCACAGCCCAGTGTTTGCAGGTCTAGGGCTGCGTAACGCCCGGTGTGTACTCGGGTGATGCGACTGGATTTCATTGAGCAACATGTAGTATGGCTAGAAATCTTTGTTCTGACGATGGCCAGTGGCCAATAATAGAGAGGAAAAGTGCAAGAGGAGAGGTAGCAAGGCAGGGCAGACGGGGATTAGCTGTTGCTTACCTCTAATCTATCTAACGTGTTCATTTCTCGTACCTGCGTACCGTACTGTTTATCAGCTAGCAGTACATGTACATGTGGGAGGAGTGCGTGCTTGTGCGTATGACCTAAAAGCTGTGTTAATTTGGTTTTGGCTTACGATGATGGTGAAGTATGGTGAAAAATTATCACGTGTGAACGCATTTGAAGAGAAGATGTCCAATTGGGTTGCATTGTAACTTTTAAAAAAGTGTCATGCTGAAATACACAATCCTACACAGTTGCGAGGGCATGCCGCTCTGATCAGGCCTGAGGTCTGTGAGTGATCTTGCCCGAGGTCGCTACGCCCCTCGGGCGTCGCGACCGAGGGCAAGATCACTCACATGACCGAGGGCCTGATCAGAGCGGCATGCCTGACGCAACTGTGTAGGATTATGGTTCAGACATGGCCCAACTCACGAACAACTACATTCCGTCCACACAAAGTCCGTTTCATGACAGTTTCGAAATAAAAAGCAAAAATGGGTGATACTGTTTATTGGCGAGTGAAATGTCAACTGAGAACGGCAACGGAAAAGGGAGTTCCCGACCCAAAATTGTGCTGCGTATCTCGCTGACTGGAGCAGCTGCAGACCACGACGGAGCTTTAACTACAAGAAAACCAAATTGGTGCTAGTGGTCATTGCAAAGTAAGACTCACGGTGTATGCCCTCAGGCAGTGATTACCACTGATTAGTGTACGTCTTCACGATGTCGCCCAACGTGTTCTTGCCAATTGGGGCCTTTGTGAACCAGTACTGTTCACGAGGTGAGTAAATTGTTTTCCTTTGGGCGTTAGAAGAGGCGGTCACACTCAGGGTGCAGTCGACTGATCAGTCTCTGCACCGAAAAGACTTGGAGTGGGTTTTGAATGCGGCCGGCTGGTGCGGCAATGGCGCCCAGCTGGTGGTTCTTCTGGGCAAAGTCAGTACCCAGCTTGATGTAGTCATCTCCATTGTCGTCTTTGAGGAAGACGAGATCTTCCTTCCTCGTGTTGCATTGCAATTCACGCTCGCGGATGCCGAAATGCATGGTGACATAGAACCAAACCTGCTGTATGAGGCACTTGGCGTCTTTCTTCGTTTCGAAGAGGTAGTTAATCTTGCCCATGTCTGTGTCAGTAATGATGTCCTTGTGTGCAATGTGGCTCATCCCACCTTCTCTCTTGAGTTTCTTTATCATTCCGTCGAACGTGTCGTTCGCACGGCGAAACTCGGTGTCCTTGTAGATATCGAAATCTCTTCCGAGATCATTCAAATGCCTTTGTATGGCTGCACGGAATCCCTTATACAAGTTGTACTGGTATGCATCACCCTTGTGCGTCCTCATTCCGACGTAGCACTTACAAAGCATATGGCAAAGGTCATCTTTTGAGCATGTTTTCAGGTCCAACGCCAAATCAGATTTCTTCATGAATGTGTCCAAAACCGCGACCCAGATTTTCGTGGTGTCCTTTGTACTCTTTGGCGTACGACCAGCAATCACAAGAGTCAGTAATGATGTCCTTGTGTGCAATGTGGCTCATCCCACCTTCTCTCTTGAGTTTCTTTATCATTCCATCGAACGTGTCGTTCGCACGGCGAAACTCGTGTCCTTGTAGATATCGAAATCTCTTCCTAGATCATTCAAATGCCTCTGTATGGCTGCACGGAATCCCTTATACAAGTTGTACTGGTATGCATCACCCTTGTGCGTCCTCATTCCGACTTAGCACTTGCAAAGCATATGGCAAAGGTCATCTTTTGAGCATGGTTTCAGGTCCAACGCCAAATCAGATTTCTTCATGAATGTGTCCAAAACCGCGACCCAGATTTTCGTGGTGTCCTTTGTACTCTTTGGCGTACGACCAGCAAGCACAGAGTCAACATCGGCATCGGTCACAGAAGCAAAACATTTCGGGGTGGGTTCAGCCATTTTGTGACAAGGAACAGTAGGTGACCAAAGGATGTGACTCAAGTGGAGGAAGTACAGGACTGAACTTCCCTCACTCTCACTTACTGTATAAACGGAAGAGAACCACAAAGCTATCGAGAACGGGGGAAAGCGGTATCGTATGTGTACTATCCCTGCCTTGCTAGTAGTAGTGCTGAACTGTATGTGACTGCTACTACTGGACTAAACCTTCATTTGGAAACTTGAAATAAAGATGTGGGAAGCACATACAGATGGAGAAGAAACGCAATGCAATACAATGTCCTTGAACTCAACAACTCACAGTCATGGGACAATGAGTACTGCTACTACATCTATTTTTACTCCAGTTATGTAACATGCACACGTACACGTACACGCACTGCATGACTCCTTTAAGACAAGCCTACACAGCTGATCTTATCACTTCTCAACACTTGTGGGGAAGTAGCTCGTTTGCTGTGTTCCCCTTGCACTTAATATGGTACTCGCACGACGTGGGAATAATGTAGGATTGTGGTTCAGACAAAGTCCACCTCACAAACAACTAGTATCCCTGTCTTGCTAGTACTGTACCCAGTTTCTTATCAAATAGAGTCAAAGTTCTCAGTAGTAGTACTGAACTGTAGCTGACCACTACTAATGCAGCTATTCTTAACTCTAGTTACCGTATTTTCTCTAATAAGAGCCCGGGGTTCTTATTTTTTTCAGTGACAGCTCTACCCACGCTACTATTAGAGACTGGGCTCTTATTTTGTCAATTGTCAACTATCAAGCCAACTCCAGTCTATACAGGCATAAACTGACCATATCAAGACTGATTTTTCAACCCTAAACTCAGGGATGTTGTCAAAACAGATGTTTCACAATAGCATTGGCGCCAGGAAGGAAGCAGTAGACCGAAAACCTCCTTACAAATATGTTCTTGGCATGTTGTACTGCTGTTTTATATGCAGTCAATATACTTGTTGCATACTCCAATTGTGACTCGCGCTACTATTAGAGGCTGCGCCTTTATTTTTTCAATCAACCCACGCCCTGCGCTACTATTAGAGACTGCGCTATTATTAGAGAAACTACGGTATGTCACATGTACACGTACACGCACTGCATGACTCTTGTCACTCCTTTGCTGACAAGCCCACACAGCTGATGTTATCACTGCCACTTCTCACCACTTGTGGAGAAGGAACACGTTAGCTGTTTTTTTCCCTTGCGCTTGAAGATGATTGTCAGAGTAAGGTTCAAATGCGAGCGCTGAGAAGTTGCAGCGTTAGTGCAGGTATAAATTTTAAAATGTACTTGTTGAGGTCTGCTTCCCTTGTGTACATTTCGCCACGATAGACAGGACCAGCTGCAAGGTCGGTTGGCGTTTCTGGTCTCCCTACAGACGTTCAAGACAGTAGTGAGTAAAATTTGTTTTGGAGAAGCGAGCCATTTTTTCAGTCCTCGTCGGAGATGTTGTCCACGGCAAGCACGTCGAGAAATGGAGAATGCGCATGTGCGGCGCGTTTTGTTCATGACCCGCTTGTTCTGGCCGCCCGTTGGCCGTCACCTGGCAACAAGCACGTGCCATGTATGAAGCGATCATCAGACAACCTGGGGATGTCTTCCCTTCAAATTTGTAGTTAGCTTTGCACGTTGAGCACCTTCATGGCAGTTGCCACGTTTTCTGTGTAAATAATCACGTGTGTACATGTATTCATGTGTGTGTGTGTGTGTGTGTGTGTGTGTGTGTGTGTGTGTGTGTACGTACACGCACTCGCATTCATGTGCGTGTGATAGCGGCCTTGACAACGCAGGAAAGACGACAATTGTAAAGAAGTTCAACGGCGAAGATATTGATAAGATCTCTCCAACGCTAGGCTTCAACATCAAAACCTTGGAGCATAGAGGGTAAGAAAACTGCCAAGCACCATGAAAAGTTAAAATTTGATCAAAGCTGTCAAGTGCATTTACGATGTACAACAACATGACCTGCCGGCTGGATTGTAGACAGTACCATTGGCATAAGTTTCTTCTTTTCTTTTAGCACCAAGTTATTATTTTACTGGGGCAATAAGCTATACCCTGTACGTTTGAAGTGAAAAGGTTACTATTGATACAAGTGCCAAATCTGTACACCATACATTGTACTCACTATATTGTAGTAAACGTGAGTCCTATTTGGGCGGTTGGGCATGTTACCCTGAACAAGCCGTTTATTTTTGCATGACCTAACTCGTTTGTATTAAACATACGAGTGACAGTAGTACCGTCTTGATCGAGTGTGTATACCGTAAGTCAAGTATGTTCTGTACGTTTTCATCTAAAACCTATGATGGTATCCGTATGCAACTACAGTGCGTATCGGTTATAGTGTGGTCGTATACAAGAATATACTGCCTACAAGAATGAACACTCATTTTTTCATAATCATAACACCTATTTTATGTGTATATTTATTCTTGCAAGCAGTATTATCGCATAGTAGAATATATCGGCCCTAAGAATGGATTTTGTGTAGCAAAATATGCCAGATTAGTGCAAAGTGTTTCGCCTGTAGTAATAGCATCTGTGCTCTGTGCATGCTCAATACAATAATATTCAACACAAAAAGAGAGTTATGTCCAACTGAGCATTGGAGAATCACTTTTTCTGTTCAGTCGGACTCTTTCTTCCGACTTCTCTCCTATCTGCTGCTCCGCAGTCGCCTAGCACGACCGCGAGTCTGATCCGTGTGTATCATGATTGTGTAGATCTACATGATTGTACGTGTCCACATGCCAAACATGTATTATGTCACACATGCATATGATATGTCACACGTGATTTATCGTGTGTAAGAAATATCGGCAATAAGAATCAAATGTCGTTTTTCAAACACCCACGCTATAACCGATACCTACTGTAATTATTTTCGGGTGTACAAATTGCACACCGCACGCACGATTTCTACATACTGTGTTATTGTTTGAAAATGTCATGTGCAGCCTCACCGTGCGAAATATTCTTGATTCACAGTGCTTTTATAACTGTTGTTATGCTTTCGTCCTAAAAGGTTCAAGTTGAATGTTTGGGATGTTGGCGGACAGAAGTCACTGCGATCCTACTGGAGGAACTACTTTGAGAGCACGGATGGTTTAGTGTGGGTTGTGGACAGTGCTGATAGAAGACGGCTGGACGACTGTCGCACAGAGCTGCACGCGCTCCTGCAAGAGGAGGTAATGCTACTGTACATCATATCATTGATCGCGACTGTTGCGTGTGTGTGTGTTTTAAGGTGCACACTGCCAGTTTGTATGCGTCACTTAGTTTGACTGTTGTCTCTGCATACACGTGTGCATGTGTGTGTATGTGTGTGTATGTGTGTGTGTGTGTGTGTGTGTGTGTGTGTACATGCGTGTGTGTGTGTACATGCATGTGCGGGTGTATATATGTGTGTGTGTGCATATGTGGGTGTTGTATAGCGCCTTGCGGGTGCATCTCTGCTGGTGTTTGCCAACAAGCAAGATCTTCCCGGTGCACTTTCAGCACGTGAGCTCAAAGAGGTGAGATTGTAACTTTTTTTCCGCCACCTACAAGTATTCGTATAATTATAAATCATAGGGTAGAGGGAGTTGAAACGGGAGAAGTCTGAAGAAAAAATTGACTGCCACCTCCAGGACTCTACCACTAAGCTATGGTGTAGTCGTCATCCCAGCAACAAATCATAATTACATGTGTTAGAGAGGTTCCGCACAACGTAATTACGTTTGTAAAACCATAGTCGATCTACATAATGTCTTATGTGCACTGCATGCGGATCCGTGTTCCGACATACAGAGTTTTTGAACCACGTAGCTGCCCATGGCAACTCCGCACGCGAAAGTGTACGACTCAAAGAGAGAGAGAGAGAGAGAGAGAGAGAGAGAGAGAGAGAGAGAGAGAGAGAGAGAGAGAGAGAGAGAGAGAGAGAGAGAGAGAGAGAGAGAGAGAGAGAGAGAGAGAGAGAGAGAGGGAGAGAGAGAATGAATGAATTACGATTATTAATTTGACATAGGAGTGCACGGCCATCACAAATCATAGGTAAGATCTGCGGATGTTGAAAGACAGAGAGAGACAGAGAGACAGAGAGAGAGAGAGAGAGAGAGAGAGAGAGAGAGAGAGAGAGAGAGAGAGAGAGAGAGAGAGAGAGAGAGAGAGAGAGAGAGAGAGAGAGAGAGAGAGAGAGAGAGAGAGAGGGAGGGAGGGAGGGAGGGAGGGAGGGAGGGAGGGAGGGAGGGAGGGAGGGAGGGAGGGAGGGAGGGAGGGAGGGAGGGAGGGAGAGAGAGAGAGAGAGAGAGAGAGAGAGAGAGAGAGAGAGAGAGAGAGAGAGAGAGAGAGAGAGAGAGAGAGAGAGAGAGAGAGAGAGAGAGAGAGAAACTCATCTCGTTCGCTCTTCTCTCTCCCTCCCCGACATTGTGTATAGATTCTACAGCTCGATGAAATCAAGACACATCACTGGATTATACAGTCATGCAGTGCAGTTAAAGGTGACAAGCTACTTGAGGGCGTCGACTGGGTTGTAACAGACATCGCGTCTCGTATCTTCACCATGGACTGAGCTCAGCCCAGTTCTATGCACCAACAACCTTCACTGCATGTAAGTAGTATAAACCGTCCAGAGTACGGATGTCTACAAGTGTTTACATGTGTTTTGTGTGTACATGTATATACTATATAGTCAGTGATAAGTGCTAGTGCTGGCATCAGTAGAGTTACTCTGGCTCAGTCACTTTGTTATCAGAACTATACATACTCCCCCCCCCCCTTCATTTGTGCTTGTCTCTGCATTGTAGCATAGATTGTCTGCTTGTTCTGTTCTTTATAAAAAAAACACTTATAGATAACAATGCAATGTTTAATACGTACATGTATGAAGTATGTACAAAAATCTCACAGCATGTTGCTTGATCCAGCCTTCAAGGCCAGAAAACGTTATCATATAATATCCGTACGAAAGACTTCACCTGGGTTTGAAATTATCTGTTCTACATGTACTTGATGACAATCTGTGACTAAAATTATATTTCGGCAATTTGCTATGTCTTGCACAATGTTTTTACTTCAAAACTGTATATTATTCTCTAGTCTTGTAGAAATGCACATGCTCAACTGAATCATAGTGTGTAGTTGTCATCTCATTCTGTCCATTGTATGACTCATGGTGAACCCTTCGCCTTGGTCAGGCCTGGGAAGTGGATGCGTGAAGAGAGTCCGGTAATGGTGACCAAAAGAGCAGAAAAGAGAAAAGAGAGCTTGACACGAGTAGGTAGCGTGTAGCAGTAGGTATTCTGTTGCAGTACTCAATGGAACTATTGACCATATAGCCTGTAACCATCAATCAGTCATGTTGCGATGTGGGGCAGGGTGACTACGGCCCGTAGCCATTGCTGGACCCACCTTGCCGTAGCTTTTCCAGAATTTGATGCTGACAAGTGGTGATGAGCAGACAACAACAAAGAAGAAAAGCAATGGCTTGTTTATGAGTTATTCCAAAGCACACTTTCACTACACTGGCACCAAGAGTTTGTCGCAACTTTCTCCCCTCCCTAAAATATGCACAACTCTGATACCAGGATCATCTTAAAAAAATCCTTTGCACCGTCATTGTGTACAGTTGGTGCATTTAGGACATTACTCTATGCGATCATGGACAGGGATTATTCAAAGCGAGTTGCGGCAGCTCGATGCACCTGGGTGCAAATCTTTGTACAGGTATAGAGGAGAGAAACTAATTTTAACTAAAGCTTGCTCTTACTCGGCGTTTCACAAATAATTTGTGAAACGCCGAGTAAGAGCAAGCTTTAGTTATTAACTATCACCAGACATCCCAGAACAGGAAGAGTGGATTCACTATGTGTACACCTACCTGCTCATGCACATCTTCGTCTGCAAGATTCAGCGTACGGTACACAGTGACCTTGCCATCACCATCTCCCACAACTATAGCCTGTGCAAGAGAATGAGCACAGCATACACATGCACGCACGCACACACACACACACACACACACACACACACACACACACACACACACACACACACACACACACACACAGAGGAATTGATGGTGAAGCCTCGTGGCCTGGACCGTTCTTATTATTCATGTATAGCAGTCTACATGGTCTATGCGCAGTGGAGTCTCCTTGCATATCTCACTAGGCTGTGATTGGTGAAATTCTAGCCTGAACGTTCTTCGGCGCTGCGTTCTTCGGCACCCGATCTCTAGTATCAGCATGGTTATCATGGTTGTCATGGTTGTCATGGTTGTCATGGTTACCATGGTTGTCATGGTTATCATGGTTATGGTTACTTGTAATGTAACACTAGTATTCACTCTATGAACAGCAGCACAGTGCTGAAGTGCTGAAGCAGACATACCTCTTGGTCTCGTGAAAAGCGAACAAATGTCAGATCCACGGCCGGCACGGGCTTGTATTGAGCGACGGGGTCTAGCGTGCTGCGAGCCAGATCCCAGATCTCAATGCAGCCGTTGCTGACCGTTGCAAATACGGTGGGACGTATCGGGTGCCAGGCGACGTCCAGTACTGCTTTCTGAGTGCACAGGGAAGAGAGACAGAAAATTCCAATGTTGAGAAAAAAAAGCACAGTTGGGCCAGTAATCAACTGATATAAAGTGTGAGCATCATCAGTACACTGCAACGTTACTGCAGTCGTAGCATCCGTTCTTCATCTAGTATGGCAATCGCATGAAGTTTAAGAAGTGCAACGATACTTCGTGGCAGATTTTTTTAGCAGAGACTAACCATTGACGAAAAGAGACTCTCGAACGGCTGACAGCTTTCCGAGTCCCAGAGTCGCACACTCCAGTCACCGCTACATGTCAAGAACACATTCTCGTTGTGTGGTGACCAGACAACTCGGTAGACCGGACCCTGAAGACCGAAGAGACACAGACATAGCGGAGAGAAAGTCCGCACTAGTATCCATCAAAAAGCTACCGTATTCCCCACGCGAGTATCATTTTAAAATTTAATGACAAATGACCAGGGCAAAAGTCAGTAGATAGACGAGGATACAATATTATAGAAGTGATGTTGACATGGTCTACAGGTATATTGGAGCATCTGCCACTTACAGTATGTCCTACGTACGTCTCCAGGTATTGTTCGTTATACGAGCAGGAACACTTGTGCAAGTATCCATCACCAGTGCCAACAATATAACTACAGAGCAAGAAGCACAGACGCAGACAGGTACTATGGCAACAGACACTGGCGTAGCATTTTCTCCGCCATCGTCTCCTCAAGTAGTCGCAGCAAACCGTGCATATTCAGCAGATGACAGTGTCCCCATTGACAGAGTTAGACTGTCCACATGTTGGTGTGAGGTGTGTGTGTGTGTGTGTGTGTGTGTGTGTGTGTGTGTGTGTGTGTGTGTGTGTGTGTGTGTGTGTGTGTGTGTGGTGTGTGTGTGGTGTGTGTGATGTGTGTATGTGTGTGTGTGTGTGTGTGTGTGCGCGCGCTTAAACCTAAAGATACACAGCAATGTGTACTACTTCACAAGTACCCACTATACATGCCAACAAACGCATACTCAATTCTTGGTACAGGTATCAATGAGAAGAACGCAACGGAGACCAGCTCTGGCTTACATATTGGGATCTTTTGCCCGCTCAAAGTCGAAACACAGGCCAATGGCGTTCTTGTGCAGTAGGCCAGCCTTCTCGCTCCTTTTGCTGGCGTGAGCAATGGTCGTGTGCAGCGTTTGGTGTGGGCCTTTCGGCAACTTCTTGGACGTCTTCTTCAGCGAAATCAAATCTGAACCGAAATGAGTTCAGTGAAAAAGAAAACAGGTCGATGCATCAGCACTTGAAAAGCTCAGGGAGCAACTGCCAGTGAGTTTCACCATTGCATCAAAGCAAAACTTGAGTTCACAGTACTTCACACCCTCACAAGTATTCCACACCACAGGTACAGCATCAAGGCACCACGTTTGGAAAATCACTTTCAACTACTTTCAAGTAGAAACGGACTTCCTTGTCGTGATCAGACTGGATCCAGTGTTCTCTTACCTGATCTCTCAAAGCTTTTCATCATGGCCCAGCGGCTGACCTGCCCATCGGACGACACGGAAACGAGCACCTCCTCGGCCTCGTTGCTGTCCTTGTTGTAGTGCGAGACGAACGAAACTTGCCACACTGGACCAGTGTGTTTCGTAGTGTGATCACTGGCAAGATACACATACACATACGCACATGCATGCACACACACACACACACACACACACACACACACACACACACACACACACGAATATGAGTTGATACTTCAGTAGGATAAAGCGGACGTCAGTGGGGTGTGGCATATGTAGCATGGTTGTGGTGTGTGTGGGTGAGGGGGGGGGGGGGGGGGTGATGTGTATGGTGCCATGACTAACCTGCTCGTGAAGATTGGTTCAACCGTGTCCTCGCGTATGTTGTACACATGAATAGTACCATCATACAGCCCGCACTGTGAACATGACACACACACACGCACACACACACACACACACACACACACACACACACACACACACACACACACACACACACACAGTCATTTGAAACTTGGACACACCATACATGTACAAGTACATTCAAGTGCTGTTTCCCTAGTTCCAAAGAGATGCTCCATAGCGTGTGCTTCTATTCCCAGCTACATGTACCCGCATACAGCACATAACTTATACAACAGCAAGCAACAGCAAATACTTGTACATACATGTACATGCAGCACATTGCTAGCCAGGTGACTCACTGCAAGAATACTTGGATGGAGTTTGGAGAAGTCAAGGGACATCACATCCTTCGGTACTTTGTACATGCGACTGGGACGCTGTGTGGAGAACAAAAACCATGATTCAGCCCTTACGTATTGAACAGTACTCGTACGAAGACAAACATAGAGGCATAACACAGTTTAATATAGAAGGAAAGCTAAATAAAGACACAGTCGTGTATCTCTCTTTCTCTCTCTCTCACACACACACACACACAAACACACACACACCATGTACCGTGTATACGCCCGTCAAGAGAAGCAAACAAAATCTGCAAATGCACTGGACATACAACCCCAGTTTTTTTCTTATAGCAACGATAGCGGACAAGATCTGAATGAAACAGATATTACACGCATGCGCACACACAAACAAACACACACACACACACACACACACACACACACATCCCGAACTACAATGCAAGCGTATGCCATCAAAGAGCCCAAACCCATCCCTAACGTACCACAGGGTTTTGACGGGTCCAGCAGCAAATGAGACCGGTCGACTGCTCTCCGAATGTGAATTCGCCATAACCAACAGCCAGTATATCCTGAATATCGGACAACGAACAGACAAAGCAATGAAGTCATACTTCACTTTAATAGCGAATCTTGGTCAAGTAATAGTTCCAGGGAGACAATCATACACATAGAAAGAAGTATTAAGATCTGTTCTGCTATAATTCATAGAGACTGATAAAGTGGAGGGCGATGAAGTGGGATTTTTACTAACAGTTTTCATCATCGGTATGGTAGCCACATTGACTATCTATCCTACTCATACTCTGCTTGGTTATACTACTCGAGAGTTGAAAGCTGTTGAGATAATCATCAACTGGTAGAAACGAGCAGGCTTCGGTCATTCTCTACCACAAGGAGGGGCAAGACGGTGGTGGCCTTACCTCGTTGAGTTTGTTGTAAGACAGGCAGCTGACGTTGCGTCCCTCGGTTTCCACACAGCTGTACGTCCAGATGGGCCGCACACTGGGATCTTCACCGCCTTCCCAGCGACTGACCGGTGGCAGAGTGGGAACGTCGGACGCAGCATCATCTGCACCGCTTGTCTTCTTCTTCTGTTCTGCCTCTGGTTCCTTGACTTCTTCGTCACCACCATCCTCTCCTTCCTTTACCACACTGCTCTCCACTGGGTCAACTGCACCAGGCATAGGGCAAAGGTCAAGAACAAAATCATACTGATATAAGCTGGATCGAGTTGGCCAGGCATCATAAGAGAACCTTGGCCGATCTCCTACATCGAACACCAGTGCCAGGAACAATGCAGTCTTGTAAACATCATCACTTCCAGTCTTCAACTCATATCTTCGGGCCCCCGTTGCATTACTCAAGTCGGTACTTCTGTTCTTACTTACATGTGACATAGGCCAGCTCGGGCGTCATGCCAAAGTACCGTGCATGCTGCTCCTGGAAGACATTGCCAGCCAGGGCTCTTTCCATGACTGATATGCTTTCGTACAGGTCCTCGTTCTGCACAGGTAAGTAACGTTACATGTAACAGAGTAGAGTAGTGTGGTTTGTAAAGGTACATGTAACAGAAAAGGTAGGAAAGCGATCAGCAGCCTGGCAAACAGTTGACCGGATTAGACCATCACCAATGTAATGAAGTATAGAGACTATAGATGCTGTGTATAAACCTGAAGATGGTCTGTGATGCTGCCCTCGAGGAACCCAGATTTAGTGGAGAGCGGGCACGGAACACTGTGTGCCCAAAGTGTATGCGAAAGCTGCCAAATGCAGGCACTACAGGCCTTTGCAGCAGCACTGGTGCTTGCCTTCTCGGCTGAAGCTAATGAAGGACACCTAAGGCTAAGGAATCCCTCCGACTCTTTACATGAGTCTTGTTTATGCCAATGCAGGTGCCTATTCCACCCGTGGCCTTCCGTATCACTTCCAGTGCGAATGGCCAACCCAGCATGTTCTCCACTAGTTCAATATTTTTCACAGGATCTCAAGTGCAGTGCCGCAGACCGTCCATACGCAAAGGGTCTACACTGTCCATGATCATCTGATTTATGCACACACCAGCCGTACTGTACTACAATGGCAGGCATGTCGCAGCTTGCAGGACAGGTCACACTCACATGAAACAAAGGATGATCGTCAGGCATGACCAGTGGTGGTGCATCGCCGCCACTCGCATCATCATCGGCAGGTGCATCAGGACCGCCAGCGGCAGCAGTGCCAGCAGCCTTGCCCGCGGTAGGTGGCTTGGCACCCGGCATGGAAAGCGATGTTGGTTCCAGCTGCATGGCCATGCTAGCTGCCATGCTGGTTGCCATGCTACTTCCTGAACACACAGACATACATAACACACGGACACACACACACACAACACGTACACACATACATACACGTATACATGCTGGCGCACACACACACACACCACACACACATACACGCAACACACAGATACAGGCATGCGCTCACGTGCACGCACACACCGTCACACATTTTAAATGCTCAATCATTTCACCAATATCCCTGGATAGGCCAAGCCTTTGGGAGAAATCCTTGGGAGAGCTGCCCGGCATGTGACCTCGGGACTTTCGCTATGCTTTGTTTTTACCTAGATTATACATTATGTGTTGTTCAAATTCCTCAATGCCCTGATGATGCCCCGGCAATGGGCGAAATATTGGCAAAGTTATTTATTTGGTGCAGCTGAGAGCCTGTTGCCGGAATGGCGGTGTTTTCAAGTGCAAGAAATACGCTGCAATGGAGTTTGGGAATTCTGAAGAAACATGTTGTTCAAACTGATGGAAAATCCTTGTATTTGGCGGTATACGTAGTGCAAAGACGTTTCCACCAGTTTGAATCTGAGCTAGCGGCTCTCTCGTCCTGATGTGGTATATTTTCCGCACTGCTCATATGCGAAACTGGTCCAGGGTGCCAGTTTTGCACTTTGGGCTGGATTTCAGTGAGTGCAACACGAAGTGATGTGTTGACATCCCGTGCAAATGTCGTACATTACTGGACCGGATAGCAGGGTATGCGAGAGTTGCACACTCTTGGGGGGGGTTATTGTACGGTTTTATCAAGAATAGGCTCCCGGGAGCTATCTACTCTTGATTTTATGGGATAGATGCAGAGCTGCGCACTCTGATTGATGAAGTCTTGGTGCCAGCGATAAGAAATGATTAAAAAAATGCAAATCCTGTACCGCGTATACCGTACAAATGATATTTTTACACCAGGGAGTCGTAAAATACCGCATGTACGACTCCCTGTTTTACACCAACACCTTTCATTCTGCATTTTCTCACCATGGTGTTCTTGGTCAACGTCCACGCAATAACAGGATGGGCCAAACGTTCTGCTTTTCAGACTGTCCTCCTTTCGTTTGTTTTGGTGACCGCCATTCTTCTTCTTATAATAAGTAGTCTTTGGAAATCCTGGGTTAGGAAGAAGTTAGTTCAGCTTGACAGTCTTGAAGGGAAATTGAAAAATTAATGGTATTACCCTCCAAGAGAGGAAAGCAAGACTGAATCGAAAGGATATCTACAGAACGGCTGCCCTTTTGCTACATCTCCATTCAAACAAGCAAGAACGCAGCAGATTTCACCCATTTAAAATACTAGCTCGGTACTGAAAAGAAAGAAAAGAAAAAAAAGAAAGAGGCGGCGATCAGACAAAAAAAAAGAAGACTAAGAAAAAGAAAGCACCCCCGGTGGGACTCGAACCCACAACCTTTGAATGCCGTCAAGCAATGCCCGAATAGAAGTCCAATGCGCTGATCCATTGCGCCACGGGGGTAACACAACAGTGAGCCGCGCTAGACAAGTTATAAACGGGCAGCGCGGGTAACGCGCTATGATTGGAAAGGCTTCCTGTCTGAAGCCTTTCCATACTGGTACTCGATGTTCCAGTTTTGTGACACGAGAATGGCACGAGAATTAGTGTACCGCTGAGTGTACCGCTATACACGTGGTCGACACTTAGTCGACACTTTGTTGATACTTTTTGACACGTGACCCCGTCAACGGTCTGCTTTGTGCCAATGCCACTCGGTAAACGCCGATGCCACGTACGACAAAGACGACTATCCCGTACGCGAAATAGTTGAGAACTGCATGACGTGGACCTGACGGCAAGGACAACTGCGAGGAGACCCCTTTCGGTCGACGGGAAGAACTGCATGCAGAAGTCCACGAAGTCGAACGAGGAGGCCCCTTTCCGTACCCCGTACTGCAAAGTGCCATTGATGGATGCCTTTTGCAACTGGAACGACCCCTTAAACGCTGTCGCGGCGACTATCCCGTACGCGAAATAGTTGAGAACTACTGACGTGGACCTTTTGCACCTGGGACGGCCCCGTAAACGCTGTCGACGATGTCGTGTCGGCGGAGTGAATGTGCAGGGTGAAAAGAATTGCTGCAAAGACGTCCGCTCTAGGCCTTTGGAGACATCGTGGGAACTCCTTCCGGTACTATACAAGCTGCTGACGTGGCCGTGGACATGTACATGGAGACATGGTGGGACTTCATGTACATGGATACATGGTGGGAATTCCTTCCGCCACCCCCGTACCGCAAAGCCAACGGTGGGGAAGGAGAAGAACAGACGTTCAGGAAGACGAACGAGGAGGAACCAGGACGAGCGAGCAATGGCAGGACTAGCTGGACCGTAAGTAGTAGCTGAATTGTGCATGACAACTTGACATCCGTGCGGCACTCGCCACTTGCCACTGCATAATATTTTCTTGTCCACTAACAATGTCTCTCCTCTGCCCCCTGTGTGTCCACGGCCCTGTTGCTGAATTGGCCCGATGAATCGAATGTCTTCCGCAACTGGAACGGCCCAGTAAACGATGTCGCGTCGGCGACTGAATGCGCTGGAGGAAAAATATTGCTGCGAAGACGTTTCCTCTAGACCACGGTAAGGCAACCCATTGATATGTTGCCAGTTACCTTCTACTAACACGTTATCAGGTGGAGAGTGTCTTGTACTCACGTTATCAGGTCGAGAGCGTATTGTAGTCACTCTCTCTATTCCTGTACTTCATTACGTTTAAGGTGTACGTATAACTTCTCAAAAAAATTTAATGGTCTACAGTCGTGTCGGAAGGGTACGGTGGGACTGTAGACCTGTTACCTTCTAACACGTTATCACTATATCAGGTCGAGAGCGTATTGTAGTCACTCTCTCTATTCCTGTACTTGATTACGTTTCAGGTGTACGTATAACTTTTCCAACAAATTTAATGGTTCACGTCTTCAGATAGAGAGCGTATTGCACCCATTGTCTAGTCTCTGTAGTGCATTGAGATTTTGTTGATCGCACATGAAAATGGATACACAGGCAAAGCAGGCCAAGTACATGGCGAGATGTCGCCAGAAGAACGTCTTCAGATAGAGAGCGTATTGCACCCACTGTCTAGTCGATTTTGTGGATCGCACATGAAATGGATACACAGACAAAGCAGGCCAAGTATATGAGAGAGTGGACGATGTGCGGATCGACACGGCCTGCGGGTACTTCATTAAAGTTACCCGTGACATAACTAGGATAAAGGTTAATCACTGCAAAGACATTGCCAAGTATGTGAGCACTTTGGACTTGACAGAAGAGTGCAAGGGCGACGTTGACAAAACATACCGCGGTGACTGTCACCATCATGACGGCAGGGCACATCGCACGCAACATCGCAGATCGTGTCGAATTGCGCATCATAATATTGCAAAATTGCTCCTGTGCATGCAAGTGGATTTCATTGCACTTCTCAGTTTGGGAAATGCTTGATTATGACAATTCTGCGTGTGAGTGCACTAGCCCTGAACATACATGTAGGTGACCCGTTTGTGGTGTCTCATAGCTAGCCCTTTCCCAAAGATGCTCGCCACTTTTTTCGGAACTTTTCGGTGTTTAGGAAGAAATCGCAACTTTCACAACTTTCTTCAATTTTCCGGAACTATTTCGCAATTTCTCCGCAACCTTGGCGCAATTGGCCCCATGGCATGGGGTCGAAAGGTCAAGTCACCGACTACATGTTGCATTGTTGGACAAATACATACTCGTGCTCGCTCATTTCTCGCCTGCCTTCAGGCTCATTTCTGAGAAACAGTAGATCAACGGTAGTTACGATAATTATGTGCATTCCCTTTTCCGTGCACTGTAATGATGTACATGTACATGTAGGATACATGCAACAGGCTACTGGCACTGTGTAAAATGGTGGTTCACAGCAGGAAGGGGTGTACGAGTTTGCTGTCGCAGCATCGCTGCATTTCTGCTATTTCTGCTCCCTGTTTTGTAGGTTTTGCACAAGAACTCTCCAATTTTGAGTTGCGATGTTGGCAACTTTTGAGCTTTTCCTGAAAATATGGATGCGATTTCAGCAACTAGCACTTGTTTTGGCACGGTTGCGAAAAGCATAAGTTGCGAAAAACTATGGCATCTTTGGGAAAGGACTACTCATAGCCTACCTCACGACCTTCTGCTTTCTTTCTTCATCACTTGTATCTTGCAGGTATATCATCCCGTGACGACCACATTGAAGTCTGAATTTGAAGTGTGAAGATGCTTCAGCAACCACATCGTACTTTTCCATTGCTTTCATTGTGCTTCTACTGTGCATGTGTGTAACTTGTGGGGTAAACATGTGATGACATTGTATGCTGGCGACACGGTCAGATGTTGTCCATGCGTCTAACGTACACGTGCATGTTATGCATTGAAAAGGATTTGCCACTTGCGATCCTGGGACGAGTATCAGGTCAGCTTTGTCCTGTCTGGGCTGTATCAGATTGCTGTTCACTTCTCTATCTGTTGGATGTGTGACTTTCTGCAAGTTTCTGGTGTATGATGGCCACTTCCTTTCTTGTCACTTTGTATGATATTACATTCTGTATTCGCTGCTTCCATGGCGTGGTCTGCAAACTGCAATCCTTGGGCAAATGTCATGTTTGCTATGTTGTGCTTTGGCCATCAGCTTGTCTACACGCTGTAGTTGAATTATTTTTGTTTCACAACTGACTTCCTCAAGTACGGTGGCCACTGCTTTGCATGGCATTATATATGAAGAATTTCCTGTTTGTGTCGTGCGCATGTGCGTATGTGTGCGTGGCCACGTGTGTGTGCCGTGTGCATGTGCGTATGTGTGCGTGGCCACGTGTGTGTGCCGTGTGCATACGCATGTTTGTGTATCTGTGTGCGGGGTAGCGAGGCGGGGAGGGCTGGTATGTATCAGTGTTTTATTGCAGTCTCATGGCTACATACAGTACATCGCGCGTGGTCATCATGTTTATCTTCGGGGTTGGGGTGGGGAGGGAACGGAAAAAGAACTGAAATTATCCATATAAAACCGCCCTGTGAGCGGTTCTGAAAAACCTTTACTGGTACTGCCCCGTCGTAAAAGTAAGAAATTAGAACTGGTCCATTGTCCTCCCAAATGCGAACTGATCCACCTAAAACTACGAAACGGAGACCGCTGTGAACCCACCCGCTCAGGGGTCGGATTTCAGTTGCCAGGACTGTCCTCGTACATCACGATCATAATGCACGTCCTGGTCAGTTCGTTCAGTTTATGACCCATACCCACTGCCTTCGTCAATCCAGAATCCTACTGCTTTAGTTTAGGATAGCCAAGCTTAGCATGATACTTGTCATTGAATGATTATCATTAGACATGTAGCTTTGTTTTCTCCGAAGTTCCGAGGAGTCGGTCAATTTTAACACACAGGCTGAGCTTATCCGCTATAGCCGATGTTACTCCCACACATGTAGCATGTGCTGATGTACCACAGCCAATGCCCATTATTACAACCTATGCATGTGATTGTGTAATCGTACATTTGCTGCTAAACTCAATGAAATAACAGTGATCCAGGCTGTGTGTGTGTGTGGGGGGGGGGGGGATTCACTGGCCAGAAAAAAGTCACTTCAATCAGCTGTGTGGTAGATACCAGGCTAAAAATAGTGGCGGACAATTCATCAGCCTTGCAAGCTGTTGAATGGTGTAATCCCAGCACAAGTTGCTATATCTAACATAGCTGTTCGCTATCATCGCTTCCGCGATGGGCAGGTCTGAGGTGTGTGTGTGTGTGTGTGTGTGTGTGTGTGTGTGTGTGTGTGTGTGTGTGTGTGTGTGTGCCTGCGTGTATGTCATGAATACGTTGCAGTGTCCTGCACCAGCAGTAAGCCGCTGTCCAGCGTTCGCCCATCTGGGGTAACACAGCATCATCGCCACCGCCGCACCCAGCCGGCAGCGGCGAGCTAGCTGACGCACCGTGTACCGGATTTCCGGTGCAGCAGCACTGTCGGTGCGCGTGCGTGCGTGTGTGTGTGTGAAGTACGCTTGAAATCAGGAACTTGCGTCGGTGGCCATGAGACGTACAGTGATGACCAGTGAAAAATCCCCCCTCCCCTCCCCCAACACCCCCTCCCCCCCAACACCCCCCCCCCTCCCCTCCCCTCCCCTCCCCTCCCCCCCTCTCCCTCCAACACACACACCTTCAAGGTTTGAAAACTTCGAAAAGCAGCACCGAGCCCTCCACAGCCCAAGCCCTGTAAACACTATGTCAGGTGTGCTGGAGCACTGCACTGCGGTATTCATGAGTTTGTTGACACTGACTCGACAGCACTGTTTGCCACCGGGTGCTCTCATCAAGTGGAGCACAGCCAACTCAGACCGAGCCACACATCTACAGAAACGGCCCCGGCTTGGCAGGTTTTTACTTTGAGTTCCTGGTTGCGAAAGCTGTATTCTTCTGGCATGGCATACGTACACTACCCTCAGCAACAGTATACTTTTAAGTATACTGTTACATTATAATGATCTCGGAATATCTCGTGTATAACAACAACAAAGACCTAGTGACCATTTGGCTGCATGCTTCCAACCTCACGAAAAACGATTAACTCGCCAATAACGGCACTTTTCTCATCATCAGTGCACGATCGAGGGTTGTTATTTGCCGCGAGGTCGACCTGTATAACTATAATGGAGATCAGAGATGGAGGTGTGAGACCACGGTCACTAACAGGGTTACATCATGGCATCCCTTTGGCTCTTTCCTAGCTAATTCATGTGACAATGTGTGGGCCAGTGGGATGCAGTGTGTCACCATGAAGTTGACACACATGTGGATGCTGGCTTTGGCTCATCGACAGCACATTGTTTTGTGTGTAAAATATACAGGACAAGACACAGCAGACAGTGTACAGTAGGTAATTGTTCTGGATGGGTGTATCGAACGTTACACACAGAATCGCAGTGCACACAGACGGTCAAACAAAGAGAATGAGATGTGTCTTCTTGGTCCAAACCCACACCAGCATACAACCTACAAAACACCGTAGCACGGCGGGTAACGGTTATGTATATCTATACAACCGAAGCAAAATGCCCCGTGCATTGACAAATAACCCTGGCACGACTAATAGCATTTCGTCACACAAGTCTCACCTGAGGCAAGGGTGCCTGGACCGGGCCTCCCTTTTGCCGCGGCCTTCCTCAAATCCTCACTGATGGCTGTCTCAAGGTCGTTGTCATCATCGATATCACGGTCATCTTCCAGTAGCACAGAACAAAACATTGGCATTCAGATTGTAACACGCAACGTATTGCGTGTTATAAGTGCATGGGTCCGGATTTGGTCAATGTTTTCGCAAACCTCCACACTGGTTTTGTACAGGATATAAAACGATCTTATCCAAAGCCAGCCTGCCTGTGTAGTGTTGAAAATAAGCCTTCCATGCAATAATTGCTGGGGATTTCTATCTTGCTAATGCAATAGTGCATAGAGCCCCAGCTATACCCAGGGGTGGTACCACTGGATACTAGCTCGGACATGTTTCTGTCCCAGACCTGCAGCACTGGTGCCACTGAGGATGCAAGGATACCACGAGTGGAAGACTGCTGCGTTGTGCGCTGGTACTTGCGCACAATGCCCACCTAAGGAATGGCTTGACTGGACGCGAGGGACTTGTTCACGGTATTAAATGAGCTTACGAGGCTTGCACAGCAACTAGTGATCCAACGACTCTACTACATAAGAGCTGAAGCTAGTGCATGCACTGATGTTGCCGGGGTATACGAGATAGCTTAGCCGACTTGATACAAGCCACCAGCGAAACGTATTTCACATTCTAGTGCTTTGCCTGAATGCGTCCAGTTGGTTGGAAATACCGGTAACCGGCTCAAGCAGCAAGCATGACCTCGTCACGGCCAAGTGAGCAGGAGGCAACCATGCATTCACTGATCCATTCCCTAAGTGTGATGTGAGCACATACCTGCCGGTTCCGACTCGTTGACTGACGTGTACATGTCGTATGGCGTTGCCAGCACGCCAACATCCTGCAGTGCATATACACGACGACCAGGAGACTCGGTACAGTGTAAAGCATTGGCATGATTATCAAACATTCACTGCACAATGCATGCTCATTCCTAAGCAAGGTTGTCCCGTCTCGTTCTAAAAATCATGTTTAGGTCAAGATACGAAACGTGACGTTACCTGGAAAAGGACGGGAACTGTCTGCACATCCTTTCCTTTACGCTGAAAGTTGACGGTCTGCATGCCACGCTGCATATATCGGTCATTGCCAGCACGATTCTTGCAGAGCTGCAGATCAAACACGCGAACACAAGTGTGCACACACACACACACACACACACACACACACACACACACACACACACACACACACATGCACGCATGCACACACACACATGCACGCATGCACACACACACGCGTGCACATGCACACATAACAGATACCCCAGCCACAACCATGTACATACACACACACATGCATGAATACACCCGTACATAGGCCTGTAGCGATGGCGTGCAAATCGATCATCAAATACGGGTATAGGCGTGAAAGACAAATCGAACCATCTCGGTATGTACACAAAATCAGGAAGGGGCATTGCATGCATATCTTTTGTTCACTCCTAACTTTACAGGTGGATCTTGTCACGGGCACCACTCAGAGCCAGGGCCTTTATCATCACATACATGTACATACTTGACAAATTGAAGATGGTTTATAGCCTGTAGATCCAGCTGCCAGCACTACTGATACTAGGCAACACACACCTCACCACTCTACAGGGTATGGATCATGCAGTATGATCAAGAGTACAATTATGGCATTATGGAACATGCACCGGCATGATCGGAGATTATGGAACAGCCACCATAGCCACCATAGCCTCTATAGATCGAGATCACAATATGCTGAGCAGCAGTAGTATACAGTTGGCGTAAACTCATTGGGACTACATGTCACATAGACAACACTGGCAGAAGCAAAACACAACAGAATGACCGGCCAATGTCCATACCTCTAAGTACTTCTCATTTTTCGCCTGCTGCTCTGCTAGCTCCTTGGGGTCATCCACTTCCTTCTCATCCTCGTCCTTCCTGTCCTTGTCCAGGGGCTTCTCCCACACCACAGCACTCGGCGCCTGCTCGAATATATCCATTGTGTTCGTTTCCTGCAGCGTGATTAGCACATTCTCCTCCAGTTCTTCGGCTGTCAGGTCATGCGGCTCTGCAGACTCTGTCCATGGATGGCAATGAAGAAGAGTGCAACATGTGAGAGTAGTAAAAAGGTGGCCGGGCTAGGCAAACAAATCGTGATACTGTAGTACGCTAGGGCGTGTGGAATTTTAACCTACTTGAAGCTACCACTGGCATGTAAATACATGCGGTACACTGGGTGCATAGCAAAGCATCACCACATGGCATGCTTGACCATGCACTTGAAGTACCATTCATTTTCTGATCGCCCTAAATTCATCCCGCACGCATGCTCACTTCAGCACTGGCTCAGCAATTCGGTCTTCTAACCTTTGAAGAGCACTGGCTGCATGGGTTTCTGAGCAGCTGAGCCTCCTGGTCCCTGACTGGTCATATGCCGCTGGATGCTGGACCCGATTGAAGTTTGCGCTAGGACCGAGCCACCTAGTGTTGACCTGGATGGCAGCACGTGGTGAGCATAGAAACACACCTTGAACCGGCAGTATGAGAACTGTGGAGCTGCGTTGCACCCGCCGTAACCCAAATTCATTCCTAGCCTATGTGAATAAGTACTCATGTAATATTGTCAAATTACCCTGATCCGCAAAGAAATGCATGCTATGACATGGGATGACTGAGACCATGCTATGTGACTTCAAGCACGAGTTAGGTGTACCCATATACGCATCGGAAAACTTGATTACATTTCAACCATGACATGACATCACATGTAGAATTACCTGGAGAATGGCTCTGTGAATCCAGCATCAACCGACTGTGGAAGGCAACGACGAACCAGCAACAAAAACAAACATTGAGCTGCGCCATGCACGGTTCAAGTTTCTTTGCAATTGCATACAAATCTACCCCGGTAACTTATCAACATCCACAGCCACCATGGTGTTGGTACTCCACACCAACGTCTGCCAGAAGAAGTAGATCTACTGCTCAGTCTGTTGCAGATACATGTACAGTCACTGATCTACTTGGCAGTTGACGGTTTGAAGCTGTATGAACGTCTCCGATGATTTTCACAGTTCATAGTTCTACCAGCCTGTGACTCGGTGTTCTGCACGGTTAGTAGAAAACATTACAGAACGCCATATTCCAACTGCCAGAGTACCCCTTACCCCGCGAGTGCATGACCTCCATAAGATTCCAACTCATGTATAGAGTATCCTGCTCAAGTATAGACTTGAAAGGGTACTACTGCAATTACCATACCTTCCACAGGAGCACCAACACAATGAGGTGTGCAGCTCAAAAGCCAACAACAAACTGGGCCTTCTTCTACATTTTAACATTACTTACATAAATCACACTAGACATGTCGATGACCGGGTACAAACTGCTCGTAGAAACGACCAACCCCCGTGACTCACTGTCTCCCATGAATTACACACCCACACTCCACCATTAATTCCACGTACGTGTACAAGCACCTACGTACGTATGCAGTATATACGTACCGACCGAAAGCTGCCGCCCATTTCCGATTCCTGGCCGCTGTGTCCCCGCTGAGAGCTGTCTGCCTTGGTGCCTCCATAGAACACGCTAGCAAGTGCTGTTCTGCAGGACCAGGGCAAAGTTGCAGTGTGCATGTGCACAGCCATGCATCAGCAACCGTGCACAAGAATATTGTATCTACAGACTCTACACAGTGACAAGTACATCTACGGGAGTGCACGTTTCATAGCACATCAGCACACCTAGTATCAATGATTCCAACGGGATACGACAACCGCGCTGTCCTTCTGCATGCTCCCTTGCGGCGTAACCTGTAATTTGGGCATGGCCCGAAGCAGTGGTATTACATGTACGCAAACGTACCTGTTTGCAGCTGCCTTCTCTGTCTCAAACAGGGGCTTTGGTGTGACATCCTTCCCGTCTGCATCCAAGACCTGCATCAAGCAAACACCGGTATACACATGTCATGCAGACCTGATCTGTAAGGCCATGCTCCACTACCAAAACACTACCAATGTTATCGAGTACAATCACGTACCAACAACAACTACCACTCCTTGAGCAGTAGCCGACCAGGACACGCATATACTTGAAGTACAATGGTAGGATATACACTTGACTTTAAAATTAGCAATACAGTCTAAGTGATGAGCACGGCCCTACCCATACCCATGGCATTAAGCTCATTGAAGTGATGAGCATGGCCCTACCCATGGCATTAAGCACGGCCCTACCCATGGCATTAAGCTCATTGAAACAAGATAGCAGATGACTATGGGTAAGAAGTGCCACCAGTATCGGCCTCCTTTACGGCCTTACTGACAGTACATGTACAATCCGTCATCACTCACAACCCGTAGTGTGTTTCTGGCATCCATAATGCATGTACTTCCCGAGAGAGAGAGAGAGAGAGAGAGAGAGAGAGAGAGAGAGAGAGAGAGAGAGAGAGAGAGAGAGAGAGAGAGAGAGGGGGGAGGGGGGGGGGGGGGAGGAACACATTCATTTACAATACGGCTGCATGGTTTAGCAATGCAATAACTGCACGGTGAATGACTGAATAACTGAAACCACTACAATCATATACATGTATACATGCAGGTATGATTGACTTCTGCTCTGATATGATGTGTGCGGAGATAGCAATGAAGAAGCATTACAAGCTTGCACGGCAACAAACACCTTCCTACCACGATTGGCTTTGGCGGTGGTGGAGCAGCCGCTTGCTTTCCGGCCATCACTTTGCTGCCGGTCAGCTGTGAACGAGAGTTGACGAATGAGCCGCTGCGCAGTGACTTGAAGCGTGTTACGCTGCTCGACGCCAGCTCCACGCGATGCGCCACTTGCAGAAACCTGGCATACACAGAATACAGGGGAGAGGAGCAGGTGCACCAGAAGACAAAACTTCTCAGTATGGTTCTAAAAGATGGTTGTGCTTGCCAGTTGCACAAGCATTTTGCAAGCCCGGCAGTCAATGCCTAACTCCTAGTTCTAAAGTACGTCACAAGAAGGGAATTCAATCAGATGACGTGTACTTGCAGTACCAATATTGTCCATATCACCATAACCTTGCCAAGGCATGGATGCCATGCCCAGCTGCTCTACTAATATATGCACAAAGCAGGCCATATCATCTTTCATAAAGGATTCAAGTCAAACTGACTCTTTGCAGTCCTCTATCCCACTGCATGCCCCAGGTACTCGCTGCAGGAATAGAGCCAATGTCAGTGCAATAAGGACTTACTGGCATGCATAGTACACTGTACACTCCTCGACTCGCGGCAGACAGATTTTTGTATACACGAATCAGAGGAAGCATGCTACTGTACTATGTTGCCCAGATGAAACACCCAAAGCTCCTGTCTGCAAGGACACGGTTTAAAAAATTGCATGCAGCAGCAGCAGCAGTTCACTGTCTGTGACCGGATTAGATCTGTCCAGCACTAACCGAGCAGTTAGTTATTATAGGTACGAAATCAAGCTGAGACGTATCACCTTTGGATAGGGAGTGACACTGGCACTGCTGATATAACGGTTACGGCCCGCACATTGACAACTAACCAGTGACAAACCGAGGTGATAATAGAGGGAGGCTGCCATGGTCACAGCACATGTGGATACTTTGTCTGGGCGACAGGAATGGGGCAAGGCTCAGGGATAGATTGACTTTGTGTGAAGTCGCACACACAGTGACGTATTATCACCCAGTGCTTGCAGTTGCACGCACTGACTCCTCACACTCTCACTAGCATGCACGCTTGCATGTCTCACTCATCTTCACTCTCCTCCTAGCACCTCTTGCTATGCGGTCTACATTGGCACATCGTGAGTCGTGACGCCACACTGTTTAGATCCATCTCTCTGCTTCTTTCACGCCGGATTGAGTGTAATGTTATGTTCGTGCAAAACCAGTGCGCATGATGTTCTAGTTCTCTTTCATAGTCTGCAAAGCTTATACTACACTGTAAGGCATCACGCCCAACACCATAGATTTTATGCCCGCCCCCCTTCTCCCAGCAGCTATGCTGGCTGCATGCACAGATCTTGTATTGGGAACTGTGCTGTCTATAGCATTGTATTTAGAATACATGTATCCTGATCATAGTGTGTGGATCACTGAAAGAGACACAACTTTAGATACGTGGAGATCGTATACAGCCTTACCCCTTATCTCGTTTGGGCATCATCGTGCCGGCGTTTGCAGCTCAGTGATTTGGGACGAACTAGGTATAATTATTGCTATTATTCAAATAGGGCAGCTTGGCTTATCAGCTATATCATTATCTGCTGGGTGATGCAGTAGCGAGAACTCCTAGCGCACTGATCATCCCGTTCGGCAATGAATTCTCTCGCCTAAGAAAGGTTCTTCTGACGAGCTGATCATGTACTTCGCACAAGAAAATTGTCTCCGCACAAGTCTTCGAAGGGTGTGAATTCCCTCTCTTCGACTTCAGAGTTCAGTTCGATCATGCACGTCAAAACAGACGAACGGGATTCCGTTTCGCGCGAGGTGAAGCGGCTGAATGAGACCATGCGCATATGCATGCATCATTGCATGATGCATCGACGATGGATGTGGCGATCACACCGTACCGGCCCATGCACCGCTCATTTTATGTGTTCTTGCTGGCAACATCACCAGTTGCTATGCCGACAAGACCTTACTTTTCGCTAGGAAACGAAGTGGCCATTGTGAACTATACTACATTAAAATTTTTGTCACGTATCATGAACCAGGACCAATTATTATGGCAATAACCTGATCACATGTCATGATGATTGTTGTGTGGGAGGAGGGAGGAGGAGGTTAAAAGCTCTTGGTAGCCTGTTCTAGACTAGGATCTCGGTCAGCCCCCCCCCCCCCCCCCCGGATGCTTACCCCGACTCGTGGACCTAAGAATACACTGACTGACCTTCACTTCACGAATTCACAGGGACTCCGGCTATGGTCCGGTGTTTTCATTAATTTTAAAAAGATCCTGCTTGTTCTATTCTATGGTGTGTGGTTCACGGTGCATCACTACGCCCACAATGTACAATGTTACATGGCACATATACATCTGTGACAAAGCCCGAGCCACAATCACACGTAGCGCACGATGAAACACACGCATATGCATGGGGTTTCCCCCGGAAAACCTGGAATATAGGAATATTGGAGGAAGATTGATGAGCCCCACGGGCCTCGCAAACTATGATGAACCTCTAGTACTCATGAAATCTCAGCACATTGTGAAAATGACAAATTGAGAGAGGGGGAGAGAGAGAGAGAGAGAGAGAGAGAGAGAGAGAGAGAGAGAGAGAGAGAGAGAGAGAGAGAGAGAGAGAGAGAGAGAGAGAGAGAGAGAGAGAGAGAGAGAGAGAGAGAGAGAGAGAGAGAGAGAGAGAGAGAGAGAGGAGAGAGATAGATAGATAGAGAGAGAGAGAGAGAGAGAGAGAGAGAGAGAGAGAGAGAGAGAGAGAGAGAGAGAGAGAGAGGGAGAGAGAGAGAGAGAGAGAGAGAGAGAGAGAGAGAGAGAGAGAGAGAGAGAGAGAGAGAGAGAGAGAGAGAGAGAGAGAGAGGGAGAGAGAGAGAGAGAGAAAGAGAGAGCGAGCGAGAGAGAGAGAGAGAGAGAGAGAGAGAGAGAGAGAGAGAGAGAGAGAGAGAGAGAGAGAGAGAGAGAGAGAGAGGGAGAGGGAGAGAGAGAGAGAGAAAGAGAGAAGTCATGGTCCAAAATTGAGTAAACTTGGTTGGGAAACTGACACAAGAAAACAATACTGATGAGAACAGGTCACAATACAGTATCAGTGAAAGGTGTGAAACAGTGCGTGACACTATTGACTAATTCAAGGTTCAGCAACTACACAATACTCTGTCACATAGCCATAGCAAGTTCCACTCCATCATGGTCATTACTGAGATGTTGCTCACAGAATGCAAATGAACATACGCCAGATACAATTATCATGTCAAGTTTCTCGATAGCTATTGGCATATCAGCCATTTCTTAGCCTTCCATCATTTAGACTCAAACCAATGTTTACACACGGTGTGTTAGAACAGTGAAGTGGCCATTGCCAAAATCACCTCTAAGACATTGTCCTGCCAGTATGATGCGCAATGGACTCAACAATCAATGTTTGCATCTCATGCCTTCTTCTCCTTCTTGACAAAACTGTCCAGCGTAGCGGTCTTCGTGCGCTTTGCATTGCTGCTACCACCTGCCGTATCCTTTGTTGCATGTTTGCGTTTGGCCTGGTAGTGGAAAAAGGCATGCAGCAAGCAGGCAATCAAGATCAGCGTCTGGGCGCATCATGGACAGTTCCGACACCGCAGCTGGCAATCACTCCACCGTGGCAGAGCACAGACTTCATGAGCGGCCATCAGTGAAAGAAGAAGCAAAAAAGGTCTCTTTGTTTTACTGGGTTCGCATTTTTTAACCAATACTATATTGCATTCCTATTTATCGTGTTTATTTTACGCGTAAAAGAGGCTCCACCATACCTGGCTGTGCTTGACAGCAAAAAGGCCTCGAATATTTGTTTGTAGTGAGAGTTCCTTCGTCACAACTACCATGCCGGGTTTTGAGATGCTCCGTTCGTGGATATGCATCGCCTCAGCTGTATGCAGTGTCCACAGCGTAAGGGCCGTCCAGTGCAAGGTGGCGTGATATTCATGAGGGTTAAGTTCACTGGTGGTCGTGCATGCATATTATATCAGAACCCGTGTGAAAAGACCCCACCTACTGTAGCATTGTGCAAGAATACAGAATGGATGAGAACCCTATACTACTATTGCAGTGCAGTTGTGTGCTGGCAGCATTTCCAAAACTGCAGTTATTGACAATACTAATTTAGGCTCCAGGCAGTTAGTGTGCTCATTCCACCACGGGAGATGAACTTATGCACATAACTTACCGGCGTTGCTGAGGAGGCTGTCTTCTTTTTTGATGTACTTGTTGTGACTAGTGCCATGATCTGTGCAGAAATATGTCAACGAGGCAATGAGCATGAGAAAAAAAGCAATGAGAGTGAGAATGCCAATGCCAATGAAAAAGAATTGGAGAATGAGAATGAGAAAGAAGCTGAAGTGATCAGAACACGGCTGCATGGTAAACTCTTCTATTACGATGGAACAACACCAATATGTGCGTTCAATGCCCGTAGTCAAGAGTAACCCCCCCCCCCACACACACACACACAGACTTGAGAAAGGTCAGCCGGCGACCTGCCTTACCTTCCGCACTGCTGTGGATATGGCCACACTGTTGATATCTTCCACCCATTGAACAGACTGCTGTTGCGTTGAATCACCTAACTCATCAGTGCATGATCTAGAGTCAAAAGTGAAGGAAAAAACAGACATCATGCGATACCCGTCTTTACGGACATGTGGACTTTCTACACAGGTCAAAGAATACGCCAATGCTAATCGACCACCGCGATAAGGGGGCCAGCAGAAACTCGTCGACTCAGCAATCGGATGAGGGAGGGAAGTCACATGGACAATTCACACAAACATACTTACTCTGACTTCATAGCAGCCAGTTGGATAGAATACACATGATACGTGTGCAGTCGATGGGAGAATGTGTGCGAGACCTGTGGGAAACCACCAATAAAACACGCACCGGCAAGTCTCAGCTTCAATCGCAGCAGCAAGGCCATACCATGAAGTGATATCCATGCTGAAATACAAGAACAACAGCCATGGGATAGGCTTGTCGATTTTGTTCAGTAAGCTGATAAGAACAAATCTACAGGTTCTCTACTTCTATGATACCAGTATTTCCATCTCTGCTAAGGAGTGGCTACGGACAGCCTAGGATGCTCACAAAGGCAACAGCGGCATTCTTTGTTTGTCCTATTGCTGATGGCTTCCATCTATCCGTCCGAAGACAACACGTAACAAGAAGAGATCAAAGTACCAGCGCCACCAGTAACTGATTGAAAACTCAAAGTGCAACTCTCCGAGAAACACACACACAGCAGCGTTTGGAAATAGCTCACCTCTCCCAGCAATGTACTCTTCAGACTACGGATATCCACTGCGCATGCATCACGCAAGTGCTCAGTAAGCAGTTTATGCGATGCCTTTTGTGATAGGGATGAGTCGGCGACTTGAAGACAGGGAAATTCCCATAGACCAGCAAGTAAGCCTGCAAAAGAAATCAAAGAAAATAGCACCCAGAAATCTATTATTTCGAAGCCCCAACGCACAATTTAAAAGTTGAATTACTGTAACTGCTTTCAGCCTAATGTGACCTTTTTACTAAAAAAAAACAAAAACTTTCAGCACTACATTGCAGTAGTAAGAAAATGGAGGATATAGTGTGACACTACTAGCCGATCAAAACCGTTCTAACTTACCCTCTCCTCGTCGCTTTGCCAGAAAGTATTCATTACCACCCGTTGCCACACAGTGTCTCGACACAACGGCCGTCACATACTATAAAACAAACACACGAAGACGGCACATATACATGCATGTAGACTAATTAAATATCAAGATTTCGTTGCGAGCATTCCCCTAGCAAGCATGCAGGTAATCTTGCAGCATGTCGGACCAAGCACATAGATGCAGGGACGTACATAGGGCGGTTCACGGGATGCCCGGGAACAAGTAAAAAACATTCGATATGGGTACCTGTACTGAGAAAACGATCCAGGACGCGTCCAGCGCATGTATGCAGTGAAGTCTGCTTGGAAAGGCTGTACTGTCTGTGCCCGTGGTCCGAACGTCGCGAAGTTCACTGTGACTGTGCATGTACGCCCCTGAGATGTACATTCCATTTGCACCAGTACCGGTCATGCCAACATGAAAACGAGCCATTAATAATAGGTCACAGTAAGGTCTAAGGAGTATTGCTCAATGACATTAGACTGCTAACAAAACAGCTACCCGGGGTGGCAACTTTCTATACAGAATCGTGCTAGGCGGTAAAAGAATCAGCCCTGTCCTTACACAGGGAAAAACCCAACCAGAACAACACAGCCAGTACCAATCATCAGGTTACCTACATCTTCCTTGAGTGGAGCCTTCTTCTTAGCCTTGCGAGGGAAATTACATACACCGGCACTGGAACAAGAAGGAGAGAGAGAGAGGGAGAGGGAGAGAGGGAGAGAGAGAGTGAACGGGTGGCAAGCAAAATACAATAGGTGTCGTACACAAACCAGAACTATGTCCACCATCCTTTGTCTATCATTATAATACAACATCTCTATTGGATCAAATCAACATCCTGCCTACGCGTGATGCAAGCCAGCACCCCAGGCCCTTCTTGCCATCCATACCCAGACCAGTTATTAAAGCCATCATCCTTTGTCTGCCATTGTGATACAAGATTCCTATTGGATCAAATCAACATCCAGCGCCTTCAGGTGATGCATGCCGCCATGCCTTCTTGCCATCCACACTCAATACCACACAAACCTTGCAGCAGGGAGTCGTACTTTTTTATACGATTCCCTGCCTTGCAGAGATGTAGCGGTACATGTACTTACCTGGAATCCCACTGGTCAGCTGGAATACACAAGCCACACTCACTACTGTCTGTCAAACACAGTGACAAGAAGAAAGAGAAGAAACAGATGTCTGTGTGACAAAAGGAATATTTGACGAAATGCTCACACAAAACGTTTCAAGCATAATAAGACAGTAATCGACACCCCCCCCCCCTCCCATCCATACAAGCACAACTAAGTTTACACACAGCGTGCCCACAATTACACAAGGACACAACAAGATACACATGGTTAGATCTATAATTCAGTACACCATGCCAAACAACCGTCAACAGCACCAGCAATAGCAGCACGGAGACAACAGAGTAGAGGTGGAATTAGACTACACTGTATTAGTATTCTACCTTTGCCAGTCGCTCCTCTCCGTTTCTTCACATCAGGCGACGGGGACGATAGGCTGAAGAACTTCTGACAGGATGAAGAACGAGTTGATTTCGTCTGCAAGAGCAGTACAGCACAGCCACAGTGCAGTGCTTTCAAACGAATACCACTACACACTACATGTATACGCTATTATTATGTACTTCAAAGCACACGCTACATCGCATAATATGTGCATATTAACCCTCCAATACCACAAACACAGCAGCAGGAGACACTGTCACCTCTTCCACACCATACATGCAGTAGCATTGACACGGATAGCTCCCAGGACTACGGGGGGGGGGGGGGGGGGAATACCCAGTGGTGCAGGTGATCACTCGCTTCTCTAAACACGACAAAAAAAATACTTGAAGAGCCATGAATGATGTAACGTACTGGTCAAGTGTCATTCACTGAAAAAAGAAGATAAACAAGCAGGGGGAATCAGCAAAATGCATTGGCCGGGAATCGAACCCGGGCCCCCCGCGTGGCAGGCGAGGATTCTACCACTGAACCACCAATGCTTGGATAACAACAGACCTATTTCGTCGTCCCTAGTTTGATCAAAGTTCAAGGCAGAAGGCATACTGTACAATGAAACAGCATGTTTATACCAGAGTATATTGTAACTCTGGTAACATGCCGTTTCGAAGTTGCTCAACGTAGGCCAGCAAGGAGGTTCAGTGACTCGTTGCCAACTCGTACACAAAACGAAATCAATTTCGTTTCGTGTTCGTTTCGTGCAATACGTAAAAGAGGTTCATTGACTCGCGAGTACATGGCGCGTACGGCATTACTCATGATCTCCAGAAAAGTTTATGTCAACAAAAAATTCCGCCGTCGGCCAACCCATCCACGAGTTGCACACTCTTGTTTATCTACTCTTGCAAGTACCTATCTCTTTTGTATCCTAAAAAGGCATACACACACATGCATTGCTGGCTTGCAATCACGTACTTACTACTTACCATGCTATAGGCCTTGCAAACAGACTGCAGAGGGCATGTGGAGCAAGATGGTGTCTTCGGCGAGCAGACTGTAGCACCCAATTCCATCAGGGCCTATGCACACACATCAATACCATGCACACATCAATACCATGCACAGACAGCAGCAACACGTAGTCCCTACCGGCACATCGTGACATCAAGGCCGTCACAGCCGGGGCGCTAAGCTGCGATCATTGTGCTTTGTTGTAATGTGCTCCAAAAAAAAAAAAAAACGGCCGAATAAGTGGGGCGGCACTTTTTCGGCCGTTTTTTTTTTTTTTTTTTTTGGAGCACATTACAACAAAGCACAATGATCGCAGCTTAGCGCGAACGTGACAAATCCTTGTCCCCGATCGTGGTTTGTTGCAGAAAAAGTCTTTCATTGCAGTTACACTGAAATGGCACCAAATGCCTGGAAATGCTTGCAATTGGCTTCAATTTTTGAAATTTTTTCCCGTGGGGTACCCCCGGACCCCCCTTCCATGGCCGCCCCACCTCCAAAGTCGGTGCGACAGGCCTGGACATGTATACATATGCTACTAGCAAATGGAAGAGAAGTACCCGGGCACCAGAGATGCAGGTGACTCTCAGTGGCAGATAGAAAAGAGCTGTGATTCTCCTAATAGTAGAACAGCAAACTTAGGCTAGCTACCGTTGCAAAGGAAATACTCACACAGTAACGACTTAAAGAGAACACTACAGTATGCACTTTTATAGAGTTGTCATGTTTTCCAGCCGCATTTTGCCAGTCCGCTTTACGCATTGCTGTTATACCATAACTGTACAACTCTATCCCCCTCCCCCCTCTCCACCCCACTCACTAACATTCAGGAATGCATTTCTTAGATCAACAACACAATACAACCACAACTCACACACACACATACACACACAAACACACACACACACACACACACACACACAACCGCACGCACACGCACACCAGAAAGGGCCGAACTGCACTTCCTACCTGGTTGCAATCACCTGGCCGGTCAGGGTCTACAACTTGGTCAGCGAGAGACCTGCAACAGGAGTGTGCATACCATGCATGGGCAAATGTCAAGTAGTCAATAACAAACACTGGGCGAGCTTACTAAGTTACTATTCACCAGAGTGAACACTGAGCATGCTGTATCAATGACGTTTCAGTTGTCATGTTCGTTTTTATGGACTCATAGAGTTGTGGAACTCGTTTTAACTCTCATAACTGAACTATTGGCTTGTGAATAAAACTTCAGTGAACAACATACAGGAAAGATACGTACCAAAACCTATCCATGGTGGCGGGCTGCTGACTCTCCGCACCGATAGCTCTTAGCCGAGACATGACGCGGATCACGTTACCGTCCACCACTCCCACACGCTCGCCGAACGAAATGGACGCTATGGCGCCTGCAAAAGCACAAACGAAGCGAAGAACATCACAACATTCAACAGGCAGGTGGCAGAATGATTCACCAAGAAACCTAACATTGAAATTATGGAAATTACTTGTAGAAGAAATGTATTGTAGGAATAAGCAAAGGGAAAAAGCCAACATAACACCATGATAATTACGCAATGATCAAATAGAAAGAGGGGTGAAACAATTATACCGAATATTCGAGTACTCGCTCGGTTTTTCTCCAAAAATGATCGTACTCGGAATAAGTCATGCAGTAAAACCTGGTGTAAGCGACCTCTGGGTTTAGCGACCACCTGCTCTTAACCACCGTTTTTCCATGCACCGACAGTTCTACGCAGACACTGTGGGACCTGGTTCTAAAGACCATCTGGCTTTAACGACCGCTTTCGCTTGCACCGTGGGGTGGTCGCTTAAACCAGGTTTTACTGTACATGCATTTACTACAGGAATCTGCAGTTTCAGAGCAGCAGTCAGCAGATATTGATGTACAGACTGTGTGGTGAACATTTGTACACGAGTAAAGGAAGCCCAAATGACCCACCAATCTATAATACCCGAGAAAAAATGACTGCCAATCGGTTTGACCAGGGTTGTATCATGTGATTTTTAAACCCCTTTGTGCGCAATTTTTAGGGGATGAAGAATACTCGAATATTCGATCGGAGAAAATCAGAGTACTCGTACTCGAACTCGGGATCTCAGTGCTAACTTTCACCCGTAAATAGAAATAAGGCTGTGTTTACATGAAGCGTTTCAACCCGGGTTGAGTTCGACCCGGGTCAGATTTCAACCCTCCATGTACACAAAATGAATGGCGCGTTTACGCATTGCGCTTGACCCGGGTTGAATTTGCCCCGGGTTGAGTTCAACCCTCCCCCCCCCCCCCAAGGGGAGGGTTGAAATCAACCCGGGGCGAAATTTCAACCCGGGTCAAGCGCAATGCGTCATGTAAACGCGCCATTCATTTTGTGCACATGGCGGGTTGAAATCTGACCCGGGTCGAACTCAACCCGGGTTGAAACGCTTCATGTAAACACAGCCTAAGTATTATTATATCCAGACACGTTTTTCATCGATATTCATCAGCCAAAAATCTATTGTCCGTCATGGCAGAAGCAAATAAAAAAATGCATTGGCCGGGAATCGAACCCGGGCCCCCCGCGTGGCAGGCGAGGATTCTACCACTGAACCACCAATGCCTCACTGGAGGCTCTATTCACCCAGCTCCTTCTCGATCCAGTCAGCAGGGCCAGTGCTGTTGCTGTCACTGGCTGATGAGCGGCCAGTCATACATGCACTTGAGACACCATTCCCTAAACGCCCAGGTGTATCTTGGCAAACAGATTGTTGCAGCTCGAGAATCCAACCAGGGTATGAGAGTAGTCAAGGATATGGTGAACCCATCGCTTCGCACAGGACGGAGTGTTGTTGCAGACAACTTCTTCTCAAGTATTCCACTGGCTCAGTATCACTTGAGTATTGGCAGAGCACACCATATACGTTGGCACTCTGCGAGCTAACAAAGCAGAGATATCGCCAGCAATGAGGAAGTCACCACAACGCTGGGAGCAATCGTTCGTTTTCGGCAAAAATCTCCATACGAAACATGGTTCGCATGAACGCCAGTCCACACGGTTTCTCCGTGCTGAAAATGACTTTATGAGCAAAATAAATAAATAAATTCCCGGTTCGTGTCGACTCGGTTTCTCTATATAGAGGCCGAGTTTTCCGCATCCGTAGGAACGCCACCACCCTTCAACTCCCTCCCCCCCCCCCCCACAGTTCAAGTATCAAGGCGCAGATACAGCTCCTAAAGCGGTGGGAGATGAGGAGATCAGCTCACCAGCATGTGGTCAAAGACCGAAAATCCCATTCACTGCATCCATGTTTTCCTCAAACAAGGAGAAAAAATAAAACAAAAACTGCATTGGCCGGGAATCGAACCCGGGCCCCCCGCGTGGCAGGCGAGGATTCTACCACTGAACCACCAATGCTTCACACTGTACAAAGCAACAACCCGGCTCCTTGTCCACCCGTACCTGTGCTACTTGTGGCTGACTGATGTGATGGTAGGAGTACATAACCCCAAGAGTGTTCAACTACAAGCAATTTATCTATCCAGTATGCGACAGCAGAGTTGTTCACATCATATAACATGGTTCAACACGTTACATCAGCAACCAGTGCAAAATGACCACCAGAGTTGCAACCGAGGTCCGGTCACACACGTAAGTTACAACCCTTTGGCTATCATGTACAGGGTGCAGGCAGGGTTGACGGTTGTATCGCATTATGTGAAAGTCTGCCGTCGCGGCCCCCATAGACTTCAGTTGCACACTCTTGGGGGGGGGGGGGGGGGGGGGTATGCACTCTCGGTGATAGTCAGAGATGTCCGGCGGAGATCGTCATGACAAGAAATTAGTTTACAGAGTATAACACTAGGCTCGGGGTTCTAAGAATGTAAAGCCCGCAATACCAGGCTAATTCTCTCTCTCTCTCTCTCTCTCTCTCTCTCTCTCTCTCTCTCTCTCTCTCTCTCTCTCTCTCTCTCTCTCTCTCTCTCTCTCTCTCTCTCTCTCTCTCTCTCTCTCTCTCTCTCTCTCTCTCTCTCTCCACCCAATGGGGTTGGGTACCCATGTCACCCGTAGAAAATTATCCGAAAATAATGCCGAAGAAAATACCACCCAAAAACCGCCGGAGTTTGAAGCGCTACATCTTTGTCCCCAGTGCTTACAGGAAGTATAGCGTCCCACTCCTGGAAGCAGCTTCTGAAGACTATCTGCGGTCTTGGGCATTTGTCCATCTAGCTCATCAACCACCTGAGCCAAACGAAAAAGGGAAAGAGAGGGCAAGATAAAGGAGATCTTCAGAGCGTACATCAAACCTGCTTCGAGTCAACTGCTTGAGATACAGGCCAAGTTATTTCGAGCGTTTCGTAGCCGGAACAAACAAAACACACATAAGATAAAAGCCATCCAAGCATTGGTGGTTCAGTGGTAGAATCCTCGCCTGCCACGCGGGGGGCCCGGGTTCGATTCCCGGCCAATGCATTTCTTTTTTTCTATCCATTTTTCTGAATAAAGCCAAGATATAATGTGTGTGAATTAGAGTCGTCAACTATTTGACGACTCTCTGGTCTGAAAAATGCCAGAACAATGCTCCTCCATGCTGTGAGAGAGTATTGATTTTGCTATGGACCATTCACATACAACAGCAGGTTTGGTAAGTACCAGGGAGTAGGAAAATGTCACTACTTCCTGTACGGGATTGGGTGTGGGGCTTGTGCACAATCTAGACAAAATTCCGTATACAAAGGCCACCAGGACACGGTTGCGACACCATAACATGCATGGGCCCCGTGGACCTTTACACTGCACACTGAAAAGGAACTAACTCCCATTCTATTGGTATGGCTGAAACAACACCATACAAAATCAAGCGTGCGTTTGCATGTGAGTTTGTTGAACTGCATGGTTGCAACTACACTGCATCAATTTTTATTGCTTTTCGTCGCATTTTTCTAATTTTTAAGCAAGTGTCTAGTTACAACACAAGTACACTGTATCTCCTTGGGTAGGTAGATCAAGTTTCAAACCCGGCGCTACCGCTGAGCATGCCACAGGCTGACAAGGCAGCTGGTGTTTGTGTGGAAGCAGAACGCGCTGCAGCTACTATGATGACGCATTGGAAGCAATCGTGTTAGCACAGCTTTGTCCGTAGTGCGGTTACGCCTTTAAAAGCCCCGGTCACACTGTGGATTCGGGATACGGCTTCACGATGCAGCAAACCGGGCCCATTAGACACACTGTGCGCTGTGCTGCAGCATACCAAAAGGGAGATCTGTGACGCAGTCGTGTTATCTATTTATTTCACCTTCCCGTGGCCAGGAAAATCAGCAGTGCCACACAAACGCATGCATGCCGCAACCACATCGAGGAACGGCGCAAAAAACCCGCTGGACACGACATTCAGCATAGATACGCGGCACCAAAATACCATTTTCATAACAGGGGTTATCAAGAAGACACAGTGAGACCAGAACTTATTCATAAAACTTTTAAAATAGCAAACCTTCTTAGCTCCTTCCCAAAGGCGCCTTCCTCGAGAGTAGTAGCCCAGGCCGGACCACATTTCATTGACCTCCTCGATTGTTGCCTAAGCAAGAGAATAATAGATAGTGAAAAGCACAGGACGAACAATGCAGAATGGCTAGGAACCATGGCAGCGGTACTATAGCGTTACTGTAATAGTCAGCACAATGACTATAGCATGGCATGTCCATAACTGTGCACGTTGCACAGCTGGCTTCTGTGCCTGACACCCATTCATACTTACGATATACTGAGTGTCACAAATCAATATTGAAATGATCACAATGTGGAGCCAAGTCAGACACTCTCCATAGCAGGGAGTCGTAAAATACTAGTACCGTACGTTACGACTCCCTGCTACACAGCTTACATGCATGTACTGGCACATACTGAGTCTAAGTCAGTCCCAGATGACGCTCCGAAAAACAGCCCATGTTCAATACTACTTGTAGGCTACATGCGCGCACTATCATTGCAGTATGATGCACTTACTGTAGCAAGGCTTTGCACAGTTGGCCACCTCTTCATCCAACGATTGTAGTAATCTATCACAGTAGCCACTTGTGTCTGCTGGCACATGACTTCTGACACCCAGACTACGTAGCACAGCCAGCAATGCGTACATGTACAAGGTCAAAGACAAAGGCAAACACACACACACACACACACACACACACACACACACACACACACACACACACACACACACACACACACACACACACACATGCACACATACACATACACACACACATACACACATTCACACACAAGATTGAAGATACACATTATGTATTCCCTTGGGACCACATCGTTGTGCACAGGTGAAGCAACCGCCCAGTTTCAGCCACCATCTGCTCCACAAGGCAGTTTTGGCACCAACTGTGTGGAATATGGAAGGGCCATGCTCGTTTCACAGGCCACCTGTGTTCGAAGACCACAAGACACAGGTCCAAGGGCTGATTACTGAAGCCAAGTTTCACCTCTATCATCTGTACTTATCCAGGAGATCCTCAGCCCAGCTCTGGCTCGTGTGGCTGCTTACCTGCATAGGAACGTTCATTGTCATCTTCTACAGTCTTCGCCTGCAGTAGTCAAGCACACACAATAGGTATTGCAGGATTATTCAGAGTGTGCACAGGACACATGTGCATATGTGGTGCATGCACCAAGTACATTATTGCTACGTCGTGGTGTAACGAGAGAGCTTGGAAGCTCAGGGCCCTACGCTATGCTTTTTTGCCTTGATGACCTAGACAAAAAAAAAGCATAGGGATGTTATAAATTCTTTAAAAAAATCCTTTTTTTTAAGACATAACCTGGGATTCGAACCCGCACTATCGCGCGCCCTGCATGCATCCCCCGATACACTTCGCATACATACTAATTCTTCCAAGTTGTTTCACATTGTGATCTTGCATTTGAAAGCCCTATTTGAATATGCATTGTGGCCAGCCGTCTTTGATGGCACGGTACGGTAGGGGATAGGTACGGGACAGGTACGGTCGAGGGTAATACGACACCGTCTCCCGTACCGTACCATACCATCAAACACAGCTGGCCACATACAGCTGCCCGCAATATTCAAATAGGGCTTTCAAACGCAAGATAATAACGTGAAGCAACTTGGAAGAATGGGTATGAATGCGAAGTGTATGGGGGAATGCATGTAGGGCGATAGTGCGGGTTCGAATCCCAGGATATGCCTGAAAAAAAAAGGAGAATTGAAAAATTTATAACATCCTATGCTTTTTTGCCGTCAGATACGGATAGCGCCAGGCGTGACACAAACAAACAAACAAACAAACAAACACACAAATACCAAACGAGAGAGCTTGGAAGCTCAGCGCCCTGCGCTATGCTTTGTTGCCTAGCTCAGCGTGCATGTTGTTAGAACTGGTGGAAATGCTTTTTCCTTTGATTAGCTACATGAGATACTGAAGTAACGTCTTCTGCATAGCTATGGGACCGGCGCTGACTCTGCCGATCACGGGCGTTCTGGAGTCGACGGGATGTCTGTCCTGACGTTTCCTGGGACAGGCGCTGACTCTGCCGATCACGGGCGTTCTTCTTCTTCTTCTTATTATTATTATTACCGGTATACTGACGGCAACTAACATCCATTCTGATTGCATTTACTCGTCTCCCTACTTCGTATTTCTTTCCAGAAAATCTCCCCATACAGGAGGGATTCGTTTACATAATATGACTCCCTGCTATACATCTACATGACTGTATATAGGTACGTTATAATTATTATGCTATCAGCCTACATGCGATTCCCAGGCTGGTCGACAGGCAGCCCAGCCAGCCTGCTAGTGGGATCTCGGCCTCGCACACAAATCTACACAAAATGTTAATGCACTGAATGCATTCCCCCGATACACTTCGCATATATACTCATTTTCTTGATGGTACCGTACTCTTGATGGTACGGGACAGGTACGGGATAGCACCAGGCATGTCGATGGCACACACAAACAAAAATATTGTGGCCAGCTGTCTTTGCTGGTACGGTACAGTACGGGACAGATACGGGATAGCGCCAGGCGTGACACAAACAAACAAACAAACAAACAAACAAACAAACACCAAATTAAAGCTGTGTGGACCCTGGCTAGCGCCAGACGTTACTGAAGTAACGTCTTCTGCATAGCTACGGGAATTAAAGCTGTGTGGACCCTGGCTAGCGCCAGACGTTACTGAAGTAACGTCTTCTGCATAGCTACGGGAATTAAACCATCTGTTTACTGGCACTGTTATCGATCGGCTTCAGGTCAGCCAGGTCATCTTTCCAAGATTCCTTTTGGGTCTCTCCCCTCTCCCGGGGAGACCCACGTGACCAGTTGTGGCAGTGAGCAAGTACAAGTGTATGCGTATGTGTGCGTGTGTGTGTGCGTGTGTGTGTGTGTGTGGGCACTTCAAACAGCTGTGTGGTGGATACCAGGCTAAAAATAGTGGCGGTCAATTCATCAGCCTTGCAAGCTGTTGAATGGTGTAATCCCAGCACAAGTTGCTATGTTTAACATAGCTGTTCGCTATCATCGCTTCCGCGATGGGCATGTCTGAGGCCTGAGTGTGTGTGTGTGTGTGTGTGTGTGTGTGTGTGTGTGTGTGTGTGTGTGTGTGTGTGTGTGTGTGTGTGTGTGTGTGTGTGTGTGTGTGTGTGTGTGTGTGTGTGTGTGTGTGTGTGTGTGTGACCAGATCCTCCCATTGCCATTTTATTCACACGCTGATGATCTGGCATGCCGGATTTACTAGTACTGTAATACCCGTAGATATGCGATATGACCGAACCGATGTTTTTTTTCGTTTCACATACTGTACAAGTAAATGTTTCAGGTTTGGTGCATCGTCATTACAAGTATTTAAAATACTTGTCAGCAGTCAGTTGCTAGTACAGTGTATCATCATCTTAAAATGCATTGGATTACATGTACCGCTATGTAACAGAAATCAAATACCGGTACATTGGGCCCACGGGTGGATAGATGGAGGGCATGACAAAGTAAACACATCAAACATCTCGAATTCTCAATACCTTCTGCCTCCAAGGAAGGTCGCGCTTGTTCTTATCGTACCAGCTAAGCGAGGATTTCCTTATGACAGCAACGTCACAATCTTCAAGATCATGAAGCGAACACTCACGTGCACTCATCTTAGGCGAGTTTATGAACAAGGATCTTACACGAACGGGAGAAAAGAAGAGAGAGGCGTTTGAGTAAGGTCTGAACATGAAACAGATTGCTCCTCTCCTTCTTCTTTTCATTGATTTGAAAGTATTACTATTATTAGTTCGTCACGATTCGCGCCACGTGCACGACTGCACGTGCAGTTCAACGACGGCATGCGGGCTTCGGAGACGCGCTACATGAAAAAGCTCGAAGTAGCAAAAAAAAGAAAGAAAGGCAGTTGTTTGACTTTTGCCTTTTGCCAAAGTTTTGGACCAGTGACAGATTACAGTGTCACTGTCAGTGGATCGTAGACAGCATTGTGCCGAGACTTCGGATTGCTTGCACCGTTTTCATTTTGCTGACATGGTGCATGCTGCCCTTTGCCTTTGGATGACATATTCCCTTTGAAGCCAGGCTGTTCACGAGCCAAGAGAGTGCTCGCACAAAGATACTGACAAAACAGCGAGTTGACATGGCACAAGCCCCATGTCAAATCAAAGAATAACTTCTGGAGCAAATGTATGCCACCCCAAGCACTGTACGTACATGTAGTATTTGAAGGTGGAGTATTGCAACGGTGTATCTCATTCAGAGAGTTGCCCTTCTTGCGGAGATCACTGAATTTGTGCGAGCGACTCTCATGCACATTGGAGAAAAATGAATCGACTATGGTGGTTGGCCCAGGTTATCCAGGCCTGTTTGGTCCTGGTCGTCAGTAGCAAAAAAGAGGTTAGGAATTGTCTGGAAGTTCACAAGGTCGTCTACTCTTTCAATCATGAATAGAAGGAACCTATTATGTCCTGACATTTCGTGTGTCTCTCTCTGTAGGGAGAAGATAAAGCATTTCTCCTCGAAGAACGCAAGCGTTTAGTCGAGACTCCCTGTACGGAGGCCCATGATCTCAACTCGGCTGTGAGCTTGAGAAGACGTGGGAAGGTAATGACCTGGCACTAAATTTATATTGCATGTCGGTAGTTTGGAAATGCACTGAAATTGTAAATTGAGATTTGAGATTTGGTGAAAATAGTGTGAGATTTTCAACTCCTTTTACCGTATTTCTCCAGTAAAACAGTTGCTTAGTTGCTCTCGATTATACCGTATGTCGCACCCGGCCGTTTTCAGGTCTCTGCCATGTCCTTTCAATATAGTCCACTTGAGTAGTAAGTCGTGCTCGATTGTAAATCCTGTTATGTAACTTGGATTACAGACACACACTGCTATGCACTGCTAACACAATTTAAGTACAACCCCTTGCAACCAGGACTGGGACTTGGAGGAAGACGATCAATATGCTTCATTCACCACAAGTTTCAACTAGAGTGCTCGCTGAAGAACGTGGAGCTCAAGAACGTCCAGCCTGAAATACTAAGAACGCCACAGCCTAAAGTTAAGAACGGCGGTGTTGGTTTTCTGGCAGAATTTGAGATACTTATGATCCAGTACGGATTGTTTCTAAGAACGTGCCATAAGAATGCAGCCAGATTACTGAAAAAGAAGAGCGTCCCTAACCCAGACTCTACTATACCGAAAGAAGTAGGTGCGGAATGTAAAGAATCTAATGTGGCAACGCTGAAAAGCGCTGGGGATCATCAGTCGGAAGTTATGGGACAGTGACTCAACACGATTTGCAAACTTGCTCCAATCGCTTCGATTTTGGTCTCATTCGATTATCCAGAGCAAGTAATGCAATCCTGGTTGAGGTTGTGGCCTGCTCGCTCTGTGATTTCACTTTCCATTCCCCTAGATGCTACAACGCCATGGCTGCTTCGTGTCTGTGGGTTGCTTGCTTTTAAAATGAGACCGCAGTCCCGAGCTGTCTTCTCTAATGAACAGCAGGGCATGCTGCTTGTTCCGGTACCGGGAATGGACGTGAAGATTAAAAAAAACCTTTTGCACATCACCATTCTATTCTGTGTTCGCGTGTGTGCACATGCTCGTTTTGCAATTATATTTTTGTTTGCTTAGATCAGCGAGGCGTTGCCATGTTTACTGGAGCACACGCTTGGAAATCTGAAGTCTGGCTGGGCATGGTGAGCACATGTAATAAGTGTTCGGGGTAGCTGACGCATGTTCTGTTAGTATTGTAGGTGATTTTATATTTTCAGTGGGAGAATCTTTAGCGATTCCTTAGCCAGCCCAATTTTGCGACGGCACATATTAGTGACTAGAATCTCAAGTCAAAACGGTGTCGTAAATGCAAATCCGAGGGATACAAGGCCGTCTTGGTAAAATTGCTAAAATTAGACCAAGGCTAGAGTTACCTGTTTTGTAGTATACTGCATCAGAATACTCGTATTGATGATGCACATCCTAGCACCGGGATGTTACTTTGCCGTTGTGCTGCAGTGTTTTGCATACGAGTATTGTCGGCCATGCCAAATTTCAATATCATGCAAATTGTTCTCACGTAGCAGCAGCTTTGTGGTCTGTATCTGTAGCGTAACGTCAGCGGCCACACATAGGAATACTTCATAGTCATGCTTGAAGTCAGGATGTAGGCGTCTACACACTGCATGATGCTGGCCATCATGGGCTTGCAAGTGGCATGGATTTCTCATTAGCTCACACCCTTTTTCTTGCACTGCTGCTTGTGTCTGGGACTACAGGAGCAATTTGGGCGATGCGTATCGCCAACTCGGAGACAAAGCCAATGCCAAAATTGCTTTCAAGCAAGCATATCGCCGAGATAGTAAGAGCATAAGTTGCTTGTTTTCATTACATGCACACCATTGCAGTTTCTGCAAGGAAGTCATGACGAAACCCCTATTATTGCAGGCGCATGCACGAGGAGGACAAGTTCAAAATCTCACTCACGTATGTATGACCGCCGCAGCACTCTTGTCCATGATCATGATGAGCGGTGCCCTGTGAACTCTTTCCTTTGCAAGCGTGTTGAGTCTGAGAAGTTGCACAAGTTAGCTAGTTGATACTGGACAGTATACGGTAAACTCATCACATGATGCATATCATCACACGATGCATATCATCACACGATGCATATCATCACACAAACGGCATGCCCGCCCAATGAGATTTGTTCCACACTGAGCTGTGCAGCTTGCAAGGGAGAGAGAGAGAGAGGAACACTTAGTTCCATCTCTGAGCCTCATGCTCGAAGTGTTCATCGGGTAACTGCTAACTGACTGTTGGGGAGTCCGAACATAAGCGCAAGGAAGTGGAGAGGTTATCATGTCTGGCTTAGTGTGGATTACAGTCATTACACATGCACACTCGCGCACACGCGTGAAGCAAGCAGAGTTGACAAGAAGCAAGCTGTGCGGTGCATACGTGTTTGTGTGAACATGAGAGCTAGAGGTAATTGGGAGAGGTGAGGTCTAGATGTATATGATGGTATGCAAAACTGGAACGTGAGAAGGAATTTAGAAATCTTAGCAACCAGGGTGCAAACAACAGGAGCAGCAGGGCTAAAGACTCACAGTTAGCAGGTTCAGGTGATCTTGGGGACAAAGGTATGGAGGTAACTTACCAACCTACTTTTGTCCTAAAGATCACTGGAACCTGCTAACTGTTGTTGTCCGCAGTTTTTTTCCTTTTGTTTTCTTTTAGCTTCTCAGCTCTGCATTCTGCCGTATACCTCTAGTCCAATCCACACCTCTCCTACCATATACCTCTAGCCCTCTTACCCAGGCTGTTCACACGTTGACACTGGTGCGTGTGCACCACGGCTTGCTTTTTCTTAACTTTGCTGGCTTCACACGCATGTACACGTGTGTGTAATCCACGCTAAGCCGGACACGATGGCCTCTACAATTCTTTCCTGCGTTTTAGGTTCAGATTCCCTTACAGCCAGTCCAACAGTTCCCTGATGATCACTTAGAGCATTGAACTCTGAGATATAACCACGTTTTTCCCCTCTCTCTCTCTACTAGTATTGTATGTTGCACGTCATCATAACTTCATTACACCATGGCAGCTACAGTGTTGCTGTTGTGGAAGTGGGGCTGTGGGGCTGCCCTTGAACTTACGAGTGCTTCCCGAGGTTGAAACTGCTGTCACGGTGGATTATATTGCCAGGACAAACTGTGAAACACTTCGTAACTATGGCTGTTTCTGGTTTCTTTCTCTCCCTTCTTCTTCATGCTGCTGTAGTGGGTGTGCTGCCGTACATCCGACGCTTTGACTGGGCCGGTGAGTATTCCCTGCAGACACGTTGCTTATGGTCAGTGTTCAATTATGTTGTATTGTCCAGCTGCTTTGAGCCAAACACTACGCTGTGCTATGCTACAGTAGCTGCAGTACATCGTTGTAATTACTAGCTTCGCTTGTTTTACGTTGGTCTGCCCCACCGACCTTTGGGTATGTAACAGCAGCAGCCCTGCACAGAAAATTATCATGCACCTTTACTGTCGTAATGAGTAGAGAACTCTGCTACATGAATGTCACCAGGGGAAAAAGATGATGCCGGCACATGTACTTTCTCCGTGCACTAACATATATTAGCTTGTTTTCTGTTTGATCAACATTTACAATACGTAAGCCAGAAGTGGTAGAAACTACCTGAGTTATGTACAGTATTGCATACCAGTATGAGTGGTTGACTACATTCTTCTTTCTGCCTCTTTTCACACACGTTGTTCACATGTAGGACCCTTTCCAATTGGAAAGCTGGAGGTTGATGGGGACCCGGTTGCGGCGCAATATGGTGACGTGGTGTCGGCGTGGAGAAATAGATCTACGGCCACGTTCTACTCCGAGCTTGTTGGCCGGGAGCTGAGATGGGAAGAAGTTGATGCGGTGAGTGTGTGATGGTTTTGAGTCCTAGGGCTGAAACGGTTACACATTTGAGCTTAACGGTTAGCTGTTGGCATAACGGTCGGTTATAACCTTTAAGACTGCATTGTGGAAATCACTGTTTTTGCCGCCATTTTTATTCCTTTTTTGCCGAATTTTCATGATGATGTAATTATTATTATGACTTAATACTTGAAGTTAATAGTGCAAAGCAGATCAAATTGACATCACCAAATCATCTTAACCCATTCAGCGCTACTGCCTATGGTGCTCTGCATATAAATGCTAAAAACAGGGCCAATAGCAAGTTGTAAAACTCTGGGGTTCTGGCAACTGGGGTCCTCAAATATTTTGGAAATGATTGCCAAGACTACTAGTATCAACCACAGGGTGACAGAATCGATACAGTCCCCAAAAAGAATAGCACATCACAAAAGGGGACGCAAGTTTGCTCAAATTGCGTGAAATACCCTAAATGCGTGCAATTGCAGCTGAAAGATCGCTCAAAAGAGAAGAAAAAAGACGCATAGTGTTAGGGGCCGTCCGTAAATACATGTATTTACTTAGAGACGTCTAACAGGCGTTTCTTTCTAGACCCACCCCCCAGAAACGCTCCCCCCCCCCCCACCCCAGAAACGCTGAAGATCGGTTGCTTGACCAGAGCGGACACACTTCAGTGCAGTGTTCTTTGACAAGAACACCATGGCATCCACAGACTCGGGACTAAATGAGCAACGGAGTTTGTTCACCAGAATGCCACACGCAGAGAACACTCGTTCTGACGGCACAGATGTGGCAGTCAAGCACAGGACCTTCTTCGCGACAACACTGAGGCTCGGGAAACGGTCAGCGTTAAGCTTCCACCAAGCAAGAGGGTCTGCCGAATTGGGGGCCTGCCACTCTGCAAAGAACATTACCACTTCTTGCTCTGCAGAAGCAGACAGGCACATTTCCTCATCAGTGCTAGTTCCAAAGAGCATATCCAAACCACTTCTTGCTGATTTCCGCTTGGCTGGAGGCTCTGCGCCAGGTCCGGACGCTGATGTTGTCACTGTGCAGGCAATGAGGGATGTCTTGAGATCTTCTGCGCAGATTCACCGTCTACTGTGATGTGCTGCATAGGGCAGATGGCCTTGTCAATGCCATCATTAACGCTTGACCCTTCCGGGGCTGAAAGATGCATGATTAAGCGATGCCCACCCGATTTTTTCGGCACGACACCAAGGCCTGATGTGCGGAAGTGTTCACATGGTGGGGATGAAAACGGCCCTGCTGTGTGCCCGGACATGCACTCTTCCCGCATGTGAGCATCCACAGCATCAGGGTAGTCAAAAGCTGATCTAAGATTCTTGCTAAAGGTAGAATGCGTAACGCCCTTAAAGCCAATTTTACAGGCAAAACGCAAGTGATCGATAACAGCAGAAGCAAATGAGCGATCGGGGTGTGCATCAAGCTCCTCGCTAAGGATATCTACGTTAATGGGGGTAAAGATTTTGTGAGAAGACAGTGGCAGAGAACAGTGCTTAGAGTGCTCGCTGGTGGCTGCGGCGGTCAGTCAGGATGATGGTGATGCGGTGGTCTTCTTGCACGTACTAGCGGGGTGGGACCCAGCGCAGGTCAGACAGTCATGGCGAAAGCGGCAGAAAGAGACGTCACAGTGCCCTGCATTTAACTTTTTACAGACCGGGAAACATGTATGCCCACTGGCAAACTTAGCAGGTGGCTCTTGTGCTGTGCAAGCGGAAGCATGGTGACCCGGTTTCTTGCACTTGGTGCAAATGGTCACGGCCTGGCCTGTCAGACAGACAGCATAAAGGTCAGGGTGGACGACGGCTAGCCGGCGCGACGCATCATTTGCCGCAGCGCGTCAGACGCGAACGTCGTACTCCATTACCGCTTGAAAACGGAATTTGGTGCTGGCCTCCAGAATGTGATGCTGGTATACCAACAGTTCGTTCAGGCAGACTGTGCGTTGCATGCCTACAATGATGGACAACACTGTCCACGCTTCGGCCCAGGCCACTATAGACTCGATTCTTCGCTTTTTCTGCCCGACTTGGGCTTGCACTACTGACCCATCCGAGTCATCCTCAAGCCTGACACGTTTGGCTGAGGGTTCAGCGGGCTCTGCTGAGGGGCGCAGGAGGAGTGCTAAATCTACGAACTCCCCTCGCAGCACTTTCTCCACCACTCTCTCGTCCACATGTGCAATGCAAGGGGGACGGGCATGGGCTGTGTGGGCATGTAGTGGGGGTGCGTGTACAGGCACTTCGAAGTCAGGCCTACCTGCCGAATTCAGGTCTTGAGCACGGGCGGCCTCGGCATCCGGCTCACCAGAGTCGTTCCCGGAAATGGCCTCTCGAATGGAGGAGCAAATTAGCTCGTGGATCTCCTGCTGCTGCTGGTTGGAGAACGAACTCATGGTAGGCTACAAGTCGACAGTAGAAAAGAAAATTCGCACAACACTGCTGATATTGCAAGCCAAGGCGTTCAAACAAATTTGTTTGCATAGAAAGGTCTCGCTGCTGTTCGTTGCCAGCAAGGCTGCGAGTCCCACGCACAACACTGCTGATATTGCAAGCCAAGGCGTTCAAACGAATTTGCTTGCATAGAAAGGTCTCGCTGCTGTTCGTTGCCAGCAAGGCTGCGAATCCCACGCCTGCGCATGTGCCATTTTCCCCACGCTTGGGGACGATGACAGCCGGCGTTGCGGACTTTCTGCGAGGCGCTGGCTGCGAGTGCTTCTGTGACATAATAACTTTGGTTTGCCTGTTGCAAACCTACATTATACTGGGCAAAAGTACCGGGTAAAATCAAGTGAATTTTGCTCGTATACCGTATGCATGTCATGGCAGTGCACGGTCACCGTTTTTTACAGCCTGGGCGGTTTTCGGGCATGGGCAAACTCACGGGATATTAGTGTAGATGTCAATTCGATGGGCACTATTTCAGTCATGGGCGTTATTTTGAGTGGGTGTACTCGTATTCATGGAATTTAACAGTAGGGCTCTTTGACAAACACACTTCCTGATCCTAAATCCTTTTTCCTTTGTATGCCTGTGTATGCGTGCGCGTGTTTGTACATGTGTTTGGAAATTTGTGCCCATCACTTTGCAGGCTGGCGATCCGGCTGGAACTGTGCGTGTGCAGCCAGATGTTGATTGGAATGACTTGGTGAACGGAATGGGCTCCATGGGATTATTAGAATGGCAGGTAATTGCTTCTAATATATATGTTAATTGAAGCGTCTATAGCATCAGGTGCTTGTCGACTCATGGCATAGAGCCCCCTCCCCCTACCCACACAAAGTAGAAATGATTTTGTATATATAGTTATTCAGACATCTCAGTTTGTATTGTAGTTCTAGCGTTCTATCACCTATATGCTTCAGGAGAAATACTGGTATATCGACCCCGCGTCGGGTGACAAAGCTCTTCCAATAGTTCTACTCAATAAATCATTTTGTATTCCTGTTGATTGCCTCTTTTAAGGCATGGTTTGTCGCAGAGTTTGCCGTTAACCGTGATGCTACCTATGTCGTCCGCTGTTTGGGTGAGTTTCCAACTGATAATTTCTCTTTGTTCTAGAGCTATTGAGTGCAATATTTATATACACACTGGAATGTACAAGTAGTTGTGCGTAGGATTTCTGGGATGCACTCGGAGCTCTCTTATTCAGTTCTCTCACTAGCCGATGGGGGAATCACAGTAGTGAGCCATTCTGCACAGTGCGCTCAAAGCAGACGTTTCTGCTACTGTTATGCATGACATAGCTTGACTGTCGTCGCTAATTGTGTTCTCATTGACATAGTTTGATTGCTGTCACTAATCATGTGTTCTGCTGATTTCCATACTCTTGTACCTGCAAACCAAAGATGTCAACACTGTGTGGATTGATGACAAGATGATCAACGGCGATGTGTACCACCGGGAACAGTTCTGGTAAGCAGCTGCTCTGAGATGCACAGCAGCAGCACGCTCATGTTCATCAAGTCTGCGTTTCCAGCACTGGGCTGCTTCTCAGCTAGCCGTGATTCTCCGTGTACTACGTACATGTATGCGTGTGCATCTTGCTAAAACACGACCCCTGGGCGAAGCAGAATCTTGACATGTTTGTTGCGGCGAGCGTTGTCAAGTAGCGAGAGTAGTCACTACCTAGTAGCATGTACATCACGGCAGCCACATTCTGTTGGAAGCGAGGCCACATGTTAAGAATGATGGAAGTGGTTGTACATGTAGTAGTGGTGCTGCTGCTGCTGGTGCTGGTGGTGCTGCTGCTGCTGCTGCTGTGACTTGGTTAAACGTTAGGATGTATTGCTGACACACTGATCTGCATGATGTGGCCTGCCCTGCTCTCTTGTTGCGTTTCAGGTTCTCCATTCCATTGGAGTCCGGTCTCCACTTGTTCCGTGTCAAACTGCGCACCAAGGCGCAACTGGGCGTAAGTGGAAACTTGACAAAGTGCCATACAAAACAGTTACCCCAGAACCCATTTTTCCATTTTCAAAATAACTGTATTGCAGTGCGAAATGCAACGTACTGGGCGAACGCCTGACTTCACCCCAGACAAATGTGCCTTTATGAACCCTCTAGTACAGACTATCGACTGTATTTCGTTGAATGGCCTGAAAAAACTCAAAAATCGGAGAATGAGTTAGGGGGGGGGGGGGGGGGGGGGCTGTGCCCCCCCCCCCCCTACATGTATCTACCCCCTTTGGCTAGAACCCTGATGTTCATTTTGTTTTTTTCTGTATGACATGGGGTTATTACTTTGAGACTATGCTCTCATGTACTACAGTACATAATTATAATGCGTGTATTGTATACTCTGCATACTGCTATGTGTCTGCCATACATTGTTGTTGAAATGGACATAATTATTGTTTCAATGCTTTTGTTTGCTTTGTCCTGTGCTTCTGCTCTGTAGGTTTTCCGCTGTGAATTTGCCATACAAGGTAAGTTGTGGATGGTATGATTCGGTACCAGTTGTCCAGCTGGTCTTCACCAATCTTACTACGCGCACGAAGGGCAGTCCCACTCACCTCAGTAGTTCCTGTTCGGAAAATAATTGTGGTGGCACCCAACTCTGGGTTTTACTTACACGGTGCACCTCCGCTTTGTGTTGTGTGAACAGTCTGATGTACAGTCAGACCTCGCTTATCCGGTCCTTTTTATCCGGATCCCTCGCCATCCGGAAGAAAATAGCTGGTTACAGATCTACAGCATACGCAATGCATCCTACATAACCGGTGTTCGGTTATCCGGTTCCCTCGCCTATCCGGACATTTTTGTGGAAAACGGATGTGTGCGGTTAAGCGAGGTCTGACTGTATTCATCTTGAATGCTGGCGGTCTTCTAACGATGGCTCAAGATTACCAGGAGATGTTTTATGAATTTCTTTTCTTCTGGCTTACAAACTCCATGTGTATAGAAAGTCCAGCGTAAGAAAATCAATACGTCTCTATTCAGAGTTTCATGCTACTGCGTAATCATCAGAAAGCTATCCACTTTGAAGGACACTCTATGTACATGATATTTTGTGTTGTGCTTGTCTCCTCTAGATGGCAATACAATGGCTATCCATCATCCTCACTTTGTACCCGAGCTACTGGCACGGCACACTCTCAACGGTCTCCTTGCTGTTCCCATCTTCAATCGCAACGGCAAGAAGTGGCTGGACCCATCCACGTTTAGGTAACTCGGGAGCTTTTTTCTACTGCAAACCGCCCAGTATTCACGTCACTAAATTTTCGCGATCTTGCAAGGTGTAACAAACTGTTAATGTGCCGGTGTGTATGGTTGACCGGGGTGGTGGTAGCGGTGGCGCATGCATGTGGATGTGTGTCCACAGACAAAGTTATTACGGTGTAGTTGTACTATACAGCTCTCTGTATGCTCTGCACAACATGCATCATTCTAGATATTACAATGTATGTATGTAGGTGTATACTGTCTAGTTGTGTATATGTACATGTGTAAGTGGCATTGGTTTGTGTGTGGGTGAACAGGATATCGCTGTCAGTTCAGTCCAAGGAGATACCACTCTCAGTCAGTTTACCAGAGGATCTGCCTCAGCTACCTATCGCTCCTGGTCAGGTATGTTGTGCACTGTATGCGCTCACGAGGGAGCTGATGCATGAATGCATGCTAGCCTACTTATAATGATATCCTTGTCCATGCAACTGGCTGTAATGGATCAGGTTTGACTAATTTTAGTGCTGATGATAGGGGCCAGCTTTCTGTGTTGTGACGGTTTGTTTGGGTATCATGTTCCCTGCTTTGGGCAGAGAAAGTATGAGTGAGTGAGTGAGTGATTGAGTGAGAAGATGCAAGTAGAAGAGTCAGCTGCAGAGTCGAGCAGGGATGTTTGTATCTCTGCATGTAACTGAAAGAGAGCAATTTTGTTCTTACTGCTGGTGAATTTCAGCCATTGTTGGTTGTGTTTGTTCGTGGATTCCTGTGCTGCTATCTAGCTGAGCACACTGGTGGTGCAATTGTCGAACAAGGCTGGCAGCGAACCGGGAACGGATCTCAATGGCTGTCCTCCACCAAAGCGTGGTCAACCGTGAGTGCTTGCCTTGATGATTAAATACATGTATTAAATGGTAATGATAACAAATACGCGGAACACACACACTCACACACACACGTGTGCATGCACACACACCTTGAGCCTTGAACCTTGAACCTTGAATACTCATCTACAATCAGGATCGGTGTCAGGCAGAGCAGAAGCGGAAGTATTTCTTTAAATCTCCAGGGCGGGAGAAGACACGACCACATACGCAGCGGAATTCCTTCACCACAATCCGCTGCGGCTTCAGACGACGGCACAACTGCCTCCATTCACCACGACTCTGTGCGAGCTCGCACCAATGCTCCTCAGGAATGTCAATCATACAGAAATCCTGCTGCACAGCATCCCTCCAATGCCGCTTTGGGCCACACCGTGGGCGGGTTTGTGGCAGCTCCGCAACGAGCACCCTCCGCAGGAGACGAGACAAGTCACAGAAGTACACACGCACGCGCGCACCCACACACACCCCTCCCACACACCCCTCCCACACACACACACACACACACACACACACGTGCATCTTGTTCAGCGGGTTTGATGTGGTGAGGAGCAGCAATCTGAATATTGTTCATGTATTTTGGGTACATGTGTGTGTGTGTGTGTGTGTGTGTGTGTGTGTGTGTGTGTGTGTGTGTGTGTCTGCGTGTGTCTGCGTGTGTCTGTGTGTGTGTCTGCGTGTGTCTGCGTGTGTGTCTGCATGTGTGTCTGTCTGTGTGTGTCTGCATATCTGTGTGTTTACGTGGCAGTGACACCTATGTGCAATACAGCATCCGCATTGCCACCAGTGGAGTGGGCAAGACACACGAGACGCGGCTGAACATTCGCTGCCGCAACTACACTAACTCTTTCTTGTTTACCTTCATCGATCATGATGGCTCGGTAAGCTAGTGCCAGGGGAGTGAGTGTACCAGTAATGAGTGTGTGTCAACTCAGTCATCATGCAATTGTTGTCAACCATTCACTAGTATAGGCTGATTGAGAACAATATTCATTTGCACTGTACTCGATACGGTGACAAAGTTAACATGTGAAATAGACATTGTACATGTTTAGTGAAGCGCACTGGCTCGTGTGTGTTCGTGCACACATGTGTATGTATGCAATACTATGCATGTGTGCACCCATGTGTGTGCATGTGTCATTTGTGTGTGTGTGTGTGTGTGTATGTTTGTATGTTTGTGTGCTAATTTTACCATTTGTCTGTCGTGCTGTATGACAGGTCCAGCATGCTGCTGCCATCCGGCCAGTCGGGGATTGCCCAGAGTCAGGCTGCCCAGTGAGTTTTGCCAAGTATTGCTCGAGTCATAGCAATGCATGCGTGCCGTCACCCTCCCTGTACAATAGCCCCGTGGTTGTAGCCCATAGCTATTCTTGCTGGTCATTCCAGCTGCTGCTGCCACTGCTCCTGTCGCTGCTGCTGGTGCTGCTACTGCTGCTGCTGCAGCTATTACTTAGGAGGCAGCCACCCAGTCCTTGTCAGTATTGTCATGTGTGCGAAATCCTGAACGGGGACCTCTTTTGCAATGCGGGGATGGGATAGTTTAATGTTTAGTTGAAGAAGTTTGAAGAAGACACTGACAGGCAAGGAAACCTGGGCTGATTGAGTGTCTGTGAGCATGGATCCAGCACTGGCCATGATTGTGTATGCTGTGTGCATGTACTGGTATCAACAGCTGCTTGCCTGTAGTGTGTCTTGTGTCTTGTTCACTAGATTTGTCCTGTGTGTTTGTGTTACAGGTCATGCTCAGCATGCACGGAACAGGTGAGAGCATTGTCATTTTGCTGCTTTGCTTGTCTTGTGACAATTATAAGTTCCACACAAGCACCGGTCTCCTTATGAATTGGAGAGTTTGGCATTGCCTGTGTGAACTTCCCTCTACGAGCCCGTAATTGTAGGAGAATCTGCTACAGAAGTACTGCAGTAGGGACATTGTCATGTTATTTGTGGTCATCGACTAGAAATGTGGCCTTCTTAATCCATCTACAAACCTTCAAGTTTTTCCAGTATGATCGACAAATTCCTTGCGTGGTATCAGGTTTCTGCAAGAGACGTGTGCATTTTTTGTTCGTTTTTTATGTGTCAATGTACGCATCTTTTGTGCGTCTGTGATTGAGTACACATCAGTGCTTGCTTGTATGTGAGTGCCTGTGAGTGTGCACCATATCCATCGATGATTCATCTTGTGTCTGTTTGTGTGTCCATGTAGGTGTTACACCGGGCAATCAGGCAGACAGTTACAAGCATATGGAGAACGGCGAGATGCAGTACGGACTCGACACAGTCTGGACGCTGGCTCCCACTCGGTATGTTCCATGACTGCACTATCTGTACACATGTACGTAATGCTACAATGTCCTCACTATCATGATAAAATGAATGAGGTGCTGTACATGTGCGTGCAGTGGTCACGTCAGCTACACTTGTTACAAACATGCCCGTAGTAGTGCCTGCTGAATGGTGCAGGTAATCATGATGGTGCACCAGAAGGTTCAGTTGGTTTCCCCCATGAAAAATGAGATTTATTTCCACTCCATTTGCCAGTACAGTAGAGTTTTATCGTGTTTGTGCTACGCGGACGCGCACGTGTGTGTGTGTGTGTGTGTGTGCATGCGTGTGTGCATGCGTGTGTGTGTGTGCATGTGTGTGTGCGTGTGTTTGCGTGTGTGCATGCGTGTGTGTGTGTGTGTGTGTGCATGTGTGTGTGTGTGTGTTTGCGTGTGTGCATGCGTGTGTGCATGCGTGTGTGTGTGTGTGTGTGTGTGTGTGTGTGTGTGTGTGTGTGTGTGTGTGTGTGCATGTGTGCGTGCGCGTGTGCGCGCGCGCGTGTGTGTGTGTGTGTGTGTGTGCTTAGACATGGTGCCCATAACTGGGAAGGACCCGGTGCTCTCACCGCACTGACTGCGTTGAAGGCTTTGGCCGAGGTAGGGAAATTGTCTTCTCGTACGTGTTTATGTGTAAGCGCGCTCTTGTGTTTTCCTGTGGGTGTGACACTAACATGCTCGTGAAGCTGAGAATACGTTCTGGCTTTTTCTGTCAATTGGTTGTGGCCCCTCCAATACTCAGGCAATAGGCCATTCTACTTTGAAGCTAAACTTTCGCTGGTCTTCTTGCCCAATAGTCCCTATACACCACATGTACATGCAATTGTTAGATTGACAGCATGAAACAAGGTGGAGGACACTGTGTTCGGAAACAGTGACATCTAATACTGGTTTTTAACCAGTGTTAGGTGATTTCATACCACATGTACATGTGTAATTATTGATTGTTGTTGCTCTGGATTTATGTGTAGCTGGTGAAAGATAATCCCTGGATTCCTCACAAAGTGGACGTGAATCGTGTGCTATTTGCCGGTCACTCCATGGGCGGTCACGGTTGCTGGTAAGTTACCAGAGAGACCATTACAAGTACTGTCTGTATACCTGAGCATTGGTGGTATGCTCTTGTGCCGCTACTTTGACTCTGCATAGCAGCACAGTCGTGCATCCCACCCCGTATGTAGTAGAAACGATGTCCAAGCGCCTTTACTTTAACACGCTGGAATCGTTGTGTGATAACAAGCTGCAGTGGAACTACCTTTCATGCAATTGTTCAGTATGTGTGTTGTGTTCCAATCCACCATCATGGCGAATTGAGTTTTGCTTTCCTGTAAGAGAGGCTTTATGAGCTACAGTGGAAACTCTGATGAAATGTACATGTACCCCCAAGGAGAACAATAAAGTGCACCTAGTGCCGGAGCCCAGAGGTACTTCTAATCCAAGCACACTTGAATATGAGGCAGTATGTACACCCATGCCCTGGACACTGTCCGTAGCTACTATTAAAGCAAGTGTACGTCTTATCCGAGTATGCACTCGGCGTGTTCCACTGTATTCCCCAAGGAAGGAGCTGAGAGAATCTGTCCCTGCTCTTTCTGTTTCTTTTTCCATCTCAGGCACCTGGCTACTCATTTCCCTGATTTGGCTCTTGGCGTGTCAACAGCGGCCGGCTGGAATACGAAGGAAGAGTATGGTTCTTCCAACTTGTTCTTTGTGTGAGTAGGGTGTGATAGCTGCTGTGTTTTACTTGTTGGTGTCTTTACCTGTATCATTGAAGCTCTCCTTGTCTGCACAGTGTAGGTGCACACACAGCAAGAAGAGCCAACAGAACATGTATACTGATTGATATGGTCATGTTTCTTGTCGTACCCGTGTGTTTCTGTGTGCAGGCATGACGTCAGCTCCAGTTTCATCGACCCATCTGTCAAGAGAGTGCTGGAGGTAAGACCACACACTTCTGATTGCCGTGCTCTTGTTGCAGGCGAAGTGTCTCCTTCCTAATATTCTGAATGCTTTCTTCGTGGATCTTGTCCTGATTGTAAGGACCAAGTATCCTACTTAATGCTCCAATCCTTTCTTTCATCCTACCCCCTGCGATGTATTCATCTATTTTTGGTGTTTGTCTTGAGCCGGGTTTGTGTTCTCTTGTAAAAAAACACAAAAAATGGGAGAGAAACAACAAAAAAGGTGCCGTCTACTGTTCCACCATCAGCTAAGCTATGGTGGTGTCTTGTGGACTCTTTTCTGCTGACTTGTAGGATTAATTTTTATGTGTATGCCATTGGTTGGCCCGCACTAAATCCGAGCACCACGACTTTCGCAAAATAACCATAATCATCTTGGCTGTTTGGTTTGCTGGTCTCTGTATCTGTTCTGTGTTTGTGCGATAACAGTCCTGTATTTCAGAAAATGAAGTGGATCGCCATGTGTCCAACTTGAAGGTGAGTAGCTATTCCCCCCCCCCCCTTTTTTTTCTCTGTGATGTGTCAACCACTTTTGCATTGACGCTCTCCTAACTAAGTTGTCTATCCTTGCTTTTCCATACGGTTGGAATGCTTTCAGCTATCTGTTAATGTGAATCATCCTGGTGCATTGCTGGGGAACTCGTGCTTGCCGCACGGTTTTCTTGGCGTGTTTGGAATCGGCTAGCAAGCCGCTGGTCCCACATGCAGGTGTAGCGGTATTCTTTCAGTTTCAGCTGATAGTGTGTGTTTGCTGTGTTGTGTTGGTGTTCTCAGGGTGTGCCAGTACTGGCTCGTGTGGGTGCAGATGACAGGACTGTACATCCATACTATCTAAGGTAGAGTTGTGGAGAATGCACAGCCATACCTATATACTCTTCCCCATTGCACTGTGTTTAAGTGTGTGTTTTTATTTTATGGACTTTGGAAGTTGCATTGCTGGCCAGTTCATTGAACAAATCAGCCTCTCTTGTTTGTCGTGCCACTGTACAGGCGTATGCGTCGTGCATTGGAAGCTTCTGGTGTCCGCGTGAACTACACAGAGCTGGCTGGCAAGGACCATTGGTGGTGGGATACGAAGTTAGTTTTAACTCGTGCTGCTTCTTTCTTGTTGCTGTTGTTGTTGTTGTTGTTGTTGTTGTTGTTGTTGTTGTTGTTGTTGTTGTTGTTGTTGTTGTTGTTGTTGTTGTTGTTGTTGTTGTTGTTGTTGTTGTTGTTGTTGTTGATGTTGATGTTGATGTTGATGTTGATGTTGATGATGTTGTTGCTGCTGCTGCTGCTGTTGTTGTTGTTGTTGTTGTTGTAACTCCCCCCCCCCCCACACACACACACACATCAGCCCTGTTTGCCACTGTTCATGCTTCAGCTTCATGAAATTCACATTGGACTTGCTATTTGGCTTGCTTGAGTATTCGAACTGAAGTGCTCATCCAGCTGTGCTCCCAGAAGCAAGCAACTTCTGCAGCCGCTGCTTTTCGTATTCTGCTATGAATAGTTGAGTAGTAAGGCAATGAAGATAGTGTGCTCTTGTGCAACAATGCTGAGACAATACTACAATTTTTTTATAGAATTAGGAAGTTCTGATCTCTTCCAATGTTGTGCATTGATTGCTCTTGGTTTATAGAACGTCCAATGATGGTGGTGTAACCGGTGACGAGGAAGTGAGGAGATTTGTGAACGAGGTCACTGCACCCATCAAGACCCCGGTCTGCAAGGCCAAGGGCGAAAAGGGCTGCGTTGCGGCGACATCACGCTACAGTCGCGGATACTACCTGACCGAGAAGATGCGGGCGCGTGGCACATTCCTGCTGACCGTGGTCAATCCGGCTTTCCAGGGCAGTGTGCGTGGTGTGGCAGTTGTGCAGCAGATCCTGGCTCTCCGCCAGTCTACGGTCAAGGTAAACAATGTTGATGCAGCGAAATTACTCACTTGGAGACTAGAAGCTGGCAGAAAGTTTGAATTCATACTGTTCGACAAGTAGTGCACACCCCCTTAGCAGAAGTTGAACATCTTTTTCTAACAGAAGGTCTAATCTTGACTTCTAGTGAAAAAAGCTTTCGGTACCAGCAATTCCTCTGCTGACACTGTATACTTTCAGAGAAGCATTGAGTAGTTTGTTGCTATGCACGGCGGCACCCTGCGCTATCCTTAACAGCAGGTGCCGGATGCTCCGACTGACGCATTAAGTGAGATAGATACTGCCAACTATATCCTTTCTCATTCTCACAATAAGTAGAAGATGAATAATTTGTTGTAACCCCTTTCTCGTTCTCTGTCTGTGCTTCCATCTGCTGCCGTGTTGTCAGCAGTTACATGTGCATGTACTGGAAATCACTGGTGAATGCCCATGTGTCCTATTTTGTTTTCCAGTTGTGGATGGCAGTGGTGTGTGTATGGTTTTTATTTTTCTTCTAAAGATCACCATCCAGCCAGGACGCGGCTCCCTTCGTACGGTCAATGTGCGTCGCTTGTCGTTCAGTGAGCCCGCCATCGCACCTGCCCAGTGGTCGGGCAGGAAAGTAGACGTGAGTGGGATTTTCGTTCTTGTTCCCTTGCTGCCAAGCTGGGACATTGTTGCCCTAGCTCTGGGCTGTGCTGTGGTATGATCATTGGATGGCTTCCTATGTTGGATCATTGGTAACGTTTCGACTTACTTGGCCACTTCATGTGCTAGCAGTCAGTCTTGGGTGTGTGACAGGTGTATTTATCCTAACTGTGTAGCCAGAGCAGCTAACGGGTGCATTCATTTATCCTAGCTGTGTAGCCAGAGCAGCTAACGGGTGCATTCTGTGTGGACGCAGTGAGAGACTTGCTTCCCTTTGTCAAACCAGTGGCAATCATTGCGCATTTCGCTCTCCTTTGATAGCCTGGCTGGAAGAGGAGGAGGACATAGTGAGTAACCATAACTTGCTGAACTGTGAGTGCAGTGCAGCCTTGTACACATGCTCACCCTGCTGTGTTCTAATAGTCCTGGGCTTGTGTGTGCTTGTGCTGGTGTGCTTGTGTGTAGATCGATGGCTCTGATGTTTCCGCTCTTATCAAGTCGGTCACTGCTGACAAGGCAGTGCAGCTGTGCCGCCCAACTGTTTCTGGTAAGATCATGTAACCGTACAGCATTTAGTCACTCTAGCTACTTGTAACATCTACCCATTCCCACTGCTCCTGCTGCTGCTGCTGGCTCCCGAATAGTATGCGATTTTGGATAAGCTATTTTAGGTTCAAAATGACAAATGCACACTACGCTCCGATTATGAAGATGCATGCCAAAGCAGTACATGCACTACTTTTCAATGTCACGTGATTGCTGGACTGGTGTGAGATTTGCCACCTCCGGCCCAACGTACTAAAGCCATACGCATGTTGCCTAAACTATTTGCTGTTTGTGCGAGTCGAGTCTATACCTGTCAAGTTGTCGCGCAGATCATCTTTGGAAGTTGGCAGCCAGCAGAGATAGATCACTTGCTCTAGAGTGTATGTCATTTTGTCTTGATTATTACCTTTTTCTCTCAAATCGAGGCTGTATATTTCACTCTGAATATACCTTAAAGGGTTCAAATTAGGGTCAAAAAGGGTGTGCATTGTATTCAGGTGTGTGTTATACTTCAGCGAATGCGGCATGTATCCTGTGGTAAGGCTATTAGGCGTTCTCCTTGTGAAGTGAGCTCATTAGCTGCTTTTTCTATTTGTTTTTTTTTTGCAGATAAATGGGGCGAGTGCAAGGATGCGGAAAACGAGAGGCTTGCGTCAACAATGGGTCCTGCACGTCGTGTGGCCGAACGTCCCTTCCTCATTGTTGTCGGTGAGTTGGGCTTGTCATAGTGGTAGCTACTGTGACGTGTCCGTCTTGTGTCGTTTATACTTCGAAGTGCCAATTAAAATCCCTGAGCCATTTGCAGAAAAATTTGAACCGCTCATGCGCTGTATAATACTGCCCAAACACCCTATCTTGCCAGAGCACCCCGCCTTGATTGATGACCGCCAGGGAAAGGAAAATGGTATGTCTGACTGCAACTAAAGGTCGTACGATATAGGAACCTGAGTGTGCTAGGGTCACGCTGGCCATTGCGTAGCTTTTTTGTCTTGTCTGCAGTTCGCTTCCACTTGAAAATGAAATGAGTATGGATTACCTGCACCACGTGCAATTTACGTACAGTGTACCGTATGACCTGCATGCGGAACTTGCTCATATGCCCCACCTCGAAAACATGACCACAAAAGGGCCCAGGTGGTGGAGATGATCTCGCATACTTTACAGTACAAGCGTTTGCAAGCTCAAAGTTACCTTTTTATCTGTCATCTCTTGTCATGTTGCTAGGAACATCTGGCTCCAGCGAGGACACAGCATCCCTGCACCAGGCAGCTCTCTACATCGCCAACCTGTTTTTCCTCATGTCGGACACTCTAGCCCCTGTTATTCATGATAGCAAGCTGTCACCGGAAACTGCTGGTAAGTACATATATGACTCATACTGGGTGTGTGTGTGTGTATGTGTGTGTAGTACTGTGTACATATGTGTGTGTGTGTGTGTGTGTGTGTGTGTGTGTGTGTGTGTGTGTGTGTGTGTGTGTGTGTGTGTGTGTGTGTGTGTGTGTACATATGTGTGTGTGTACATATATATGTGTGTGTGTGTGCGTGCGTGCGTGCGCACGCACGCACCCATGTGTGTACATGTACGTGTGTATGTGTGTACATGCACGTGCATATGCGTACATGCATGTGTGTCTTCATCTTTCAACATCGACCCAACATCTACCATTGTGAAACAATGGGTTCCAGGACCGCTGCAGTATGTAGTATTTAGAAATTTGTAAGTTTGGGTGAAGGGAGAAAGAGAGACTGAGGAAGAGATGAAGAGGGTTAGTGATACATGATGATGTTTATAGTGTCCGCAGGTCTAGGGCTGCGCAACGCCCGGCGCATACTTGAGTGCAGCGACTGGATTTCATTGAGCAGGACTGCAGTAAGCACGTATCTGTGCTGTAATCCTTTCTTTGTTATCACTCAGTTGACCTTTTTCACAGATGTACAACTCACAGACTTTATAAAAGTATAACAAATATTCTCACCTCTGTGTGCAGTATACTTCAATATAATATTATGTTTGTGTCTGTGTGTGTATGTGCATGCGTGTTACTTTCTTTGTGTATTTGCAATGCAGCTAAGTACAATCTCATCATCGTAGGTGGTCCACAGCTGAACAGCTTTGCCGAGTCAGCTCTATCACGTGTCCCCATTTCCGTTGGAAAGGGCGGTAAGTCACTAGACAAGTTATCCGTGATATGTGGTTGTTGTGTGTATAACACATAGTACACTCTTAGTGTAGTGTAGGCTTGACATTATGGCCATGGTACTTTCCCTTCTACCAGTAGGTAAGGCTGAATTAGGGTCGGTGTTCCTTTATCGAGGTGTACAAACTTCCAAAGCTATGAATAGTACTTGTGTCTGTTTGATGTTATGTGTGTAGCTCTCTGATTAGCACTAACTAGCCTGGCTGTTAGCCTCCTTGCCATCACCTTTTTGAAAGAAGTACTTCGTACCCATACATCTTACCATGTCCTCCGTGTACTAAGGAAGCAGTTCGATTCTGGGTTACTTTTGATAATGTGTCACTTCTGTTCAGTGGCTGCTGCTGAAGTGGATCCATCATGATTGCACACGTACCTCACTGATTCGATGATTATCCTGTATGCTTCGTTGATCACAGGCATTCACCGGAGCAGTCCTGTCATTCTGTCATTGCTGCTGTCTGTCTGTTCATGCAGGTATTCAGCTGCAGCACTGCACTTACAAGAACCCGCAGTCCGGGGCACTGGTGCTGACGCCGCACGGTGCAGCAGACGGTCTGGCCCTGGTCTTGGCCGGTAACACTGTGCAGGGAGTACTGAACGTCGCCAGCCTTGCTACACCCACCATTCCACCCATGGCACGTTCACCGGTAAGGCACATGCCCACTGTCATCAGGGGGGGGGGGGGGGGGCTGCTCTTTCAGCCTGCTAAGTGCTAACCCAGGGTCTTTTTTAAATACTCTTCATGCTTGCGTGCACTCCCATAGAGATGGCAACGTGTCACATGCGGATCTATAGTCAACGTAGCGTATTGTAAATAGTACTAAATACCCACGTTGTTCTGTTGTTCTGGCCCAACTAGGACGCTCCCTTTTGTGGTTGATCATCTCTGGTGAAGTCTATCTCCTCCTTTACATCTTTGTTCACGTATAAATATGTAAAACTTTAAAACTAGCGATTGGAGGAAAGAAATATACTGCGCATCTGCAGGCAGGCATAGTGGGGTGGTATAAAACCATGATTGAGAAACAGAGGGTACCAGGTTCAAGTCCTGCTTGGAAGCGGAAGGATTTTTCCAGCCATGCTGCGACGGGATCTTGTGACCTGGAACAAGGGAAATATGGATGCAGCGAATGGGATTTTCAGTCTTTGACCACTTTGGTGGTGGGTCTGATCTACTCACCACCCACTGCTTTAGGAGCTGCATCTGCGCCTTGATCCTTGAGGGTGGTGGCATTCCTACAGATGAGGAAGACTCGGTCAAACCGGGTCACGTGCAAATCGTGGTATTTATTATTTGGCTGCAGCCGAGCTCTCGCACAGAGTGCTTCCTTGAAAAGTGAATTATACTTTGTTCCATGAAGCAAGCAACTAACTTGCTACTTCTCTCTGACATCCGAAGTAGTATATGTGTGTGTGTGTGTGTGTGTGGACATCTTGAGGCAGGTCCGAGAGGCAGATTGCAGTGAAGCAAATACATTTCTAGGAGACAAAAAAAGTACAATTAGACAAAGGAAACGAACGAGCTACAGACTCTGCACAAGTGGCATTCAGACATTTTCCACAAGCACTTTCCTTCTGCCTGTATTCTTCCTGGTGAGAAGACATTTTGATACTCGCTGAAAGCTTCTGAATGTTTAGCTTATGAATAGCCTGAAGCGGGCTCTTTGCATGAGGATACAATATACAGCAAGAATGAGGATACAATATACAGCAAGAATGAGGATACAATGTACAGCAAGAATGATCACAGGAATAGTCACAGGAAAGCTATCCTACTCCATGTCCCCTCTCCACCTCACAGAAAAGCTGGCCGTGTGCATCACGTTTCCAGCAGCTTCCTGTCCCTGTGTTAGGCTCAGCTTGCTTACCGCGTGAGCGCACCCTCACCATTTCTAGTACATGTACATGTTACTTGTGTAATTGTATGTGCGTGGCAGTTTCCATAGTTCCATATATCTGTCCATGTTGTATATGCAGAGTGTAGCCAGTTCTCATGATTCTATCAATACATACACATGTACATGTACCAGGCTAGTGCTTCGAAATGTAGAGTGAGGGCTCTGTGCACTGTGGTGCGATGTCTCACTTTTCTCTCTCTCTCTTTCTTTCTCTTTCACTTTCTCTTTCACTTTCTCTCTCTCTCTCTCTCTCTCTCTCTCTCTATCTATCTATCTATCTATCTATCTCTCTATCTATCTCTGTCTGTGCTGTATAGTTCTCCAATCTCATACCGGACTATCTCGTAACGGGACCTGAGTTGGATGGACGTGGCCCAGCGGGATATCTATGTGCTGGTTTCTGGGGAAATAGCTGGAACTGGCAGCCTGAACTAGCATCATGCACTTGTTAGGCATGTGTGTATGTGCGTGTGTGTATGTGCGTGTGTGTATGTGCGTGTGTGTGTGCGTATATGATAGCACTGTTGTCCTTTTGTTTGGTTTATGCCCCGTGTGAGCTCCCTCTCTCTCTTTGTTAGACCTGTGCCTTATGGTAGCTATGTACTCTACATGTATATGACACTAGAATCTTTGTCCGTGTTTGTTTGTCCCCCGTTTAATGTATTTTTAGCGGACACCTGCTTTTGTTATTTTGTATTTTGTAGGCGTAAGTCCTATTAGGTCCTTTTGCCACTTCCTTCTGGCTCCCTTGTACAAAGGTTCACTAATAGAATAGTAATATTGGAGCAGCTATCGTTCTGACAGTTTTATGTGCTATGAGAACGTGTCGTAGTAGTTCCTTTCAGCTGGTACCCAGCTGGACTGAAGTAGTTGTGAGGAAAACGTGTCAAGATAATAGATTTGTATGTTCAATATTAATATTCAAACTCATGTGCTGTGTTGCCACTTGTACATACTACCTATTACTCCCATTGCGAATAACCGCTGTGGTATTTACTCGATGAATTGCCATTCCCTTTTGATATTTTTCTGAAGATTTGCTTTTCTATTTTAGAAATTACATGATTGTATGATTGTTGTTTCCACTATTTCCAGAGGATTTTATGCTGGCATATTTATCATGCGTTGCTAGCTGGCTGTGCACAAGTACAGGTATAATTATTATTATGTGCTACAGTGTGTTTGTACTTGTATTGTGTGGTCGGTGTTTTCAACGCCCAAAAATAACAAAGCGCCCTGATATTTTTGTGCTACTCGGAAGTAGGAGCTAGCAGGGAGTTTCGTCCACGACTTCCTGACGCGAGAGTGTATTAGCTTGACAATGCACTGGTGCAGGTTGTCTGTAACCCTAGCGGTGGTGAAGATTGTTAGTACTAACCTAGTAGTAGTACCTTAGCCCTAGCATCTATCATGGTTGATTCCAGGGAGTCGCAAAAGAGCATTTTACGACTCCCTGGGTGGTTCTAAAAAGCTTCGCTTTGTCTTGCTGGGGCTTGCCTTCTTTGTGGGACGTGAAAGAATGAAGCCGCTGCGTTTCTTTTTGATGGAGATAGTTTTGCCGATGGAAATGGAAGGTGAGAAACTGTGATCCGTTCACGTTTCATTCTTGAACTGGAATGTATTACTAGTATTCGTTTTCTACGACCTCGAGTTAGTCTAGGTGAAGAAAGGTCATCTTTCTTCTCTTCACCATCCAGAAGACTTTGTAGAAGACTTTTTTCTTGCATTCTTCCTCTTCCCACTTTGCCGTGCAGCACCGCCGTAGTCACACAGCGTGGCGTCCAAGAAGCCACAGTAGTCGGTAGCCTGCCTGAGTGGTGCATGGAACGAAATCGTTCCTGGCTGATTAGCTCCTGCATCGATTCATCTTGTGGCCAACGCTACAGTGTATTGTGCTCGACCACGGTCACCTACACAAGAAATACTTTAGTACTAGTAACGTGTACAATGTGGTTGAACTGCATTCACAGAACTGCATTCACAGAACTGCATTCACAGAACTGCATGGGGCACAGACATACTCAATAAGACTGGCGACTGCAATGACTATGACATAGTCATTTTATTAATTGTGTAGCCTGAAGATCTTCGTAGGACTACTACTAAGATACTAGGCTGTAGATAAGGCCCTCGTCACTCGTATCAGTGGAGTTGAGTCGAGCGAGATGTAGTACTACTACTAGCCTAGTACTAGTAGTCCGTGGCTATGCACTCCTGGTGCGGAGAGGCGGGTTCACACCTCTTTGTGGCAACTGGCACTGTGGCAATGACTTCCCCTTGCCCATGACTCTGATCTGAGGTCAGGGTTGAAGAAGCCTGCTTTGCGATTGTCGGCTATAATCCCTCCCCCAGACGGTCCCGGCCTATGGCCTAACGAATGGGCTTCTGCGAACTTTTGCGATGGTTCTTTCAATCCTGGTACATGTACTGTGGTAGAGAGTCGTGAAACTGAACGCCTTTCACGAGTCACGACTAGTCGGACTACTGTTTCTGTGCTTCCTGGTTGAGCATCCTACCGCTACCAAGTACCATTCGCCACCAAACTGTCTCAGTCTCCACAGGCACAGACTCATCCACACACTCATCATCATGACCGAACAAACGGAACCTGAGGTTTGTCAGTGTTTCAGTTTGCCTATTATTAGTTAGGGCATGCATCATGTGCATGGTCGACAGGCACAGACGTGATTCTGTCTACCATGCCATGCATGCATGATATATGCATGCCATGGTCTACGGCCGGTGAACCAGTAACGTCAGTAACGGGCTGATACAGTCTTTACAGAGGTCGCCACCACTGCCGGGCACCACTGCCGAGTGCTGGCACTGCCACTGCCACTGGCACTGGTCACTGTTGTCGCATGGCCACCTGGCACCCTGGTGGCGAAGTGTGAATCACCGCCGAAATGCTTGACACTCCACACACCAACCAGTCCAGGGCCTAGGGACGGGGAGTTGTGAAAGCCCAGGCTTTCACAACTCCCCGCTCCACACTTTGTCAACAGTGTCATGTCATTGTCAGCGGGAAAACACTTTCACCCAGCGCTACTCCGCTAGCCGGCCCCTGCTAGCAACGAGAACCAACTAAACTAATGTTACTTATTTTGAGTGAAGCAGACCTGTGCTCGACTTCATTGTGGTGGTCTTCGATGTGCTTCAACCGCACAAACTACTAGTATCGGTAACCCGCTCGAGGTCGCTACTGGAGTGAAGACAGCCAAGAGGACTAACTACGAAACTGCGCTGCTGTCAACTCTTCTGCGTTCTGGTACTGGTCGCCGGTGCCCGGACTGCCATTCATTCATTCATCGTCATGGCTGGTGAAGGGGAGACATTCTTTGCCCACACGGCTCCAAGTCCCGGTATAGTAAATAGTGTTGTAATGTTGAGCCCGTTGTATAATAATATTATTACCGGTTGTGTTGCGTTGCCTCTGTGGATGTGGAGCCAAGTAATTATTAGTAGTACCAATAGTGGCCCCGGCAGTATTTGTCAGCGAAATGGTGGCGAGCACACGCCCGACCTCACAAGACGCTCTCCACTGAGTCGGGCTGCAAAGAACACGTTACATAATCTAATTAATATTTAGGCAATCCGGGGGTGCTCACTGCCGCTCTGCTGAATCTAGACTAGAGAGAGGTGCAGTAGATCCATGCCATGGAGTTGTCGAACCATTCTCAGAACATCAGGCTGATTGTACTGCCTAGGAGTAGGACTAGGTCGCAGGTGTTTTGTGATAATTCAGTACCGTTATGTGGTTGGCCCAACCCATGGGGGTTATGCAAGTGCATCACATTGGAGATGTTTTCTGCCGCTGCCGCAATACAAGTTTGTATGGAGCTGCTAGTGGCATCATCACAGACACAGGCATTGTTTGCCACCCAATACATATACAACACAACCCAGTACATGCACAACACAACCCAGTACATGCACAACACAACCCAGTACAGCACAGCACAACCCAGCACAGTACAGCACAGTACTGCTGAGTGAAATCCAGTCGCGTCACTCAAGTACGCTCCAGGCATTGCGCAGCCCTACACGGTAGACCTGCTGACACAGGGCTGCGAAAATGGTGCAAGGTGCAGACTTCAGTGACGCGACTGGATTTCATTGAGCCGCACCGTAGCACGGCTTTCCACTCCGTACAGTCAATACAAAGTTTATGTGATGACGTGATTCGCGCAATCTATAGTCAATGGATGGGTAATGCATGCTGGCCATGCAAAATGAAACCATTGCATAATGCTTTGTGTTGACTGCGGCATGGAGTGGAAAGAGCACTAGCTTCGTATTGAGATTAGAACGGCAAATCGTTTTGAGGTGCAAGCCAACATGCACTGGTGCGCACTGCAGCGTTGCTTGCCGCTCCATACAAAGCAGCTCAAATGATGACGTAATCGCATGATCCTCCATCGACCAGAGACTCATTAGACTAGACTAGAGGTAGTACCCACGCTCAGTGGAGGCTTTGCTACTCCAAGACGCTATTTCCAAACTGTCTGTGTTCCGGCTGGCAAACTTGTGCTAGAATCCGACAAAAATATCAGTGTGGGACACACAATCGACTTTTCCTCCTCATACGACTCCTACTCCCCACTTCCAAACAAGAATACAGTTCAGTGACTAGTATGTTGAGCCTTCCATACCCTCCCTAGAAGAACCAACTCGGACAGTGAAATCGACATAAGACAGGAGACAAGGGGATGCAGGGCAGCAATGGACACTAGTGGCGTGTGTGGGGCTCATCGACCCACTGGGTCCCGGAATCGGGGCTTATCGACCCACTGGGTCCCGGAATCAAAACCCCACAAACCCATCTTGGGGAGAGGATGAAAATAGTGAGTAATGAGGGGAGAGTGTGTGTGTGGGGGGGGGGGGGGAGGCAGAGCATTGGGATGGTTTTACAACAGGGTAAAATGAAGCCTTGTGAATAGTGCCTTTTACAGGGGAAGAGGTGCAAATGGATGTGATCTTACATGGCCCTGCAATATAGTGCAGCTTGTGCAAATGATTCGAAAGCAAGTGTTTCGGGGACAAAGTATAGTTCCCATCAAGTTTATTTTTTGGTTAGGTATCGGTATGTTGCTGCCATAGCTTGCCGGATACACCTTGGAACAGCAAGACAGTAGAGCTGGAGCAAAGGCTCGTGTTGTTTAGTCAGAAACACCACCGATTTGAGGTGGTCTAAGAAGACCGCTCTTGGATCCGATGTATTTTGCTGCTACTGATGTTGGCACTTGCTCTAAGTTAACTCTTACCAAACAAGCAGAAATTCTCAATGGCCGTTTAAGGAAACCAATGCAGTGTGTGAAAAGGGGAGAATCAGAAGCACAGAGGGTACCAGACTCAAATCGTGCTGGAAGCGGCAAGATATGTTGGCCCGAGTGGCTCGTGCCCACACTTGCAAGCACAGGCCGGGGTAATCAGTAATGTGGAAGTGATTCTGGGCGCGAATGATTGTCTGTGCTGCTAAAATCATGGAATTTAATGATGTACAGAAAGGTGATAGCCGGGCTGATATTCCATGTCACTTCCTGGTTGGTAGACCAAATTTTACTATGGCTGAAATTCTTCATTTGTGTGCATTTGGTCCATCATCAGTCACTGCTGGGTGTTAGCATTGCCAAAAATATCTCTGTTAAAAGTTGCTCAGGATGTAAATGGTCTAGTGTGGTGGACAATGATGGTCCAGTACTGTGACTTCAAGCTTGCTTCTAGACCTTCTTAGCCTTGTCCATGACTTGCTCCTCAACCTTCCTCGCCTTGTCCACGCTCCTTGACCTTCCTCATCTTGTTCACACTCCTTGGCCTTGCCTACCTTGTTCATGCCGTGCTCCACAAGCCTTCCTTACCCCATCCTTGTGTCTGAATGCAGATTTTTGACTTTCTTGCTCTGCAAAACTTTGAAATCTGGAGTTCCTCTTGAACTGAACATGTTCTTCTAAAGTAGGGGTTGGGTACGTCTGCTTCGTAAGGCGAGGAATCATGTGATCATGCGTGTTTGCATGAAAGGAATATGGATGTGTCACGATGAAAACAGTCGTACTCCCAGCTTTCTGTGTACAGGTTCATATGGTGGGGTTTGGGCAGAAATTGCCAATGTGATGTCATTCTGACTTTGGTGACAGTACTGTCACTGATATACTAAAGTTACTATTGCTACCCCCCCCCCCCCCCTCTCTCTCTCTGTGATCCACCATGTACATGACATTGACAATGGTGGTGAAAAAGTCACTGCATCCGCCATACCTCCTCATGTGTGCCCGCCATACCTCCTCATGTGTGCCCAGCCCAGTTGTACACAGCCATTTTGCATGTATGATTCACCAGTGTCATGTCTTTGCTTGTCTGTTTCTACTTTCAATGCTCAGGTCCCGACACTCCAGAGCTGAAAGTGCTTGAAGTCACCCATTACAGCATTGAGTTGAAATGGTCACCGATCCCCTATCAGGCCAAGGCACACCCTGCTGGCAGCCCACCAGGTTGTACTTACTGGGTGGAGATGAAACCGGAGAACTCGCTGAGAGACTTTCGCAACATCTACAAGTATGGCTGGGGATGACCGCATGCCTTGCCAATTTGTGAAGTCCCCGGGCATGCTTGGTTGTGTGACACGGTGACCACTTTCCTTTGCCGCATGTTTTCCCACCGTTCCATGTGCATACGTTGTCTACCCAAAGAGGGCATGTTTTCTGCCTCCGAGAGAGGGGGGGGGGGTATACCATGGTGCGGAATATGTTTTGGTAAGGTGTATAGATACGGCCGTACCCGATGATTGTTAACTGGTGAACTGAAAATGCAATCCTGGAAATGAGCCTGATAACCGCACCTGTTTTCGGTCGATTCCTGTTTTCAGTACCTCTGGTGGTATGTCGTACTAGATTCCACCGAGATATAATTCTACCTTATTCCCTCACCTCGGACTTCTATGTAGGGACTGAAAATTGGTTGCCACCAAACAAGTAAGGCAAAGATGAGTAAAGTTCAGGGCTGTTTGAATTTGTTGGCTGTTTTTGTTGTGGCCTGGCACGAGGGAAACAAGGATACAGTGAATGGAATTTTTCGGTCTTTGGCCACTTTGCTGGTGGGTTCGTCTACTCGCCTCGCACCACTTTAGGAGCTGCATCTTCGCCTTAGATCTTTGCAGGGTGGTGCAGGGTGGTGGTGTTCCTACAGATGCTGAAAACTCAGTCCAACTGAGTCTCAAGCGAACTGTGATTTTTTTTGTTTTTTTTGTCACCCATGAACTGCGCTGTTGCATGCAGGGGTTACGGTACTCATACTGTCATTGACGAAGATCTTGGGGCAGACACACCATATCTGATACGTATACAAGCTCGCGCTTCAGACGGGGAAGCCGGTCCTTGGAGCGAACCCCCACTCAAGGTCTCAACGGCTGGTAAGAACGGTGGATCGTTTGCATTGTAGCTCCGCAGTGCCGCAGACATCTTTCCTTTAGCAACACTACTTCGCTATACTACTGTGCATATGCCACTCCTGTAGGATTCATGGAGGGTTGAGGACACGGTGATTGAGGGTGAGGAGGGTTTGTATCATAATATATTTTGAGGAATTAGAGCCAATTTTTTCATGGGTCCACCCCGAGAAAAATTTCCAAATTGAAGCCAATTGCAATTTTTAGGGCATTGGTGCCATTTCAGTGTAACTAGAATAAAAGACTTTTTTTCTGCAACAAACCAAGAAGATGCTACGATCAGGGACAAGGATTCTTCATCCCTCACGTTTGTGCTGAGTTGCGATCATCGCACGCTAGTGCTTTGTTGCAGTGTGCTCCAAAAAAATTGGCCGTGAAAGTAGGGGGCCTCAGCCGCCCCATACAAGCCTCATCATACAAGCCTCATCAAGCACTTAAACTTCATGTGATTGGTACAATAATCCCTCGCGTATCTGCCCTGCCGTTTTTTGGACAGGGTCCACAACAGGGTCATGACTGAACTTTTTTCAAGTCACTCCATGTAAATTATCAGCGATGCTGGATGACCCGCTTTAAAGCCTGGTGGATGTGTTTTGCTATGTCTGTTTTACTGGCCTTCTTTAACTTATGGTGCAGGCCCGCCACTGACGGGACTTGACCTTCTCAAAGCCGTCGAAAACTGCGACCTCGATGCTATCCGATACATCGTCTCTCATGGGTAAGCTACATGTGGTGCCACTGTGCCTGTAGACAGACCTGCTGCACAGTATACTGTGGTGCAGCGATAACTCAGAGCATCCTGTTTTTCTGCTTGTAAATGAGCACAACAGATGCATGGATACTTGGTATTTGAAGAGCTGTACAGGCAAGTGGGATTATTTGCATTGTTCCGGCTTTGTCATTGCGAGGTCTGAACACTATTTCCAGATGACTTAGTTTTCAAATTTGTTCACTGGTTCATTGTCCTATCACCCAGGTCAACACCTACAGGCTGCCCATAGCCAGCCGCGTGACTGTTAGTCACTGAGTGTTGTTCCAACTTCCAACTTTCTGCCTTTCAATGTACCCTGCGCGGTCCTTCGGCATTGTCGATAACCGTTACATGAAACAAAAAAGTTTAGTCTTGACCCCGTTGTGGACCCTGCCCAAAGAAGGGAAGGACAGATATGTGAGGGACTACTGTACCAATCACATCAACTTCAAGTGCCCGATGAGGCTTGTATGATCCTATGCATTCAACGTCACAGCTGTGCTTTTAAAAGATACCCGCGCAGAGGAACAATTGGATGCCACTACTGGTGTCCTCTTTGGGGTGGTAATATGACGGACGTAATGTCTGTGCACATGCTTCGGTATGGCTGCTGGTGTTCAGGATTTCAACGGAGGGTTTGGACACATTCGGTCACACACCGTTGATGAATGCTGCCAGACTGGGATACGTCGAGTAAGTTTATCAAAGTCGCAAGACTGTGCTGTCCCGCCTCAGTCAATGTACACACCGCAGTGCGATGTACTGGAGATAAGTCCACAATTGGTATCTTATACTATTTTCTGGTATTGTTATTTTTACTTTGACAACTCAACAGTGCCAGGTATTACTAAAACAGAACCGGACTGAAACCAATGGTAAACGAGCATAACTTCCCTCACTGATTCCCTCAACTAGTGAATGTACTAGCATAACTCCCATCTGCGTCTTTCCCTCAAACCATGTGAATAACTTAGAACCTTAAACTTAGTGTGAGCTGCACTCTTTGCGTATCAAATTGGGCACCGGGAGTAGATGTGCAAATGGAAGTTAGGATTACTCGACACATGCTGGTAAAGCTGTCCTCATCCTCCTCTTCCTTCTCTCCCCCCCCCCCCCACGTGAAGCAGCGGCGAAGGTCCTACACGGGAAGTTTAAAACATCACAACCACGCCGCACTGACAAGCAAGGACTGAAGGAAAGTTGCAAGTTCTTTAACCTGACCGGTTTCTGTGACATGAGTCACTTCATCAGAGGAATGAAGATAAATGACAATATGGAACTCAATATAACCAGAGAACTGGACAGACAGGCGTTGAGCACTGTCGAGTAATTAGCGCGGAAAAAAGCAATTTAGCGATTTAGCGCGAAAAAAAGCGTGAACAAAACACGGGGTTGCTTGCAAGGCGAAAAAACAAACACGAGGTTGAGTGCAAGGCATGGAGGTAAAAAATACCTATACCCATCGTGAGTGTGGTTTCCTAAAACATAAGTTAGCGTGAAAAGAATTTTGCAGGGTGCGTTGAAGGCTGAGGAGGCCAGGGTGATAGTCAGTAACAAAAACTATGGGGCAAGAGGCAGAAGCTTGCACAGAGCTAGCTGGAGGTACGAGTTGACAGCTAGCTGGGGTATCACTGGACGCATCGTGGAGAAACCTAGGAGGGTAACCACGCTTGCGAAGCCTGGTCCAGAAAGCATCACGTATAGCGAGCAGGGAGGTGATCTCACTGTTTGTGTGGTTATAGCGCAGCAATTTAGCTTTAATAAAAGCTCTGAAACATGAGCGGGAGTGGTCGGACGTAAATGGGATGTACAAATAAGCGTTCCTGGGCTTTTGGAAAGTACTGAATGTGAATGTGGATTTATCATTAATAGAGATGATCAAATCAAGAAACTCAATACTTTTACTGGGGTCTGACCACGTAAGTCTGATGGTGTCAAGTTTTGCGGGCATGTGCCGTTTGACGGCAGGCAGATTGCTCAGTCTTTTGATGATTAAGAGAAGATCATCAACGTATCGACCGAAGAACTTTATGGTGTTACGGAAGACCGAGAGTGTACGCTCATGGACGAAGAGGAAAATATTTGCAACATTAACCGCCATGGGTGTACCTATGGCCATGCCATTCTCTTGGTAATACACCAAACCATCATGCTCGAAAAAAGTATTTCTTAGCACAAAAGAAGAAAGATCAATGAGCAAGTCTTTCATGGCGTGATTATTTTCGTCGAGGAACACGTACAGGGCATTGGTCGTGTCTTTACACGACATACATGTGTAAAGACTTTCGACGTCTGCAGTCAAAAGGGAGCAGTCACTCAAGTCACTCAAGTCATCGTTCGACGGAGTGATCAAACTCTTTACAACATCGTTAGTAGAAGTAAACACAGTGCTTGCTGATTTCATGAGACTCCTTATATGGTAGTCAACATAGCGAGAGGCTGGCCGGGGTTGTGCGGTAGCCCTGACACGACACAATGGGCCTGCCTTTAACTCCACAGGGCCCAAGGGGCTTGTGGATTTTGGGAATGAGCCGAAACTTGGCTGGCTTGAAAGGGAAATTCGCAAGCAGGGCTTCTGCGTCTCGCCTAGTGACATTATGGCTGGAAATGATCCTGGTTAGCTCCGTTTCGATGACCTTGACTTCTGGATTGAGGGCAGTGTCCCGGCCAAAGGGGCAAACAATGCGGTATGTTGAGGTGTCCGCGAGCTGTCGGGCGGCTTCGGCGGCAAATTCATTGGAATTCAGGATAGCTGTACCCAGATAACTTAGAACCTTAGTCTTAGTGTGAGCTGCACTCTTTGCGTATCAAATTGGGCACCGGGAGTAGATGTGAAAAATGAGTTAGGATTACTCGGCACATGCTGGTAAACTGCTGTCCTCAGTCATCCTCCTCTTCCTTCTCCTTTCCTCCTCCCCCCCCCCCCCCCCGCCCCCTCCTCCACCTCCCCTAATCTAATGATTCTAATCTGCTATAATCGGTGCTGCTCTTGCAGTAGCATGGCGATGGAGCAAGTGAAGAGCTGGAATACGAAACCCGCTTAGCACCGATTTTGAGAAAATCAGATTTACGGCTCAGGGTAATCAATACTAGGGGCATCAGCAAGGCAAAATTTTACATTCACATTTACATTCATAATCTGACTAAAAAATATGGACTTAGAAACCGGCGACCACCTGTCCCCGAAGACCACTGCAACCAGGACCAAGGGATGCCAGTTCCAGTCAAATGGCTCTGGATAAGGAGACCACCTGGTAACAGAGACCGTATTTTGTACTGAGGTCCCTTGAGCGGTCATCTAACAGTGAAACCTGTCTAAGACGACCGCTCAAGAGACCTACAAAACGTGGTCCTCGGGCACGGGTTGTCTTCTCATCCAGTGCCATTTGATTTGGAATAACACCCCTTGACCCTAGTTGAAGTGGTCCCCTGGGACAGGTGGTCGCCTTATTGAGTGCCGGGTCGCTTGAACAGGTTTTACTGTATATTCTCTGGCACTAATCTGCTTTTGAAATGGTTGACAGCGGTGTACCTTGTGAGGACAAAAAGAGACATTCAGCCTATGGTTACATGTATGTTGTGACCCCCCCCCCCCACACACACACACTCATTTTCCAAAAACATTCTTTTTTGGAATCAGACAGCAGGATAGTGTTGAATTAGACGTGGCAATGGACAACCAACGCCGACCAGAAAAGGACGCAAACAGAATGGCTATGAGTTATACTTCGACTTGTAATACTTTTGGAGGGTCCTGGTCTCCGAGGCTGACAGTGTCTTGTAGGATGTACGTGCATATTATAGACTTATACAGTTATACTACTATACTGGGATGTTTGCTGCGGTGGTTTCCTCTGTTGCTTTCCTCACAGTGTAATGGAAATGCTGCTAGAATGTGGTGCCGGTGTCAACACTGTCAACAACATGGGAAGATCTGCGTAAGATAACGTAGCAAACATCATTCAACTCTGAACAAAAAAACTCTTTCCGTCAGCAATGTGAACTTTATGTATTGTTTCAATGCGTACACTTGAACAGGAAGTCACACTTTTAATATAGTCGTTCTATTTCTAATAATGGAACTGCTGTGCGTGCGTGTGCGTGTGTGTGTGTGCATGGCGTTACAACTTTCCAATGATTCCTATGGCAATGGCTCTTGTGTGCGTATGTTCTGTTGGTCACTGACTGGTGTTAGTCTAATGATTGCAGCAGTCCACGACAAGATACACTGTGCCACTCTGCTTTGTTCAAGAGGCGCATCCCTGAGCTTGCGCGATAAGATTGGTGAGTTGCTACTCATACGATTGAAAAAGTCTCTCTGCTTGTGACGAAATAAGGCCTAGCCACTGTGAGACTACGGCATACCGGCCAGATTAAAGTTATATTTTCAAATCTACCGTGCATCCCTGCTTTCAGTCGTTATTGGTTGGAAACGAAAATAATTTATTTCATGTCGCGGCGTGCTTGACTCTCAATGCTGCTGATTCTTTCCTATGCCTGCAGATACATACGCAGTCCACTTTGCTTGCGACTCTGGACAGGACACCGTACTGCGCTATCTGTTAAACAGAGATCCGGATCAGGTAAGTGCTTCAAGCAGGAAACACAGCTGTAACGCATGAGCATGATGTTGTGGTCCCGTTACACTTACCCACAAATGGATAGCCCTCTCTACTTACTCTGCACTCTCATGGATTGATTGTACCAAGAGTACATAACCCCAAGAGTGTGCAACTCCAGTTATGGGGTCTGCGACGGCAGAACTTCACATCACGTGATGAACCCGTACACATTATTTGCACTCTGTGCATGATTGATACAGGGTTGTACGAAACCCAGCTTACAACTCTCTTGTGATCAATTTGTACTGTTTTCCAGTGTAACCTTTTGAACCATGTCACGTGATGTGAAGTTCTGCCGTCGCAGCACAGCATAGAGGTTGTGCAGGCAGTTGCACACTCTTGGGGTTATGTACTCTTGATTGTACGCACATGCATGCGTGCATGCGTGTGTGTGTGTGTGTGTGTGTGTGTGTGTGTATATGTGTGTGTGTGTGTGTGTGTGCGTGCGTGTGTGTGTGCGTGTGTGCGTGCGTGTGTGTGTGTGTGTGTGTGTGTGTGTGTGTGTGTGTGTGTGTGTGTGTGTGTGTGTGTGTGTGTGTGTGTGTGTGCATGTGTGTACGCGTGCAGTGTTTGACACGACCGCAGCTGAGTTTGGGCTTAAAGTTAGCGCTACCAAGACACAGTTCTTGGTTGCAGGCAGGGATGTTTCGCCTGGGCACTGCGCTCTAATCGAGCTAGCTGGCACGGTCATCAAGTGTGTTTCGGAGTTCCGGTATCTTGGATCTTTCATCCATCGCGGTGGCCGGTCGACACAGGACATCACTGCTCGAATCGTGCATGCCTCTCGTGCTTGTGGCGCCTTGCAAGGAACCATCTTCAGCAATTCTGACCTTAATTTGCATATCAAGAGGTGTGTGTTTAATGCATGTGTGTTGTCGCTCCTCCTCTATGGGTCAGAGTGTTGGACACCATTGCAGCACGATCTCCAACGTTTGTCAGTCTTCCATATGCGGTGCATTCGTTCCATCTTGGGTGTGTCCCGCAGAGATTGCTGGCATAATCACACGACCAACGCCCAACTGTTGGAGATGTGGGGTGACACTGATACCATCTGCGTGAAGGTTGCACAGCGTCGCCTAGAGTGGCTGGGCCATGTTGCCTGGATGGACAGTAGCCGGATGCCGAGACAGATCCTGTTTGGCTCACTTCCCACACGTCGCCCAGCACATGACCCTCGCAAGCGCTGGAAGGATTGTGTTGTCTCCTCACCAAGGAATGATATCCTATTGCCTGTGAGTCCCGCGCTGACTGGCCGGCTATGTACGCCGAGCCTGTGGAGAATGTGCCTCAGCCTGGCCCCGTGGTATGTGCGGATTGCAATCGGTCATTCTCGCGCCCTGGAGATCGTGCTCGCCACTAATGTGTGGTTGAGCGGGCCAAGCCGATTGCTGAGCAGTGAGGAGCTTGCCACTGTGGAGATTGTGGGCGTTGATTTCGAAGCAAGGGTGGTCTAGCTGTTCACCGCTGTTCCGCACCTCAGCCTCAGCCTACCGAGCCCCGGCAAGTCTATGTACAGGATGCCTGCTGTGCTGCGCACTGTGCTGTGTGTGCCCGCTGCTTTCGGACTGCACAAGGCCGCGGTCGTCACCGGTGCTCGAGGACTGGCCCGCGCCCGACTGCCCAGCAGCGTAATTCGTTCAGTCATGTATGCGTGTGTTCTCGCCGGTTCCGTTTGCTCCACCATCTCCGGCGTCATCAGGCTGCGTGCTCCATCTTCCTCTCTGATGCCCCTCCGGTCTCACGTGACCCCTGTGGCAGTGGCTCTACAGGACAGGTGCTGTGTACGTGATGTGATAAGGCGCGCATGCGCGCCTGGGCTCGTGGCTGGTTTTGCATGCTTGCTGTGCTGGACTAGGTCCGAGAATGTGAGCTCTCTTTTCCTTGTCTTTCTGTTCCTTGATTATTACAATAACTGTACGAACCTGAGTAATGCTGTGTGTGGGCCCTTAGGGCCAGACATAACAACAGGACAGGACGTGTGCATACGTGTGTGTGTGTGTGTGTGTGTGTGTGTGTGTGTGTGTGTGTGTGTGTGTGTGTGTGTGTGTGTGTGTGTGTGTGTGTGTGTGTGTGTGTGTGTGTGTGTGTGTGTGTGTGTGTGTGTGTGTGTGTCTCTCTCTCTCTCTCTCTCTCTCTTTCTCTCTCTCTCTCTCACACATGGAATGTTCTACGTTATGACTGCAGCTGGAGGTTCTTGACAATTCAAATTGGACACCTCTGATGCGATGTGGTGAGATTTCTGCTTCCTTTCTTCGTTGCCGTGAATAGGTTTTGCGGATACACATGAGTGGAATCCAGATACAATCATATCAATTTCTGATAATTCGAACCTCGAACTGGGGATGTCCGGTTAATAGAAGTCCCACGGAATCCACTTACATAGAAATGTATGAGGTTTGTGCTGATAATTCGAAGTTAGCAAAGCATAATTCGAAGTTAGCAAAGCATAATTCGAAGTTACCAAAGCATAATTCGAAGTTAGCAAAGCATAATTCGAAGTTAGCAAAGCATAATTCGAAGCCGGTTAGCAAAGCATAATTCGAAGTTAGCAAAGCATAATTCGAAGTTAGCAAAGCATAATTCGAAGTTAGCAAAGCATAATTCGAAGTTAGCAAAGCATAATTCGAAGTTACCAAAGCATAATTCGAAGTTACCAAAGCATAATTCGAAGTTAGCAAAGCATAATTCGAAGTTAGCAAAGCATAATTCGAAGTTAGCAAAGCATAATTCGAAGTTAGCAAAGCATAATTCGAAGTTAGCAAAGCATAATTCGAAGTTAGCAAAGCATAATTCGAAGTTAGCAAAGCATAATTCGAAGTTCACTGCATATTGTACAAGTCAGTTTAGTTTTGCATAAGCAGGCAGTTCAGTATCTGCGACATTTGTGTTTAAAAGGTGCGTAGCGCAACTCTGCGTGACAATGCGAGCATTTTGAGACACATAATGACTTTTAAAAATGTGTTGTGGGTACATGTTTGGATCATTTGAATTTGAATTTAGAAATGTCCGGATAATTAGAAGTTTTTCCATGGAATTTTGAGGTTCGAATTGTCAGGATTCCACCTGTACCCTTGCTCAGTGATTGCGTCCTCTTCACAACCTCTTTTCCCCTGAAGCATGGCATAACTAAACCAACTTAGTGTGGACAGTGTGTGATATGTCCGGAGAGCCGTATTTTCACGATCTACACACACACACACACACACACACACACACACACACACACACACACACACACACACACACACACACACACACGGGGATTTTCAGCAGGAGCAATGCTCAGCTTGTACAGCTGAACCTTTTTCTGGTGTACATGTGTGTCTTGCGTGTAGCGGCCATAAATGGAAGCCTGCGGGTTGCGTCAACTCTTATTGAGTTTGGAGCTGATGTCAATGCTGCAGAACCGGACTCGCGCAGAACCGTGCTGATGGTGAGTGTGTGATAGCCGACAATGTAGTGTGTGTGTGTGTGTGTGTGTGCGTGCGTGCGTGTGTGTGTACTTCAAGTACGTGCGTGTGTGATAGTGCACTTGTCAATATGATTGTGTGTACGTGACCCTCAGCCTGGGCCTTACTCTGTCCACGTGTCTGTCTGTATTCATGTTGTCACCTGCCGTGCCTGCTATCGGTTCCTCTCTTCCCCGCACGATGTGAGAGTCAAAGTCCACGTCACGATTTACAAGACAACACGGAGCGACTGGCCAAGTGGTAGCAAACAAAAGTTGTGTGGCAAGGGTTTTGTGTTTCCAGTGGCTCATGATTAGTAGATCGTGTTGAACAGTCCTTCCTCTTCGCTCACGATGTGCTCCACATGCATGCACAGTGTACCTAGACCGGTCTGCAGAAGAGCAGCACTAAGTCTTGCACTGAATCGGTACAAGTATGTGAGAAGTACAATAATGTATTGCTGCAAGAGTACGTAGTGCTGTGGTACTTGCAAGAAATCCTGAAAAGTCCATAGACCCGGGAGCGTGCCTCTGTGCATCACCAGCTGGGCATAAAATCACCAGCACGGCTTGAACACACCAGGGTCATCAGCTCGTGTGCCTGTACGGCACCATGCACAGTTGGACGGGTTTGCACATTTTCTCTGGGATCAGGCCCGGTTCAGGAGGTAGCAGATTGTGTGACACTGGTCGAAAACACTACAGTGTGCGTGTGTGTGCAGGGCTAGTAGCCAGGGAATGTGATCAGTTGCAGGGCTAGTAGCCAGGGAATGTGATCAGTTGCAGGGCTAGTAGCCAGGGAATGTGATCAGTTGCAGGGCTAGTAGCCAGGGAATGTGATCAGTTGCAGGGCTAGTAGCCAGGGAATGTGATCAGTTGCAGGGCTAGTAGCCAGGGAATGTGATCAGTTGCAGGGCTAGTAGCCAGGGAATGTGATCAGTTGCAGGGCTAGTAGCCAGGGAATGTGATCAGTTGCAGGGCTAGTAGCCAGGGAATGTGATCAGTTGCAGGGCTAGTAGCCAGGGAATGTGATCAGTTGCAGGGCTAGTAGCCAGGGAATGTGATCAGTTGCAGGGCTAGTAGCCAGGGAATGTGATCAGTTGCAGGGCTAGTAGCCAGGGAATGTGATCAGTTGCAGGGCTAGTAGCCAGGGACTGTGATCAGTTGCAGGGCTAGTAGCCAGGGAATGTGATCAGTTGCAGGGCTAGTAGCCAGGGAATGTGATCAGTTGCAGCAAGAGTAGATAAACAAGAGTGTGCAACTCGCGGATGGGTTGGCCCACGGCGGAATTTTTTGTTGACGTAATCTTTTCGACGACGCACGCGCTGCGAGCCTTTTGGAGAGGTTTCCCTCGTGCACTTGGCCGGGCTTTACACTACATGTCTGTGCCCAGCACGTGCTCTCACACTGCTCTGCGGCAAAGTCCGCGTTTCTCTGAAAAAAGGTGACGTCAACAAAAAATTCCGCCGTGGGCGGGGGTATCTGCAGATTGTGCAGGAGAGATCCGGAGTTGCACACTCTTGTTTATCTACTCTTGGTTGCAGGGCTAGTAGCCAGGGAATGTGATCAGTTGCAGGGCTAGTAGCCAGGGAATGTGATAGTACCGGCGTATAACTAAGCAGCAGTATACATGTACAGGGGTTGTGCTTGCCGCCATACTGTTTCCGGATTGTTTCTTGTTACTGCACTTTCTGACTTCGTCCCAATGCATGTAGATAGCGACAGGTGCAGGTCATCATGAGCTGGTGTCTCTTCTGGTCAAGTCCGGTGCCCGTTTGGAGGACACGAGTGCTGTGAGTACAGTAAACGGTCTAGTAATCGGGTCTGTCAGTCGTTCTTCCAGATGGATACAATGCCTTCTTGTGTGAAAAACTAAGCGTGATGCCTGGTAACACGATATCTACACCAGGAAGGAGAATAGCTATTCCGTGTGTGGCTGTTGCAATATCCTCGCGTCAAACAATGATGGTGGCATTCTGGCTATAGTAACATTTGGGCTGCTACATGGATATTTTTTCTACCTCTACATGTACGCCGCGGTGTGAAGTTATTTTACCCTTGAAAGGTGTGTCTGTGTGTGTGTGTGTGGTATACAGGGTGGATGCACGGCAGGAGACATTGCTGAATCACTCGGCAGTGTGGTGAGTCACTTGTGTGCTTTAGCATACTGCACTGTAAGCAGGCCTGCCGTGCACAAGTATATTTGCAGAGAACCTAGCCAGTACACATACACTGTACATTGTGTTGTAAATGAACTGGCTGTCGAAAGCATGCAGGGCTGGTGAGTACTGAAGTATGCATGCAGTCCTTGCGTTGTTTCTATCAGCTCTCTACTGTACTTTTAATCCATTGTTCATATTCATTAGATTTGGCCTGTGTTCACCTGACGATGAGGCTTGAAAGTATACTCGTGAACACTTCCAAGATGTTGTTCAAGAGCCTGAAGTGCTTCCTTCTTCATGAAGTATTATCGCATTCTTGTCTCCGAGCAAACTGTTCAGTTAGTACTGAATTGCGTGTTAATTAGCAGGAAACAGAAAAGTTGCAGCCCTTATGATAAGAAATTTACAACGGTTAGGGAAATTTATTGATTGCAGAACCCCCGTCGAAGTCCCTACTGTGGTCCCTCTATAATCCGGCACAATTTGTGCCACGGAAATTCTGCTGGGTTAGGGAGGGTGCTGGATTAACAAATCGGATTTACTGCTACAATGTGCATCAAGAGGACATTTTGGCTGAAAATTGTGCTGGTTTACAAAGTGCTGGATTAAAGAGGGACGACTGTACTTCGAAGTACATGGGGAAAACGATGGCTGAGCAGTGAAAAGGGCTCGGAGTTGTTCTTTCCTATAAGCCCATTGCGCAATGACGTAATTTGTACCATCAACACCCCAGACAGCCACCTGGGCATGGCCGTCTGGGGGTGTTGAACAGTGTATTCCTGATCCCAGTCTAGTCTACTCACATGCATTACTCATACCTTCCATATTTGGCAATGCGCAATGGGCTTATAGGGCTATAGGGCTTGAAAGTGATGACGTCAAAAACGGCCAGGGAGTAGTAAGTTGCCATCAGATTTCTATTTTGGATCCACTAAGGTATGACTTTGCTATTAGAGAGGTTCCGGGGTACGATTTTCCGTGCCAAAATCCGTGTGGGCGCTACGGATTTTTTCCAGGCGTGCTCCATACGATTTTTCGGCACGGAGAATCCGTGTGGACTGGCTTTCATACGAACCATGTTTCGTATGGAGATTTTGCGTCATCGGGTGCAGAAAGATTTTTCGCGTACAAATTTGGTACGAGAAACATAGATTTTCCGCGGGAAGTTTTGATTTCGGTACAAATTTTCAAAATAAAAAGGCATGGCGCGGGAATGTGACGTGTTTCCGATCGTAACCTAGGCAATGACGGCAAACACGTAAGTTTCGTACTCCGGAACATTTCACTGCTCGAAAACGACGTATAAAAAATCCGTACCGCCTCTACGGATTTTGGCACGAAAAATCGTACTCCGGAACCTCCCTATTGCCTCAGGATGCAGTTTACAGGGTTATGGGCCGTTACACGCCCGATTGGTTGAGAGACTAACCTCCTCTTCCCTGACTCACTTGTGAGGTCTGCATTCGCCACTAAGGTTAACAGGCATAGTGGTGGCCTGCGGATGCGGAGGCTAGTTTGTGTGTTTCTGAACATTCAAGCGATGCCGACGCGGATCCCGCGAATATAATAATAATAATTATTATTATTATTGCTATTGCCTCAGTATATGGGTGCATAGCAACCCACTCATGTCGTATGCATGTGTGACTTTTACTTCGCCACCAGTTGTCACCCCGCCCCAATTAGCCAAATCAATCAGTTTCACTGGCTACATCACCTTGCTGTGAGTAAGACAGCTTGAAATGTGTTTGGATCCATACAAAAACTGGATCCAAGTGGATCCAGTTTTCGAATTTTTGAAATTGTTGCTATGCTGTGACGTAGCACTTTCAAGCCCTATTCTGCCGTCCTGTTCTATCCAGATGATGAAGGCCGCGCTGGCGGACAGCAGGCCCAGCGCAAGCGGCCGACAGCAGAGCCGATCAAAGTCACGCAAGTAGCAACGGCATCCTTGACCCGGAGACTGCGCAAACACACACGCGCGCGCATACCAAGACACGAACACAGGTGTAGCATCTTTATGTATGCAAGGAGCTCCATAGCCCAGCAAGGTGGGTGGTGGTGTTGATTGAAAAGTAAAAAGACAGGGGTACTTGTACCAACATACGCACACAACAATTCTCAAGTAAGTTCTTTGACATGACACCAGCTCCAGAGGGGAGCAGGATAGTTTGAGACGATAAATTAAAAAAATCAGAAGACCAGGTAGAAAAGTGGGTCTCGCGCCGAGACTACAGGTGACAGTTAGTGTGAATGTCGCCTATCCAAGCTGAACATACTGCCGGATACCGCCGCTCTTGATCGGAATAGTGGCGCATGTATAGAGATAGATCTGTTGGTTGCATGAAACATTTTAATAGTTGCCAGCTTCTTGCGTCATGTACACATAGCCAATATAATATATAGCAAAGTAAGTCCTGTACACATAGACATTGTTATACTTATGGCCAAGGACATAAGTACACCATCAGTTCTATTTACAAAGCAAATTTAGAATAATCCTTTTTACATCTTTTTTTACAATTTGTACATGTTTTGACATCACAGCGAACAGTTTTGTAACTTCATGTTTGCAATATATACACAGAGCAACGCGATGTCGTCTGATTTTATAGTTTGGTTATTTACAGTTTGACTGCCAACGTGGGTACGTGCGTCGTTACGATGGTGGCAGGAAGCTGGTGTTGGGCTGCTGCTGCGGCGAGGTCGTTACAGGTGGTGTGCGCAGAACACTGCTGGGCTTTCCTGCGGCTGCCATGGCGCTAATGGAGGATGGTGTCATGGCAACCTAGCAAGACATGTGTGTGAGAGAGAGAGGACACCAGTGATATGCCCTGTTTAGGAGCCTGGTTTATACATAATGGCACATCGGAAGTGACTCTCCTCCCCGTAATATTAGACCTGGAAATAGAAAAGTGCTCAGAACTTGTTTCAAAGTGCCGACAAGTTCCTCGTAAAAGACGTCACTTCATACTAAATACACCTCATACGCCCTATCCACATGCAACCCCTGCATAGCTATAATTATAACTGTGCTGTGACACCCATAGTGCTGCCCTGACATGACTCTCGCAATTCTTGACACAACACAAACACCGGCAGCATACCCACCCATTATCATCACGTCTGATGTTAGCACGGAGCAGGGTTGTACATGAAACTTCGAGTTACAAACATAAATAGAGAGGTTAAGTTTCACGTAAAAGTCTTACATCAGTGAACTTTTACGTCAAAAAGTGAAAAAACTCACGTAAAATTTGACGTGTTTTACGTGAGTTGACTGTCCCGCACGTAAGTTCATGACGTGAGTTTTTGGAAGTTTCGCTTGGTTATCCCGACCGAATTTGTGTGAGTTTCCGGAATTTTATCGAGATTTATCAAGTTTGTTGGAAGATTTGATATTTGTGCGAACTAAACCCGAATCCTGCCAGGCAAAATTTCACGTCACGTCGCACGTGTAACTTATCCTCTAAAAATTACACGTAACGTGAGATTTGCACCGCGTTTTGAAAAAGGGCAAAAAACGTGTAACTTAACCTCTCTAATATAGCCTTTCTGTCCACTCTCTCACTGCACATCCATGATATACATGGAGTGCTGCATGATTCGCATCCAGCATTCTGAGCCGCAGGGGCGATTTTTGAGGGGTTTTTCATGCGTTTAAAGTGCGGCTAACACCCCCCGGAAAATACAGCCAATTTCAGAGTATGAATCTGTAACAGTCCAGTCGGACTGACTTTTCCGTATTCGCAGGAATGCCACACCACCACCCTCGAGGATCATGTGACGTTACGTGTATGCTATACAGAAGGTGCAAAGCACAACCTGGGAGTCCAGTCAACTAAACACAGTGTTGCCGCTGGAATAAAATAAATAGTGATGGTACTAGTTTGTGTAATACATGAACAGTTGAACACTCACACTGGACTGTGCCTAGGCTATGGGACACTCACACTGGCATATATGCACTGGGACACTCGCACAGGCCTATATGCACTGGGACACTCACACACGCATATATGCATGCACTGGGACATTCACACAGGCATAATATGCACTGGGACACTCACACTGGCCTATACCTAAGGGTCAATCACACTGGCCTATGCCTGGGAAACTTACACTGGCCTATATACACTGGGACACCCGCACAGGGTAACGTCACTGCATTATTCATGGCGACACATTTTCACTGGTCAGGATGGGATGCTAGCCTACATGTTAAGAGAAGGGGTCTCACCTTGATATTAGGAGTGGGTATGGTGGTAGTGGTAACAGCACCATTTTTTAACAAGGAATTTGTGCTGGCACGGCCAGGAGTGGCAGTGGCAGTGACGTTGCTGATGTCCATAGCATTGCTAGCACTAGCAACGCCAGCACTGGAGGCAAGGGTTTGGCTACGTACACTGGGACCAGTTGCAGTTGCCCTCTGCTGGATCGCCTTCAACTGCTGTTGGTAGTGCTGCCATTTTAACATGGCTGCCTGGTGTTCATGAGGGGACAGACCAGGCTTGTTTAGCTTAGCCCTAAGCAGCAGTAGTTGCTGATGTGGGCTGAGCATTGACATGCGCTGCTGCTGTTGCTGTTGCTGCTGTTGGCTTCGTGTTCTCATCTGCTGGCCTCGTGTCATCTGCTGGAGCTTCTGCAGCTGGTGTTGGTGTTTCAGCCACTCCTGTTGCTGCTTCTGAATCAGCTGCAAATGCTCCTGTTGCTGTTTCTGCTGCTGCAGCTGATCTTGCTGCTGGTGCTGTTTCTGCTGCTGGCTGTGTTTTTGTTGTTGCTGTGCTTGCGCCCACTGTTGGTGTGCGGAGTGCTGCTGCGCATTGTACTTGTCTACCAGTGCTTGCAAGTTTGGATTGGACACTGCTTGATGGGATGCCTGATGGGATGACTGGAGTGGGTGAACCACTGTCAGCTGGGCTGGCGTGCTGGCCGCACTGGAAGCTGTATGGGCACCAGTGATGGCATCGTCTGAGCTAGGGATGGCTGTGGCAGTGGCATTGCCTGTGACAATGGGCTGTGACCGAGACAATGGACGTACTGGTGGCAAGACAGAAGACAAAGATGTCATGGATTTCAGCAATGATGTCATGGATTTCAGCAATGATGTCATGGATTTCAGCAATGATGTCATGGATTTCAGCAATGGACCACACACCATGCTACACAGCAATCCACATCAGTATACACTTTAATAGTGGGTTTTGTTACCATGCCACCAAATACATGGGCCATTCATACACAGTTTACGCCCACATCCACCATACATGTAGCTTTACATTACACTACGGATGCTACGCAAGTGCATCTTCCACAAATCAGTCGATGAAACCGATACAACAATTAAAGGAGATACTGCACAAAGTGGGGCAAGTACAGTTGCCGTACGTGAACCTCTCACCAGTATACACTTCCAGATCCCATCTTGGTGTGTGCGTGTGTGTAGCGAGAGAAGGAAGCGAGAAGGAAGCGAGAGAGAGAGAGAGAGAGAGAGAGAGAGAGAGAGAGAGAGAGAGAGAGAGAGAGAGAGAGCGAGTGAGATAGAGAGAGCAATATGCAATCTTGATTATATTTCACCTACTGTATAAGCAGAAATATTCATCTGGAATTTAATTTCGTCTTTTTCGTCAAAGGAACTTTTGGACTAACTAAATTAAATGCCGGACTAATGTCAATTTGTCCAGCTTTTCTATACACTCTTATGATCCATGGACGAAATTTTCAACCGGACGAACTCGCTTTCTTTGGAGTTGGACGAAATTTTCTGCCTCTACAGTAATTGTTTCCAAACAAGAATTCTCTTTAAAAAAGAGAAGCTGCTGACTCACCAGGTGGAAGCACAGCGGAGCTGGACTGTGTATTCAAGCCAGGTGGTGTGGCTGCGTGCATCGACGATGCCGGAGAGCTGACAGCTGCCAATTCGCCTAAGGAGGCGGATGTCGCTGTTGCTGCTACTGCTGCTGCTGCTGCGCTATTGCGAGGCACCGTGTTTTGCTGCTGCCGCTGCTGTAGCTGCCAGCATTTGAACACACACACACACACACACACACACACACACACACACACACACACACACACACCGCAGACCTCAGACCTGCCCATCGCTGAAGCGATGATAGCGAACAGCTACGTTAGACATAGCAACTTGTGCTGGGATTACACCATTCAACAGCTTGCAAGGCTGATGAATTGACCGCCACTAATGTTAGCCTGGTATCCACCACACAGCTGATTGAAGTGGCTTTTTTCTGGCCAGTGAATGCTTATTTTTCATTTTTTCATTCTTTTTTTGACACACACACACACACCACACCACACACACACAGACACACACACAGACACACACACAGACAGACACACACACAGACAGACACACAGACAGACACACACACACACACACACACACACACACACACACACACACACACACACACACACAAACATGGCCTGTGTCACTCGTATACTAGTACACACAATTCATAAAAGCAGTGGCCTGAGAAAATTCGGCCTCATGCATAAAGTAGCATGGCAAGTGCTAGGGTTGTGCACCATGGTGTGTACTGTGCACTGTGTACTGTGCACTGTGTCGAGTAACCATACCTGCTGCTTTTGTATTCATGAGCTTAAGTTTCACTGGCCAGTACTTTAGTAAGGGGAAGTGTAGCCCAGAGTCACAGGGGCATCGGAACTGGTGCGGCAGGTAAGGCCAAAGCCGCACCAATAATTTCATCTTGTGACTTTCGAAGCAATGAAATATGGGCTATTTGGGCCAGTTTCCCTTAAATGTTTCCCGCGGGGGAGGACCCCCGGACCCCCACCTACTCATGCGGCCGCACCTATGTCGAATACCTTCCGACGCCCCTGATTCTGACCGAAGGGGCAGGTGTTAGAAACTTCTTGTTTCAATGAGGTCGACATTGTGAGGGCACTGGCCATCTCCTTTCCCGTCGTCTTTATCTTCCCGACCAAAGTCAGGTATCCAGTAACAAATAGGCCTCCTGGGGTGCTTAGAATCTTCACACAAACCAGGAATCGAACGCGGAACCTCATGCTGGCCAATGCTCCAAATACTCTGCCAACCACATACCCTTACACATAATAACATGATTGGCAGTGAACCTGGAAGCAGGCTTTCGGGCCACATCCGATGCGATTAAAACTGCTTGAACTACCCTGGATTGCCAGTGACACCGACCCACCTACAACCGCCAACTGTTCAACACCGCACACAAGCAACCCCAGGTGGCTGTGTAGGGTAAAGCAACCCCAGGTGGCTGTGTAGGGTAAAGCAACCCCAGGTGGCTGTGTAGGGTAAAGCAACCCCAGGTGGCTGTGTAGGGTAAAGCAACCCCAGGTGGCTGTGTAGGGTAAAGCAACCCCAGGTGGCTGTGTAGGGTAAAGCAACCCCAGGTGGCTGTGTAGGGTAAAGCAACCCCAGGTGGCTGTGTAGGGTAAAGCAACCCCAGGTGGCTGTGTAGGGTAAAGCAACCCCAGGTGGCTGTGTCGGGTGTCAGTGGTACAAACTACGCCATTGCACAATAAGCTGATTGAGTAGTAGAGCAGAATGAGTGACTAGAACACTTCAGTAGAGATACATCAAAATCCGTCCTACTGCCGTATCCAGTCGCTTGACCGGGGCCGGCGCCCTCAGCGCGTACAGAGCAGCGCTCGTATTAATCCGATGCGGCCAGCGCGCTACAGCATGCGTGTACTGCTTACCCACGGCTGCATGGCCACTAGACATGCGACCGGATTTCCATGTCCACGGCAGTAGTAGTAGTAGTAGATTAGTAGATACGTCACTAGCTGCCCTACTACACCGTGCAATGCACTGTGTTCATGTAGACCCACTGCTGCATACAGTACCCACTGCTGCATACAGTACCCACTGCTGCATACAGTGCCCACTGCTGCATACAGTGCCCACTGCTGCATACAGTGCCCACTGCTGCATACAGTGCCCACTGCTGCATACAGTGCCCACTGCTGCATACAGTGCCCACTGCTGCATACAGTGCCCACTGCTGCATACAGTGCCCACTGCTGCATACAGTGACCACTGCTGCATACAGTGACCACTGCTGCATACCGTGCCCACTGCTGCATACAGTGCTCACTGCTGCATACAGTGCTCACTGCTGCATACAGTGCCCACTGCTGCATACAGTGACCACTGCTGCATACAGTGACCACTGCTGCATACAGTGACCACTGCTGCATACAGTGTCCACTGCTGCATACAGTGCCCACTGCTGCATACAGTGCCCACTGCTGCATACCGTGCCCACTGCTGCATACCGTGCCCACTGCTGCATACCGTGCCCACTGCTGCATACAGTGCCCACTGCTGCATACAGTGCCCACTGCTGCATACAGTGCCCACTGCTGCATACAGTGCCCACTGCTGCATACAGTGCCCACTGCTGCATACAGTGCCCACTGCTGCACACAGTGCCCACTGCTGCATACAGTGCCCACGGCTGCATACAGTGCCCGCTGCTGCATACAGTGCCCACTGCTGCACAACTTACTGAGTGCGGAGGCGTCACCGAAACAACACACTTACGTTCCGCTGCGCCTGGGCACGTCGCTCAGCCGTCACTTGCTCCAGGATCTGCTGCGGTGGTGGTGCCTGCTGCTGGTGTTGCTGCTGGTGGTGTTGCTGCTGCTGCTGCTGCTGTTGATGTTGCTGGTGCTGATGTTGAGCCAGGAGCTGCTGTCTGTACACTTCCAGCTGTGGAGATTGTCGCAGTTGTTGTTCAGCTATGCACAACAAAGGCAGTGAATACACACCGTACTAGTGGCCAGACTAGGAGCATTTGTCTTAAATCCTACACTATAGGAACAACCCAACCTACTTTCAGCAAACACCGTGTGGGTGTGGGTGGGGGGGGGGGGGGGGGCGCTGTTGGAATTTGTTTCCAATCAAGCTCGAAATTGTTACACTTTCATGACACTGTGGAGCTACTTGGATCCGAATGTGTTTTTGAGCGGTTTTGCTTCAGACCAGGGTACCGTACAAGTATCAGCTGGCAGTGATCTGACATGGATCACCGCCGCTGATACAAGACACTTGCACCGGCAGCAAGAGGGGTTCGGTCACCATTTCCCCACCATATACACCGCTCAAAGCTATCAACGAGTGGATGAACAAGTGGGTACTGCAATTCAGCTGTGTTTGATGTCATCGCTTTCAAGCCCTGATGTGTTCTTGTGATCCACGCAGTATCTATCAGTGAGAGAAATTTTACAACTCCCAATGGTTTGTTTGGGCGACGAGAAAGAAAAAAAGGGGCTGTTGTGGTTATTAAAAAAAACACTTTCCCAGCGCTGGGAAATTATTCCTTCACTGAATTCATTAGGAGAAAGTCATGTCAATTGTACAGCAATTATAACTTCACGTTAGCTTGACGAGTCAACGAAAGGATGAGTCGAGGAATCCCTGTTTAGCTTTGAGGCATATTGCAGCTCATCTGGAGAAGAACATACTTGGGGCGAACACAGCCATTCTCACAACATTGCACATCTAAATCTGAAAATCAATTCCTTTACTTAGACTGTAAGTTTAAACTGGTTCATGTTTCCAGCATTGGGAGAATGGTTACGTTCACCCTCGAGTATTTTCTTCTACTGAGGAGTCCCCATCTTTCAAATTCAAAAAAATGGATTCACATGTTGGCCTTGGTGTGATCAAAGCGGATTGATACAAATGTAAAACAGCCCCCTGGTTAGCACCACTAGTCTTCCGCTGTATTAGTTATCAACCGTGACTGAAATCCTATTGCAGTCGGTACAGTAATATAAACCGAAGAAAAGCCCTACTTTATTTCCTTTTGTGTAGTTCTTGTGTAATACGCTCTGCCCAACACAGGCATTTGAGCACTATAGCAGGTTAAGGCCGCGCACTGCCTCTGGGTAACCTGAAAACGTCATACATAACACATGCACAATGCGCATACACACAAGCAGTGCTAGGGCCCAGCAGCGGCTCTGACCTTTGTGTGCTTGCAGCAGAAGCTCCTGCTGAATGTTAGAGTCCGCCGATAGACCAAACCCAACCTGGGTCTGGGAGCTAGGCCGGCGATGCGCAGTAGTCAGGTTATTGGACATAGCAGCAGTCAGATTAGTGGACATGGCAGCAGTCAGATTAGTGGACATGCCAGCAGTGGCAGCAGCGGCTGTAGTGGCAGATGACTTCATGACTTTTCGTGATGGCAGCAGGCGCCTAGTGCTTGTGGCAGAAGATGTGGTGGTGGGGGTTGTGACGCTGGGCATGGTTGTAGAGGCACAGCAGGGAGCTGGCACAGCCTCCATCTTAACGCTAGCAGCACTTGTCACGGCAGAGTACCGGTTTAAAGTGGGGTGGGCAGAGGGAGCTGCGGATGTGCGGCGCGACTTAGAGAGAACAGCAGGGAGGGACATTGATGACGATGACAACGATGACACCGATGATGATGATGATGCTGTTGGTAGTGCTGATGACAGTGACAAAGCTGGCATGGCTGTGGTAGGGTGGAGTAAATCAAACACCGGTGATAAGTCAGTGTCAGCAATGGCAGTGCAGTGACTTGTACGGACTACACACGCACATACACACACACACACACAGCGTGTACACAGCGTTCATGCATTATCAAGAACAGAACAACAGCACACAGATTATGGAAAAAGGATTAGATATACCGGTAGATCAAGCAAGCATCAGTCATCATCTGCTCAAAGCACTAAGCTGCACCGTTCATCCAGTTGCACTCACTGAAATCCGACCAAAATTGCTAAACTAGCGCCCTGGATCAGTTCCGGTGACATCACACCATTGTACAAGTGTACGTTCCAGGTGCACTCGTACCACTTCCAGGGCGTCAAGGGCCGTGCAAGTTGAGGCCGGTACATTCGCACTTTGGATCGGATTTCACCGAGCACAACTGTTCATTGCATGCAGATCATGCAAGTAATCACCAAAAAGCACCACATTGGATTGGATTACATTCAGTCAAGTTATTCAATACAGATTATGTAGAGTCAAATCCGGCCAAGCCAGAGATAAGGTCTAATTTGAAAACTCGCTTTATTCACAACCCTTTTCGTGATGGGCCTATCTCAGTGTGTGTCTGGTGTTGTTGGATAATTACAAGTCTTATTCAGGTTTTAGGGTTCAAATTACAGGAATTTCACTGTAAGACTCGCGTGGAGAGCCAAGGATTACTTTATAAGAAAAAAGGAGGACCAAGTAGAATATGTGATATTGTGGAACGTCAGTACCATTGGTCAGTGTCATGCAACGTTTCGCATGAACTGGTTGTAAAGTAACTGGAGGTGTTAGTGAATTATTATAGCGTAACTTGTAGTTCCTTGGTCCTCCTTTTTTCTTATAAATTTCACTGTACTTCATTAGTTTCATAGCACGTCTTAATACCTACGGCAAAATGAACAACTTTGATTGCCACAACAAAACACACACTAGCTAGGCTTACTAGAACATACAAACAAACACAACACAAACACCCACATCAACAAACACAACACAACTATCCATCCAATGAACACAACACACCCATATCAATAAACCCAACAACACCCATATCAACAAACACACAACACAAGCACCCACACCAACAAACACAACACAACTATCCATCCAACGAACACAACACAAACACCCAAATCAATAAACCCAACAACACCCATATCAACAAACACAACAAAAGCACCCACATCAACAAACACAACACAACTATCCATCCAACGAACACAACACAAACACCCATATCAATAAACCCAACAACACCCATATCAACAAACACAACAAAAGCACCCATATCAACAAACACAACACAACTATCCATCCAACGAACACAACACAAACACCCATATCAATAAACCCAACAACACCCATATCAACAAACAGACACAACACTATCCATCCAACAAACACAACAATAGCAACAACAACGACAACATCCATACCAACATCCATGTCAACAACAGCAGCCCTACTGCACCAGCACTAAGCCCGTTCACGCCGTCTGCACCACCGACGCCACATAAAGAAGCCCCACTGATCTTTCCAAGCCACCGTACCAGAAGCAACACCCCTCAAAAACATCCCAATCGGAAGACATTGTCCACATCACACAGAGCACATGTACAAGTATTGGAAACAAGTGCAGCACTACCAATGGGCTGAGTGGAAGCTGTGACAAGGCTATACCATCAAATTAGAATGAGGTGAGTGGAGATGGATACAGTGTGCTCTAGTCTGCAAGAACTAACACCGTTGAAGGCGTGTTGGTAAATTGTGCCAGTTTCCCAGGACTTCTTTCCTGACTATATTGCTTAAAATGTACATTACTTCAGTAGAGATGTGACCAACATAGAACTAGCATGATGACACCACAGCACTTTCACAGCTCCAAACACAGCACTTTCACAGTCCCAAACACAGCACATTCACAGCTCCAAACACAGCACTTCAACAGCACCAAACACAGCACTTTCACAGCTCCAAACACAGCACTTTCACAGTCACAAACACAGCACTTTCACAGTCACAAACACAGCACTTTCACAGTATCAAACACAGCACTTTCACAGCTCCAAACACAGCACGTTCACAGCACTTCCACAGCACCAAACACAGCACGTTCACAGCACTTCCACAGCACCAAACACAGCACGTTCACAGCACTTCCACAGCACCAAACACAGCACTTTCACAGCTCCAAACACAGCACGTTCACAGCACCAAACACAGCACTTTCACAGCTCCAAACACAGCACTTTCACAGTCCCAAACACAGCACTTTCACAGTATCAAACACAGCACTTTCACAGCTCCAAACACAGCACGTTCACAGCACTTCCACAGCACCAAACACAGCACCAAACACAGCACGTTCACAGCACTTCCACAGCACCAAACACAGCACTTTCACAGCTCCAAAAGCACTTTCACAGCTCCAAACACAGCACTTTCACAGCACTTCCACAGCACCAAACACAGCACTTTCACAGCTCCAAACACAGCACTTTCACAGTCCCAAACACGGCACTTTCACAGTATCAAACACAGCACTTTCACAGCTCCAAACACAGCACGTTCACAGCACTTCCACAGCACCAAACACAGCACGTTCACAGCACTTTCACAGTATCAAACACAGCACTTTCACAGCTCCAAACACAGCACGTTCACAGCACTTCCACAGCACCAAACACAGCACGTTCACAGCACTTCCACAGCACCAAACACAGCACGTTCACAGCACTTCCACAGCACCAAACACAGCACTTTCACAGCTCCAAACACAGCACGTTCACAGCACCAAACACAGCACTTTCACAGCTCCAAACACAGCACTTTCACAGCTCCAAACACAGCACTTTCACAGCACCAAACACAGCACCAAACACAGCACTTTCACAGCACCAAACACAGCACCAAACACAGCACTTTCACAGCACCAAACACAGCACTGTAAAGCAGTGAAAAAACAGACATCACAGTTGGACGGGACTCATTCAGCATCAGATACATCCTTGTCCATGTGACTTGGTGCTTGCCAGGCAACTGTCGCCATTGTCACTGAAAGTCGCAGACTCTGACGTGACAGGTAGCACGTATTACCACATTCATTTAACTCAATAACATGACAGCCCACCAAAGAACTGGATAGGGTTCCATCCAGGGTCAACAACACCAGAATCCAAAAAAGGATGCATTCCTGCACCAAGTGGAGCCTGCAAAATCAGGGCGCGTTTCCTTGCTAAACTGCTGTTTTTACAACACTGCCCATACACAGTTTATGTGGCATGAGCACATCCACAGCTCAAGGTGTCACTAACCATACTGCTAACTGCAGTAACACCCGCTGTGACAAGACACGGCTACTCTGAGTGCTACGCCTCATCACTTAGGCGAGAACATGACAACCAGTTCTGGGGGAAGTGATAGTGCCCAATGCTACAAGTGACAGGACGTAGTTCAACGTACAAGAAGACAACAACAACAACAAACATTCAAGGCCTGACGTAACAACACAGACACACAGACACGACAGTGAGCAGCGCAGTGAGTAGCGGAGTACAACTAACCGAATACCGGCAAAGCTCTAATGTGGCATCTCGCACTTCTAAAGTGAACTCGGGACAGGAATGGATAACTTTAAGAAAACACTAAACTCGTTCCCTTTCAGGACGTTCATTTCTACCCTAACTTAAAAAAAAGCTATTTCCAGTACGAACAGTAACTCCCGACCAATCTGCAGACTCTGGACTACTAAACAACCTACGTGATAAGCTGTCCCCGCCTGGACTGAAAGTGACAGAGGCAATTGCTGCATCCGCTGAAGAAGTGACTACAGATGCCGAGCTCGCAGCAGTTGGTGCTGCTGCAGATGTCGCTGAGCAAGACACTGGCATGAGCGTTGCAGCATCTGACGGGGCTGCCGATGCTCCAGATCCGACCGCCGCTGCCACGCCTGAAGCCGGCGCTAGGAATGCAGAGGTTGCTGCTCCTGCTACTGTTGCTGCGCTTGTAGATGGCAAGGAGACCGCGGTGACGGTGGCTGTGCCTATGTGTGCTGCGGAGGATGGAGATAGTGCCGGCGCGGCGGCGGTTGCCGAGGCAAAGTGTACAGATGCTGAAGACGTGGCGGCAGGCATTGGCAATGCAGCAGCGGAGTACATTGCATCGGAATCTAAGCTACTGCTCTCCGACCTCTGGAAGAAGAAAACGCACAGAACAAAACTGCATTGCTTTAAAAATTAGAAACGTGTATACTCTGCCCGTAACAAGTGCAACACGTTTTGCAGGACACACATCCCAGTATCATGACGTATGTATGTCGTAACAAAAAGTATAAGAAGTGCCTTTGATCGAGACTGCAAGGTCATTTGTACTAACAGAAGTTGTAGCCTCCAAGACAGAACCTGGCCCACCGTCCACACACCTACACCTAGAGCTGTGTATGTAAAAACATCGGAAAGCTTGACAATCTCGAGACAGCATACTGGTATGCTGTAGCAGAATGCATCACAACGCTAGTTTAGACCCTACGACTAGTTCACTTCAGACTGGACACCGCCAGCCACACTAACTTACTCACCTTGCGCTTCGTACCCTCAACCTTCTGCAGCCTCTCGGTTATTGACACCGGGGTAGCTACACTGTGCTATATGCGCCGCAGAAACACATACAAACACACACAAACACATACAAACACACACAAACACATACACACACACACACACACACACACACACACACACACACACAACAATTCTAGGAAATTGAATCCGTTAGCTGCGGTGGGACAAGAGAAATGAACTTGTACAGACTAGCATGCTTCAACTGCATGAGCTTGAAGAACGAATGTGACACTACACAGAAAGTTTAAAAGCACGACCGAGCTTCCAGCAAAATTCGTTCTTCACTCAGAAATCAGAACTGACAACATGTAGAAGTTACAGTAGAACCATAGTGCTAGTGCAAGAATTGAATGCACTACACAATGCACAACACAATGCACAACTAAATAACACCATACATGCAATCAGCGAGCAGTGAAATATTTTACTACTCCCTGATTTCGATGAAAGTAAAGTGAGTCCACTCATACCACGAGAACAATGGAACAATATTTTAAGATTTGAACGTCGTTTTCATGTGATAATCCTCAGAAATCATCATCACACTGAGGGCATATTCGATTGGTAGGATCGGGATCCCGACCCACCGGATCCACTGGATTCGCACCCTTTCGATTGGTCGAATCCGGATCCGGATCCTTCGGATTTGGATCCGGTCAACCCTCCTCGGGGAGCAGGGCCTAGGGTTGATCGGATCCAACGGATCCAGATGTGACCTTTGCGCGTATATGGCGGGTAAAAATCATTTTTGTAAACATTGTGGTACGCACACGTGGATGGAGATAGAGCTAGCTTGTTGACTTTTTGTACGACGCACGCAATGAGTACGACGTTCACCCATTTGGGTGCCTTGTGAGCGCCATTTTCAACATGGCAACAGTCAAGGTCCAAAATAAAGTGTTCAGTTGAATCTGAAGGATCCGAGGGATCTGAGATCTGGATCCCGATCCCGATCCTTACCAATCGAACATGCCCTGAGAGTTGGACAACAAAGGACTACTATGGTACCATAAGGTGAACATTATTAGATCTAAAACTAATACGAGAAACAATAATATTCTAAAAAGCTTAATGGGCAACATCCGGAGTCCAAGCCGTATGGGGGGGGGGGGGGGGGGGGGAATTTGGAGTTTTCATGCGTTCCTAAGTGCGCCTAAAACTCCGGAAAATATGAGGAGTGATGGCAGAAGGTGCTGCATCATTTGCTCTGACTTCCGCGCACAGCACCGATAGGAAAACCTGGCGTTGTCCATGCACAGGCACCACTACAGTAAGACTGGGCGCTGAAGAACAGAGGAGCTCAAGGTGCAGCCTAGCATTGGTCTAAAATGTTCGAAGTTTATTCGTTTGTTCTCATTCCGTGATCATGGAGGGGATCATGCGATGCGATCACAACACTTGGAAAACAGTACATGTGTTCTTAGATCTGCAAATCTAGCCTGGATTGGTCTTCAATTTGTGCCATTTTCCAGCCTAAGTGTTCTTGGGCAATGTGTTCGACGGCGCCCGATCATACTGTAGCAGATCACACAGCATGATCCCCCCCCCCCCCCCCTTACTAGCAGGCTGCATTCAGTTTGCACACTGCGTCTTATCACACCTACCAGCGTATCGGTTGATATGGGTGACTGCATGTCCTGGCTCCGCCAATGATCAACATAGCTCACCTGCACCCAAGATAACAGTTACATTCCACACACACGCGCGCGCGCACGCACACACACACACACACACACATGCACACACATGCACACACACACACACACACACACACACACACACACACACACGCACACACACACGCACACACACACACATACGCGCGCACACACACACACACACACACACACACATGTTGTACTTGTACTTGCTCACTGCCAAAGCTGGTCATGTGGATGTCCCCAGGAGAGGGGAGGCAGATTCAAAAGGAATCTTGGAAAGATGACTCAATCGACTGCACACCGACACATAATAACCAGGTATTGCACACACACGCACGCACGCACACACACACAGATATCAGTAACGCTTACGTCTTGACCCAGTCGCAGACTAGGTTCATCAGCCGCTGGCTGCACTGAGCGATGGCTGATCACCTGGGTAAAGGGTGTTGTCACGTTGTCTTGATGGCCTGGAGGGTTTCCAAAAATTAGCACTTCCTTGCAACTGGACATCACACACATGCACACGTACACACACACAGACACACACACACACACACACACACACACACACACACACACACACACAAACACAGGATGTCTTAGCTTGGTCACACGGTTTAATGTCTGCGAAGAGAAGATCGGCCTTAAGCAAATAGGACATTGCACAATCCAAGTGCAGAGAGGATGGGCAAAAGGCATCACGTGGCCCCTGGCAGAGTACTGTATCACCGGGGATTCTCTACATATGTTTAAAAAACTTTGACCACTTTGCGGGCAGGCTGATCTACTCGCCTCCCACCGCTTTAAGAGTTGCATCTGCACCTTTGATCTTTGCAGGGTGGTGGCGTTCCTACGGATGCTGAAAACTCAGTCTTACTGAGTCTCAAGCGACCCGTGAATTGTTTTCAAAAAACTAACACCGGAACATAACTCACCGCCTCAACGCAGTTGACTTCCATTTGTTTCTCTCATTATCTAGAAAAAATCAGAAAGCCAAGCGCTTCGGAGAAAAAGTTGGGTCCAGATTCATTGGTACCTGTTTAAGTATAACAAAAGACACGCACAAAAAAGTCACAGAGATCAACGCGGGGAAGGGCCGGGAAGTACAGCCACAGGCACGTAGAACATGTGAGGCAAATGCAGTACTGGCCAGTAGCGCATTTGCCAGTATGATATGCAGTCCCTGGGGTGCACTGTTGCAGACTCAAACTCTCCGCCGCTCACACATGTTATGTATGCTATCAAATGCAATGGACTGGCGCACGTGTTGGTGAAGAAGGCGGTGCATACTCTACACTAGGGGAGAATTAGAGTGTCATCGATTGGCGAATCTGGATTGAGTCATTTTAGTGCGAGCAGGCGGTGTGGTCCAAGCAACGCTGGCCCAATCGAGCAAAGCAAGGGTGTAGTACGCAAACCCGTACAAAAGATTCTGTGAAAGCTGTCAGAAAACGTCTAAGTCCATTTCCATTCCAGCCACTCCTGGTGTGGGGCCAGATTGCACTCCAAGTACACCTACTCCGGATTCAGCCATACAATCACGCTCGCTCGGAGCGCTCTTGCTCGGGATTCGCCTAATCGATCATGCCCTTAGACTCCGGTTAATTAAAGTAACTATCTGTAGTTGTTTTTGTTGTTGAAGTAATTGTTATCTCTAGGTAACCCTGGAAGAGTACAAAATACAAACTCACAAGTGAGTCCTGCTGACGTTGCTGCTCTTGCACACTTGCAAAAGGATTGTGTGGTTCGGGTATCTATAGCAAAGCCATGCAGCCAGACACACAAAACACAAAACAGAGAATTTGATAGTCTGTTCATGCAGAAGCTACACAAAAGGCTCAAAGGTGCGCACACCCACACACGCATATACCCGCAGACCACACGAGGAGACTTGGGCCATGTGATGCTCTGCAGCCACTGCGTCATGCCTGGGTTAATGCTGTTGGGCAAAATGGAGCAGCTCGTATCCTCGTTGTCGATATTGCTGGGGCATTCAATCGGGTGTCCCATGCCGGTGTCCTCCATAAGGCACGCAATGCAGGAATCACTAGGCCACTCCACACATGGCTGTCGTCACACCTGTCATCACGTTCACTGCGATGGCTGGTGGGTGGCTACACGTCTACCCAGTACCCTATAACTGCAGGCATCCCCCAAGGCAGCATACTTGTACTCGGCTCGACACTGCTTTTACTGTACGTAAATGATGCACCCTCTGTTCTGGTGGATGATGCCCAGCTGGAGAGAGGCATACGCAGACGACACCACACTGTACTCCATTGTGTTGAATGGCAGCGCGGCAGGTGCAGCGCACTCACTGTAACTGTCAATTGATCGGCTGCATGACTGGGGCCAGAAATGGAGGATTGCATTCGAGCCCACCAAGTCCCAGGCAATGACTGCAACTCTCCAAAGAGCTGGCTTACACCTCTCACCAATCATGCTTGGCGGAAGACCAGTTCCCGAGGCAAATTTCGTCACTCTCCTAGGCGTTCTCTTCGACCCGAAGTTGTCTTTTGGGGAGCACCTCTGGTCTGTTGCAACCTGGGCAAGGCAGCGACTTGGTCTTTTGTACTCTGTGGCAACTAAAATGTCATTACTTGCCTGTGTCCAAATAAGATATGTCTCTATGACATCATGACGTGTGTCTATGCATGTGCCAACAATAGTGAAGAGAATGTCATTCATATGCTGTGTCTGTTTGTACGGTACAAAACTTCAAGTAACTGTGAAACAACTTGCTGACTCAGTTTCTAAGAAAGGACAGCGGATTCAAGGATTACAGCGAAAGCTCTGTGAAATGTCGGGGCAGCTGAAAGAGCTGAGGGAGGAGGTGATCTCTCTGAAAGAGTCCGTCATTACGGTGGAAAGAAGTGCAGCCCCATACAGCGCCTAGACCACCGTACCCGTACTGCTCGCATGCAGTTCAAGACCTGCACTTCAGTTGTATGCCGTACGGTGACCTTGCATGCTGCGAGTGGCAGTGAGAGAGCACCGCCAGCAACCCTACACATGCAGGTATCAACACATGCATGTACCAGTATACAGGTGATGGAGAACCTGAAACAGTTACCCACCCGCCCAAGGAATACCAAGTAGCACCTACATGCTCTTTGACCAGTAGCACAACACTTACTCTATTAGCAGGTTCGAGAACGATTCTCTGTGTCTCCGCGTTGCCTCCACCAGGTACTTTGGGCTTGTGATTATTAATTTGACATAGGAGTGCACGGCCATCACAAATCATAGGTAAGATCTGCGGATGTTGAAAGAGAGAGAGAGAGAGAGAGAGAGAGAGAGAGAGAGAGAGAGAGAGAGAGAGAGAGAGAGATAGAGAGAGAGAGAGAGAGAGAGAGAGAGAGATAGAGATAGAGATAGAGATAGAGATAGAGAGAGAGAGAGAGAGAGAGAGAGAGAGAGAGAGAGAGAGAGAGAGAGAGAGAGAGAGAGAGAGAGAGAGAGAGAGAGAGAGAGAGAGAGAGAGAGAGAGAGAGAGAGAGAGAGAGAGAGAGAGAGAGAGAGAGAGAGAGAGAGAGAGAGAGAGAGAGAGAGAGAGAGAGAGAGAGAGAGAGAGAGAGAGAGGGAGAGAGAGGGAGGGAGGGAGGGATGGAGGGAGGGGGGAGGGATGGAGGGAGGGAGGGAGGGAGAGAGAGAGAGAGAGAGAGAGAGAGAGAGAGAATGAATGAATTACAAAACTACATAATATGGTTGTTGGTTTGCGCCTTGGAGAAGTGTTGGAGCTAGGTGTCAGGTCGCCGAATGTCTCAGTACTCCTTGTCAGTTTTGTGCCATTTTGTCGCACTCGCTGACTGTATAAGATCTGGTTACGTTGGTGGACAGTTTGTCATAACTCGTAACATTTTGTCCTTTTCCTTTCTTCATAATACATAATAATTATATCCATGGGAAAGAAAGGGGGAGCATAGAACAGAAGCAGACAGACGGTGGAGAAGGTACTCAAAGGCACAAAGGTGCAAAATGACAAAGAAAAAGTTGGACAAGAAGGTATGTACCAGAAGTGAGAAAACAGAGAGATCTACAGAATAACCTGCATGCAGAGGCAGGCCAATGTTAAGCGACCACCCCATGCTGCACAGAAAAGCAACCTTTATAGACAGGTAGCCTTGCTAAGCAGGTGACTGGTCTGTAAACAAAGGTAGGCTCTTATTCACAGTACAGGTTTCACTCTCCATGTACATGCACAGGTACACCGTACATGCATGACATAACAATAAACAGAGTGCACATGCCGTACCTCCAGGAATCGCTTCTTGTACAAATCAGGGGGAATCTACGGCAACAAGTAAAGAGCAACAATTAGAAGAGTATGTAAATAGCACACATATGAACGTTCATGCACACACACACACACACACACACACACGCGCGCACGCGCGCGCGTGCACACACACACGCACACACACACACACACACACACACACACGCGCGCGCGCGTGCACACACACGCACACACACACACCACACACACACACCACACACACACCACACACACACACACCACACACACACACCACACACACACCACACACACACACACACACACACACACACATACACACACACACACACACACACACACACACACACACCACCACCACCCACACACACCACACACCCCCACACACACCACACACACACACACACAACACACACACACACACACACACGCAGGTTGTTATCGAGAAACGCAGGGCGCTGCTGAACAAGCAAGGTGGTGTTGAACAATGCAGAGTGCATAGCAGGTAGTGCAGGCAGTGCCAGAGAGCCTTGCAAATAGAGAGGTTCTGCACTACGTAAAGTTGAGCAACTTTACGTTAGTGGGCGGGAAAACCCGTGAATTTGCGAGTTTGCACTCCACTTACGGAAAGTTGTCTACGTAGAGTACGTAGATAGGGCTCTGATAACGTAGCTGGTCCGTAAGTGGATTGGGGTACAAATTTATGACTCTCTCCCCAGGTCAATCTGGTCGTACACTGCCGCGAAGGGCAGCTACGTGATTTGAAAACTCCGTATGGCGGAACACAGATGCGCATGCAGTTTTACGTAAGACATTCCGTTGATCGACCACGTTTTTTTACTAACGTAATTACGTTATGCGGAACCTCTCTAATGATAACCTCAGATGCAGTAAAACCGGTATTTGCCGGATGCCCCTGGTGTAGCGGGATCTATCCTGATACGACAAGATTCCTCTTGATAGAAGGAGGCATGTGTGACCCACAAACATGACTGTCAAATTGATCATCAGCGTGACGTCATCTTGCGATGGCACTCACAACTAATCTTGGTTTAAAGTTGGTCGGTTTCATTTGTTCTGTTCATGACTGGTGGCGGAGTTTCTGCGAAATGAAAATGTACAAAATTTCCCTCTAGGTCACGAAGTGAGAAACTTCGTACGAACTGTCGCAACTTTGGATGCGAAACTTACTTGCATGAAACACGAAATGAACATTCGCGTGAAGTTTCTTGAGATCGTGAGTGAAAGTTCATCGCTTGT